AACAGATATGTAGGAGAGAGTGGAGATGAATCGGACGCATGCTGAGGAGACCGTTGGATCACATCCTGCGCCAGGTCCTCGAATAGAATCCCAATGGAAAGCGACGAGTGGGTCGTCGGAGGGTGGCATGGAGATCGTGTCAGAAAGAGATGAGAGTTATAGGCAATCTTGGACGCAGCTGAAGAGTACGATAGAGTATAAAACAAGGCGGAGATTTGTTGTTAAAGTCCTACTTTCCACTCGGAACCCAAGAGAATAATAATAAGTGAGAGAGTATGATCAACATTTGAAAAGTAACTGATGGTTAAGAAGAACTAGATAGCTGTTTCATCCTAGCTTGGTTCTCCTACGAAGTGTGCTTTCATGAACTTACCAGCGATTGCACTTAGTGTTTCTTCATCATAACCTTAAGGTGACCCATAATGATAAACAAAACAGATGTTCCTTGCTCTATTGTTTCATATGGCTGCATAAATGATGTAAATTATTAAAGAAACCAACTTTGAAACAAAATACTCAAAATGTCAGCGCTAAGATTTAACAAAGAAGAACTTTAGACTTTTAGTTAATCTACTGAAACCTACAAAGAAGTCTAGAAATATAAAACTGTTTATTGAGTTATACATCTTTTAGTATAAACAAGACGAATGCACCGAACACAGAGTATTCAATTTCCACCATCTCTACAGAAACATGAAATTCCAGAGAAAATAGGAGGAGCGAAAAATAGAAGTTAAACTAATTCGATTCCTCTTTCTAATTTAAGAAGGTAATTGAAGTAATAACTGGGATAGCGAAACCGTCCTAGCATCTCAACTGCTTGCATTATAAGTAGACATTATGCAAACGATCCAGACTTATTGACCTTAATTTCGATTGTTAAATGTTTTTTAACTAACCAACATCAGTTACAGAGATCATTGAAACCAGGAAACACTAGATAGCTGTTCTGTAATGTTTTGGGACTCCTAAACAGTACGCACCATCGACCCCGTGATGAAAATCCAACAACTAAAATTAATCTGAAGTCCCCACAAATCCTATAATCTTATTTATTAACCTTAGTCAGTGAGACTGCAGCTCCTTAAAGAATTTTACCTAGTTTGTATTTATATGTTCTGGAAGTAAATTTAGCGAGTACTTAACTGTTATGCTAATTCTGCGTGTTATAAGATTCTACCATTTCTTGTTCTCGACTTAGTAATTAATAGTTTCAATGAGCTTCATCATAAAATACATTACCTTAATGAACACATACAGTTTTAGAGGTCAGAATGATTCGAAGATTGATGGTTATCTGTTCAAATTAACGTATATATATATTGCTTGTTAATGCAACGAATAAAGATTAAATTTTCTGTCCATCTAACCTTAAATCTCTTTAAAACCATTAGATTCTTACTTTATGTCTCGTGACTGTTTGTAAGAGAATGCAAAACAGTGGTTAAGTTTCTATAAAGATTATCTTCCCTAGCCAATCACCGTTGGCCTAGCTAAATTTCCATGTTCTAACTACCTACTTGAACCCTATTTATTTGTTTGACCTTCGCGTTTGACCTCACAGTCACTATATTTGATGAATTAAATTAAACCAAGTCAGTGGGATCCTCAGGCCAACAGGGTTTATCATTGAGTAAATATGTAGATGCAAATGGTAGACTGATTTCTGTATTATTAGGAATTCTTCCTACATGGATACATAAAAGATATCTCTGATGCCTTATTAATGGTGTTATGATCAACATCCGCTCTACTTTTATCAGCATCCGATAGCCGATTTCTATGTATAATTGAGTAATGCGAACGATTCACCTGTGTACTGATTGATTTAATGATACATTTTAAGACTTTCTAATTAGATGTATTAAAGAAGCGTGGTCTGTTTGAATGTTGTAAATAAAACTTTCCAGTAAACAAAAGTGGATATGAATTTAGCTCCTCAGTTTCGTGTTAAATGAATCTTAACGCTTGAATACTAAAATTTTAACGTGGTGCAACACAAAACGTATGACTCAACTAAGGAAAATGTTAGCAGATGACGAATAAATTGAACTTGTATGCTTCATAAATTAGCGCAAACCTTGACTTAGTTAAGAAGTTTCTATTCAGACAAGTAAAGACTCATTGAATGGTAAACTGTTAACAAAATGAAACCACTGCTCAATTTAAAAAAGCAGTGAATTTATAATTTACATAAGGAATTATTAAAAAGACGGTAGCTTTACTAGTTTGCTTTTATTTAAGCAGAACTAAATGCTGATACGTTTGATTTGGAGGTGGAGGATGTAAAGCTGAGATTTCTAACAAGTTATTTCAGTAAGCATTGACAAAATCATTGAAATGTTATATTTACTTCAGCCAGCTTTAAAAGCATACTGTATACAGACTAATGGAATTTCGTTAACACTGAAAAGGTAGTGAAAATATGATTTTTACTAGAACTTTGGATGAGTACCAACAATGATCTCCATAGTGATCGTTAAGATGGCAGTTTCATTTGAAATTAACGTTAGCTGAATATTATTAATTCCGATAATAGAAGATTACAATGAATCACACTGCTCTGTAATATTCTTTGTAGTAATAAGTCAGCTTGGGCATGAGGCTAGCAAACCCATCCTGTAAAAATAAACACCACTGCTACAGAAACTCTCTTGCCTCTAGCTTGAAGCCCTATGCTCCAATGGGAACGTAAGGGAATTAAAGGTAATATCACATTAACTGATTTTTTAACAAACCTGAAGAGTCTGTTGGGTGATTTTCTGTGGTACGTCAACTGAAAAATAAAGTAGCTTTTAATCAATACTTGTTTCACAAATTAAAGTGACAGTTACCTTCATTTTTCAACCATTTATAATTTATTTCATGATTTCAATCATAAGTCATATTCTCTAACTGAGTAACAAAATAAATTTTAAAAGACGTTTCTCAAGTCATCTTTACATACCGAAACATATTAGGAAATCAGTGGTGATGCAAATGAGATAGTCCTTACAATACGACATTCCAGATAGTTTCATATGGAGACTTTTCTCACCAACGATACCTAAATAATGTCTAAAACAATACTGTCCATTATTGAATTGAATTCTTGATTTTCCCGTCGATTGATTGGACCGAAGTGTTCGGTCTCAGGTTGACATGTCGGCTTCTTGTGCAGATGCTTCGACGATGTCTGGGGATTTGATTTGTATACAATTGGTGGAATAGTGGATAACGCTTTGGCGTTTGAAACTATGGGCACTGGGTTCGAGCCTCGGTGGGAACATCATCACTCACTGAGAAATGCAGGTACATCCAGATGACGAGTCCCAATTAGGACGAAATGTGCATCCTGGATTCCACTGCTAGCCACCATCCACCAATTGTATACAAATACTGTCCATGTTAGTAACAAAGAGAAACTTATTTAAGAAACGTTGGATTCTAATTTTGAGATTCCCAAAGATTGTTACAAATCCTCCTAGGTATGAATCAAATACAATGTGTTGCTAAATCACCTAGTTTGCTCCCTTCACACCATCAGGTGACAAGTTGGAAAAGTTGCTGTGATGACTAATTTTATTAAGAAGCAAAATCACCTCAAATCTTCATAAAAAAAAACAAACAAACAATTTCCAATGATCACTCATCTGGTTATTATTCAAGATGGATTTATCGAAGTCACAACAATCATTAATCTGTGAAGTGTCAGACTAAACACGTAGGCTGTGAAGGCGGATACCGATCGATGAAAATAGACGGCAGTACTGCTACTATGACGACTACTTCTACTATAAGAATTAACAGAAGTTAGAAATCTTAGGCTGTTGGATCCTACCAATAGGATGACAGGCAATCTGACTGTTTTGTTCTCTAATTCTAAAAGTTCAATGTGTATACAGTGTTCCGAATTTGATCCATAAAATGAGTTAGTTTGTAAGGATTAAATTTGTTTTTACGAGTTTGAGTTTGAACCTCAGTAGGATGAAATAGCTGTCTAGTACTCCCTGGTTTTCAATGGTTCTCTAACTGATATCACTCCATGGTCAAACTCATAAAATGAGTTGTTTTTCCAGTTCATTTTAATTCGTAACAAAATCATTCACCCGACCGATCAGCTGATCCGTACACAGACGACTCTTGAGTGAATTAGCACTTCATGTTGTGTTCTTATTTTCTGAAGCTAGTGCAGTTTTAAAAAGTAGGAAATTTGTCATTAAATAAGTAGACTGGGGGTAATTACAAAACAACCTATCATCTGTCAATAATTATAGCAAAATAATTTCAAGAATGTCTGTAGTAAACTCGAGAAATCTGCATTCTGGGCTGCAAATGCCATCTGTGTAAAAAATTTTGTTTTTTTTTATTTTAAATTAAGTATTCTCATGCCTAATACCTTTTTTTCTCTTCCGCATATGCACTACATTTTTAATTTAGATAATAAGTGAGCTCTGTTTACCTCGTCCTTTGTGAAAATGTACAAAATGAAATAATTAAGAAGGAGAAATGCCTAAATTATGCCACATGAAAATAATGAAAATAGTGTGGGGTGACCTACACCTTACTCATTGTATTTGTATATTAAATGTTATAGCATAAATTCATTAATTGAATAACAGTGAACCAATTTTAGTTGGAGGGAACTTTCTATTCGCTGTGTAGATTATTATTATTATTAAAAGTAAACGAATAAAATAATAATAAAAAAAAGAACACATCGTAAACAGGTCACGTACTTTCTAAAATATACAACCATAACAATGAATAAGTGTGTCCTTCCTATCATCACCTGTTACTATTTAAATAATTGACGGCATAAAACAAAGTTTGAGTAGTACACACAATTTTTAACAAATGAAAACAAAGTTTCATTTCTTTTGTATGCATGTGTATTATTGTTCTGGCTGCTTTCATAAGCAACCTATTGTTTTCATTTGTCTTTTTATTTTAAGCAAATATCACCCAAGGCTTATATATATAGCCTTAGTAAAGAGCTCAGTTTTGTACTATCAGTCAAAATGATAACCAGATTAAAAATTTTAATTTTAATATATCTCTTTGGCTTATTCGGTAAGTCTCGTGGTTGTACACATGATAATGATGAGATGTATTTTACTCTGTTACCTTCAAATGAATTGCTTAAAAAATCTGTAAGAGAATTCTTTTATTTTGATAACTTTTCATACTAAAGAAGTTTCAGACATTATAATTACGATGGGTGAGTACAGTTATCTGTGGATAGGGCATCTAATAACAGTAGAGTCTCGATGACAATAGTTCCAAAAACAGTTGTTTCTATATAGGTATTCTTAATGTAACAAACAAAACAACAACGTTGAAATCAACAATTTTATAATTGAAACTCCTTGTTTAGTCTTTTTGAGCGAAAGCTTGTCAGAACTAGCTGGGCTTTCGGATTCATCGGTGGAGAGTCCGATTTCTGCTCCTATGTAATTCTACGCTATATTGTGATGCTTAAACTTCCACTTAGAAAGTGTTGTGTTCTAAGCCTGCTTAACTGTTTACCTCTTTCATTTAAGTAATTATCTTCAGAAAGTTTTTGAAAAAAAGTGGGATTTGAATAAGGCAATAAAAAGGCAAATATTGCGAGACGATATCATCTCACAGTTTCTTCACGATCACTTCACAACTAAAGTGGTTGACAGTAGTAAAACATATTTGACAGTTGCATTAGCTTGGAAAAACTAAGAAACGGTATCATCTTGCAATATTTGTCTTCTTAGTGACTTATTTAAATTTACTGAAGGTGCTAGGTGTTCATTTTTCTGAACAAAGTGAGACGTAAATATAAAGACAACCAGTAACTAACCTGGATACATGGGTTGCGATAGTTTTGATGTGTTTTATGCATACCATTAATCAGTGGCATGTTTCATTCAACCTACTGATGTATAGAAACTGGTTCTGATACAAACAGTACCTAGATGGAAGTATTAGGGCTTACTGAGCTTCTTTTGTTGCTAAGGTTACGAAGAACGAAGAAGGAATAGCTACCTGTACTGTTGTGAGTTATTTGTTTTTAGTTTACTCTGTGTATACGGCTATGGATACTGACATTAGGTGATCAGGGTTACAGTTATAACATTTCTTTCGTGTGGTATTCAAAGTCAAAACAATCAAATTATCCAGATACCTCTATCAGTTCAGTAAAGGAGTTTACAAATAAATAACCACATTCGTACGAGTTGAGTATCTCTCTTTTGTGACAGACAACGTTCGCAACTTACAGCAATTTTTTGAAGTGACTTGCACCAAAATTCTCGTCTCACATTATATGGGACCCATTAGTGGGCTGTTATATGCAACTATATGCAATCGCTAAGCATACACTAATTCAAACACTTCTGAGTTACCCACAGGTCTTAACAGATTTGAGTTCTGATTGGTTTCCCGGACACACGAAATTTTTTACACAATCAAAAAGTAATAAAGACATTAAATCTATCAAAAACAAAGCGAGATTAAGTGACTAGATCGGCTGATATGAAATAGCTAAGATGACTGAAAGTGGTTCAGCGGTGGTATTTTAGTAAAAGATTAGGCCTGTAGGGTAGAAAGATAATGTATTGTAACAAAAACAAAATTAGAGAAAGAGTGACTGACCAAAGTTAAAATCAAAATGTCTTGATGGCGATTCCTGACACTTATTCAAACACCAAATAAATTTTTGTCATTCAGAGCTTTGTTTTCATACCTTCTTATATTTGAAGAAGTTTCATCTGTAATTTATTAAGGAGATTCCCTGTCAGCCTGTATGTAAATAACACTGAAACTGCCTATTGGTCTACTTGATTTCCAGAGTCGACCAGATGTTCTACGATCCACTTGATGCGATTCTCTTTTCTCCTTATTGAATCAAGGTTGTGCATGTTAACTTATACGTTTAGAAAGTGACCGTTGGGCATAGATGAAATATCTTGCTTTATAAAAGCAGGTAAATACATGGATGCTTTGGGTCGAATAAACCAACAGAAATTTATAGCTGCATCAAAACCCCGACAGTTTTATAAGTTGATTAACCAGATCATGTTTTATCACTTTACGGGAGGTTTAAAGCCTAACTTTAATACAGATTTCAGCTACTGTGTCTGAGTTATGTTCAGTATTTAATTACAATGGAACTACAGAATGTATTGAATCAGTTTTACTAGATACATAATATTGCATAAACTTAAGTAAGGCAAAATGGAAAGTTACTGATAGGAGGTTAAGTAATTTTGCTGCTTTCTAGAGCTCAAGAGACAGAGAATGAAAGATCTTAATTCTTTATCCGTTTTAGCATATCATAAGAAAAATTATTATAGGGAATTTATATATTTCTTGACTTTTTCATATTATTCAAGCTAAACTGGTATTTTGAATCACTCACTTTCTTTGAAATACGGGATTGAAATGGGTATATGGATATTCATTTTTGTCAAAATGTTTCACTCATTCATGGCATATTTCCTCATTGCTAAATGAGGATATCACTATCACATATAGAAATGAATAGGCTGTTTTACTTTTAGCCATTGTTTTCATGCATTACAAATTAAACCATGTCTTTATATTTTGTCTGGCCATCTAGTTATTCTGTCATCCGGTCAACAGTCGTGTCCAGAGGTTAACTATGTCACTCCAACTGAGGCAAGCACAGAAGGCGGTTCTGCACTTATGATTTTTGGATGCGGTAAGTATGCAGTATTTGTCAAATTGGGGAATGAATGCAATATTGCTTCTTGTTATGTTCTATTTTATCACTATAACCAATAATATTTTTCATAGCAGATGATATGGTATTTAATATCCCCATCAGAGGAGGAACGCCGTCATTTAACTTTTCTGATAAGATATAACTATAAAACTTGGGCACTGTGGTAGAGTATAATTCCATTATAGATAAGATTTTATTTTGATAAATCGCACAGTGTTTACAGTTATATGAACTGATGACGTTTCGAGCACAAACTATTGCTCATAATCATATCATATCATATCATATCATAATCATATCATAATCATATCAACTTGATATGATTATGAGCAATAGTTTGTGCTCGAAACGTCATCAGTTCATATAACTGTAAACACTGTGCGATTTATCAAAATAAAATCTTATCTATAATGGAGTTATACTCTACCACCACGGTGACCAAGTTTTATACTTATATCAATAATTGCTTTGCACAAATTACCATGAGAATAATATTAGCCTTGAATTCCCTTTCGGAGTAAGAAGCAGCAATTTTTAGTGTAACTTTATAATTTATTTATGATCAAAACAGGTTCCTTCCTTCTTTGAAACACATGTAAATTTACTAAGAAATATTTCTAGAACAAGAGAAGTAGTAATTTAAGGAATACAAATTCAAATTTATTTTATCATCACTGTTGTTACAGTAGGCTTTCAAAATCTGTCTACTGATCTGTATGTGTTTTTCACTACAAAGACACTAACTGCCTATGATGAATTTTTGGATTTTTAGTGTTTATCACCAACTCACCAGCCTTTATCATAAGTCATTCACCATTTCTGGTACTTCTGCGTCGGTGGCACAGTGGTTAGTATTCCCTCCGATCATGCATATGGTTCGGGGTTCGATCCCCTGCCGATGCACCCTCGATATCTATGGTTGGCCAGCAAAACTTGAGCTACCGATATCACATGCAGAAAATTTCATACCTGTACCAAAATATACGGTGTGGAATCAAGCTGTAATAAAAAAAGAAATAAAATAAAATAAAAATAAAAATTCTCTCCATGCTAATAATGCCTATCATGCAGAAGATAACAGTTAACTAGGCGATATAAATATCTTTCGTTTCAGTGAAAAGATGCATTTTTCAAATATATTTACTAGCTGCTTAATTCTATGATATCTTTTGGTTAATCATTTTAATTAGCGATCTAATTAATTTCTTAGTTGAAAGATTACTTTCAAAGACAAAGAGGTATTTTTGAACATTGTACTTTAACGGTGACTCCCTTTTAAAAATATTTTGTTGAACATTTAACGCATCTTAAGTTTTAGATGCGTGTTGTATGAAGATCTATGTTGTACACATATAATTTCAGATTTACAAGAGTAGCCCAGACCTTTTAGCCTAAAACCAGTGTATACATCAAATTAGTGACAAATAAACATAAACCATTGGATAAAAGAATTACTGAAAGTTTATAGAGTGATTAATTTCGCCAGTGATGGGTACACATGTTTAAGTTAAGTTAAAGCCGACAATTAAGTACATAATTTTCATTCCGGTAGCGAAAATAATTTTGGAAATGAAGTTTATCTATACTAGATAGTTTGAAATTATTTAGAGCGAAATGTATGGTTTTGAATTGTCTTCTCAAAAATTAATGTTTACGATCATATGATAATCAGTCTTTCCCCTCATGAGATTACTGAATATATTTTCATACAAGCATGAACTAATTTGCATAGCACGATAACTCATAAAAGTAAATGAGAAGAAAATTGACTATAAAACCGATAAAAGGTTTGTACATTACTTGCTGATCACATGAGATTCAGTTATCTTTACTACTCTATTACGGTTTATTAATAACATTGCTTTTACATACAGATTTCATATTAAAACACTTTATCGACTTTCCACTAGTTCCTGTCCATTCTACACGACCTTATTGACTAATCATTATTTCACACTTATTAGGCCATGCCAACTTCTGCCTCTTTTCTAACTTTAAAATACAAAATAATCGAGCAAAGAATATTCCTTACGATAAATTCCACTTCCTGCTCTACAATTATATATATGTTTATATACACAGAATATTCTAGATTAGTAGTCAATAACAGTATTAGTATTTTTTAAAATAATATCGATTTGTTAAGTATGATCAATGCAATTACAGTTCATTAAAGATGCTTAAATTATAATAGTAATAAAGATATAATAGCAAATAGAATATCAACTAAGATTAGGAAAATTCCACGAAAATTGATGATTATTCAAACCTAGATGGCCAAGGTAATGATAATGTCTGAACTAACTTCTTTTGGATGCATAAATTGGGCTTGTTAATACGGATCCCAACAGCCTCAGCAGTATTTAGTAGTCGAACTCTTAAGGCAAAATTGAGATTTGTAGGTATGCGGTAAATGACTCTGAAAGCATGGTTAACGTCAATCTTGTGATTTGTCTTTGCTTAACCACGCAGGGTGATGTTCGGAAATTCTACGAGAAACACGCCTAATTATGCGGCCTATGTAAGTGGCTCCACAGGAGCAGTTAAATTGGTAGGTACACATGGAAGAGGCGAAATTAGGCAGTTTGTCTTTTATTCCCAAACGCATAAGAGTAGTGGTGTTAAAGATACAGCGAAATTCAGCAGCAGGGAATGCTCCGTATTTCTAATACGCTGTGTTAGTATCTCGCTAGTGTTGTCCCCAAGGAACTGCATCTGAAAGAATAAGGCCTTTTTTGGAACTGTTGGTAACTTCGGCTGCTTTGGTTTCAGATTCATATTCTTATCAATAAACTTTTCAGGATAACCATTCTCACTTAGCAGCCATTTAATATTATTCAGTTCTTCATCAAGATATTCGTCCGAGCAAGTCTCTCTTACTCTTTCGACCAAGCACTTTATCAAATTGCGTTTGCATTTCAAGGGCACAAAACTGAGAAAATGTGTGTACTGGCCCGTTGATGTAGGTTTTCTACATATACTTCTTCTTATTGTGCCATCCTCTTTTCTGGTCATAAGGACGTCTGAAAATGAGATACTATAGTCTTTTTCTTTCTCAGCAGTAAAATTTATTGCAGGATGTACGTCATTAAATTTATCCAGGATGCTCTTTGCTTCCTTCCCGTTTTTCATAATCAAAAAAAGTATCAGTTAGTCATCCCTTCTTACACCTTACATTATGTAATACGTTTTTTCGAGGACAAGGTTTACCAGTATCTGATCGGTCTGCTTCTGTGCAGAGAAGTAATTTCTGATGGCCCACCAATTCAGGAAAAAAAAGATACTGAAGGCAAAAAGGGCAGCCAGAAAAAAAAACAGTGATGTACTTAAACTTGATCAACAAGCAGGCTGAATGGCTGTCATATTAGTTAAAGGAAGAACAAAGTGTATTATGAATGATTCCCTTCCAATTAAAATAGATAATAGTACTATAAAATACACAAAAAGGAGTACTTTTATTTCAAGGGGGAGTCACATCATCTGTTTAATAATTGCATTTATAACTTCAAAGTACGTACAAACAAAACTCATACTTTTGAATAGACGTTTTTTATTACGCGAGATGGCTGGATGAAGGACACTTTTTAAAAACTCGAATATAAAGTTTTGCAAAGCCTAATTTGGCTAACGTGATATCAATGAGACAAAACTACTCCATACCTAAAAGTATACTATGGGTCTGAATAGTCACTAATTATAACAGCAGTCAGTTTTATGCAAGCATTTTAAGCTAAGAGATATTCCAGGTAATAAGAGGCTGAACAATTATAGACTGCTTCTTTATTGGTATCTATTACTGATATTTAAGGAAATAACATGGAATCTTTGGTATATTTAAGTAAATCTTAGACAACAGAGGTATTTTAAATAAGTGCTAGACTTATAGGCCGAACTACTAAAATATGACTATCGTTTCTTTCTGTCAAGCGGCATGTTGCTTCTGAATTATAGCTGTAAAGATTTCAGTGTGTTGTGTTATCGTCATGTATCATATGAGAAATAATTTCTAAGATATGCAGCAAAATACCTCAAGTAAATGTGTTCACTGACACGCAGTGTTAACAATGTTTTCTTAGTTATTTGCATCATAAAAGTCTGTTGTTTGTTAAAGTATGATCCAGACACCGGAGGTATTTGATTTTAATGACTTGTTCATTACACTCCGAGTAAAGATAACTTTATAAATGAAGAACACTTCTTGTTCGCTTCTTCAAAATTCTGATTGAGAATATAGGAGATACTTCTCGAGAAATATTTTGCATTAACATTTTAGTATATCAAGGTGAGGTATTGACAAAGGATTCTGTCAGAGTTTAATATCTCATTATATTCACAGACTAATTTGCTTGTGAGAATAACAGATCCTTGGAGGTTTGCTTTAACACAGTTTGTATTACCATATTTATCTAATCTTATGAAACTAATTGTTCGTCGAATTCACTGTAGGGTTTGAGCAAAGTGCATTTGTACTGCCTGGAACTGATCCAAACTTTGGGAATCGAGTATTTCTGAGAAATGCTTGGCAGACATTTCAAACAGAGTTAATTGAAGAAGGTGGAAACATGATTAAATTCTCCTCACCGTAAGCTACTGTCACATTTATACTAATTGTAAATCTATGTCGTTTTGCTGAGCTGTTTTTTTTTGTAAGGTAAAATTTTGAGTTGTACAAAATACAAAACTACTAATTCTTACTAGAAAGTAATAATAGGAAGCGGTAGTGATAAGGTTTTTATGTAATTCTTTAATTTAAACGACTTACAGGTGTTCTTATTAGAATCCAGAAATCGACTAGAAGATAATGTCTGTCTGTAAGTCTGTTTTCGACATACAACTTTGCACATTTATGCGGCAGTTCAAGTCGCCACACTCCATGTAGCACACAAAGCAAAAGAAGAAAGTACCAGAAATGCATAATAGAGACAGTAAACAGAGGTGTGAGACAAAGGAATAGTAATAACGAAGAACAATATAGTTTCATTGGAAATCATAAGTCACAAGGAGTCGATACATCCGAGCCATTGAGAACGAGGATTTCGAGCCATATCACCAATTGTTTCCAACCATTGGTTTTTAGCGTCCCGAGGACCCCAACCACGAAGTCTACACCTTCCTACGTGGCTTAAACTAACTGTTTTGGATTTCATTGACTGTTTCCATGTTTTGGTTTGACCACCACTAGCTCCTTTCCAGCCTGACACTATATCAGCCAACATTGCCTGTTGTCGAGGAAGGCGATGACTAGGCATATGTGACACATGTCCTAACCATTTCAGTCGATGTAACTTCACAATCTCGTTGATTGATTTCCCCTCCTTACCTAGCACTCGACGCCTCAACTTAATATTGCCCACTTTATTAAACCACTTCACACGGGAGATAGAACGCAGGCACCTATGATCGAAGACAGCTAATCTTTTCATGTCTTCCACTTTCAGTGGCCAGGTCTCACAGCCTTAAAGCAGGACGGAGCGGACTGCTAAGCAGTACACACGCCCTTTGGTCGATAGTCGGATAACACGTCCACGCCAGAGACGGCGTAAACTAGCATATGCGAAACTAGCCCTCTGTATCCCTGCGGAAGATAATTCACACTTCAGTATTGAATTGTGGACTTTTCATCAGTTGGCGTTGTGAAGAGATATGATGAGGAAAGGATGGCATTAGTGGTCATTTAAAGCGTTCTCTAAAAATCCTTTGAGAACCCATTAAATAAGGACCAATAATATTGGTAATTCTTTTGTATTATTAAGAATACTGCTACCAAGTGTTAAAATATGAAGGAAATGAATTTAAGCAGGGGATAACAGTTTAAATAATACAGAGAATACATTAACTAACCTTGGTTTTACAAATAACGTAAAACAGTATATCTAGAATTTGAATAAAACAGGAATAGCAGTTTGTGGAATGTGTTTGTGTACAGTTTGCTTTACTCAAATTCACAAAGGGGAATAGTTGTATGAATCACTTACGATCCTAATATACTTAATGAAGGTTCGCTAAGTCTATTGACCTGTAATACAAGTTCTTTCACTTACTTTTCACTAACGAACCAACTTCCGAATAATATTAATTCATTCAGTTATGAAATGAGTTCGGAATAAAAAGTTATCTTTGAAAGTGTGAGCTATTGTTGGCTATCAATTTTTTTGAAATATTAGCAGAACAATCTAGGAAAAATATTTCAAGTTAGCAAGCTTTGAGTAGAGAGACTTCTTTAAAAAACTATAAACTTTCAATTTTCTCTACATTCCAAATTATGTAGTGCCAGTGATTTAGTCCACACAAGAAGATTTCTCGCTGGTAAAAGAGGATGACTTTCTTTTGCATTTTATTGTTTTATTACAGAAAAGTTCCAGAAGACACTTATACACTGGTCGTTTCTATTGCTGGTGTCTTTATTCCAAAGGAGAAAATGTGTCGAGGTTTCTCATGCACTATAAAAGTATGAAGCTAATCTATCAAATTTGTTTGAATACTTTACCATCCAGTTTTTTTCATGTAATATCGGTTATGAATCCATATTTTTTCATGCCAACAGTTATAATTTTTAAACGCCACAAACAACAAAACACTAAAGATAGCTGTTTCTAAAAATCAACGTCTAGAAGTATGAAATAATAATTTTTCGTTATATCTGCTATTTAAGGAAAAGGTTTTAGTTACCGCTTTTTAAGTCAAACAACTGGAGCAGGATGAAGTGATTATAGGATCTCACTGTACTTCTTATTTTGTCAACGGAAAGTAATCTAAAACAATTCTAATAACAGGTAACAAATTTGTTCATATACGATCATACAGTACGCATGTAAATCTGTGTCAGTCGTTTAATTCAATACACGAAAAGTTGAACAGATAAAATTTTCAGGTATTAGTAAGCTTCTGGGCATAAATTAAAAATTGCAAGAATGTTCTGGATGAAGCAAAAGAAGAATTTTCAAAAAAATGGATACTGTTACTGGATAACTTCATCATCAGGCTCTACAGTTACATATATATACATTATAGTGAATGAATGAATTAGCGTTAGGAACAACATTAATGACTAGACAACATCGAATCAATAATACCAATAGATTACAGTTCAGTAGCATCAACATAAAATAAACTGAATGTCAGAAAAATTAGGAGAGATAATAGTACAAGTTCATGAATTTATAGTCTCTACTGAAGGCCTTCTTTCGAACTATATACATCGAGAACTCAGATTATCCTTTTTCAGTTCTAGTCAGGTTGTTTGGATTTAGCCAGATCTAAAAATAAACTAGAAAAATGCTTGGTAACTTCTACGCATGTACTTACACGTAACGATGCTGAAAAGGGGAAGCATAGGTTAAAAATTATTAAAAATAATATATTTGGTTCTCTTGATAAATTTTGATAGAGATAGATAGACGATACTATTCCGTTTCACAAGCTTTCATCAGCTGCAAACTACCTGGAATCACAATAGTTATAAATAATAACATTTCCTACTTCAATGTTTGAAAGGTAATAGTGAACACATTATCAGATGAACGCATCCAGAATATAAGTATTACAATTTTTAGTTAAATTTACCATCATTTTATATGCTATCAAACTATGAAAGAAAAAAGAGGGGGGGTGAGAGACGACAGAATATAGAAAAATCTAATAAACATGCACCTGCGGCAGCACGTACATCGGAAGGATAGAAAGAAGGATTTCTATCCTTCTACCTATTTTACACTGGAAATCGTAAAAACAAAAGAAAAAACATAGAGGAAACTATGCGAAACAAGTTGGGAATTTTGCTCAGAATGTCACTCACTTGTTAAATAAACTCATAAGGAATCATAACCTACGAGGGTGCGCAAACTTCACCCCTTATATTATCTCTTTCATAAGTTATAGTTCTGCTGTTAACTGTTGAATATTTACTATGCCAACTCGAAGGTTCATTTTTCTATATAATGTAAACACTTAACTAATACAGACGAACGGATATTTACTTATAAACGAAATGCGAAAAATTCCAGGCAGTCAAAAGATTTATACGAGCAATAATGAAATAAACTGTTATTTGCACTCAAACATTTTCAACAATATAAGTTAATGTAAACATTTTGTTCAATGACAAGTGATTAGTGAATTATGATGGGTAGATCTTTAGGTATCCATTTAGCTACTACTAGCAAGAAAACTGAAACTACGGCATTTTGTTACCTCTAAAAGAAAATCTTTGGCCTTAGAGAGTATAATTTCAGTGTAACGCAGATTTATTTTCCAAAAATATGTAATTATGTCATGCATGCACTTTTGTTGTGATATAAATTTCATGATAGTCTTTTCCTTATCTTGTAGGTTAGAACAGCAGTGACTCCAGTTATCGAAAATATATCACCAGTTTATGCTCAACCAGGTATTACCTTTTCTGAATTTAATAAAAAACCGATAACTTCATTGTTTTAAAAAGTCATGAATGTGGTTGAAAGTTAAGTAACTGGTATGGACTCCTTCTATTTTTTTTGGTGGTATGAACGCTCAAGGCTCACTTATTATTATTATTGTATTCTTCAGTTCATAGAGGAACATAGGGCTTCAGCTGCGCACCTCCATTGCCTTCGGTTTTCTGACAACTTTTTCACCCCGCTCCAGGTCTGTCCACATGCTTTCATCTCCTCCTCGCATGACCTCCTCCAAGTCACCCTTGCATTGACGACCAACTCGCCGCCTCCCTTTCGGGTTCCACTCGAGGGCTTGTCTAGTGATGTCACTTGATGGTTTCCTCAGCGTATGGCCAATCCATCTCCATTTCTTCCTGCCTATTTGTTTCACAATCGGTTCCTGATTGGTTCGCTCCCAGAGATCCCTGTTGCTGATCTTTTCTGGCCATCTGATCTTGAGTATTGAGCGAAGACAGCTGTTAATGAAGGTCTGAAGTTTGTTTGAGATGCTCTTTATGACTCGCCAAGTCTCTGATCCGTATAGTAGCACTGACTTCACATTGGAGTTGAAAATCCGGATCTTATTTTTGATGCTGAGTGCTGTTGACCTCCACACAGATTTGAGAGTAATGAAAGCTTGTCTTGCTTTTCCGATTCTGGCTTTGATATCCTCGTCAGTTCCGCCTGTAGTTGAGACGATGCTTCCCAGGCAGGTAGGTGAAGGAGGTTGTTTCTTTCAGGTTCTTCCCATTTATGCTGATTGTTGTCCGTTGTTGTTGTTGCTGTTGATGTTGGCTAGGAATCTTCATTACCTCTGTTTTATCTATGTTCACGTGAAGTCCTATCTTTGATGCTTCTTCTGCCAACTTGTTACTTTTCACTTGCATATCTTCCAGTTTGTGGGAAATCAGACATATATCATCGGCGAAATCCAGATCCTCCAAGTCTTTTGTGTCAGTCCATTTTATGCCTGTTCCCTCGTTGGTTGCCGTTGTCTGTCGCATTATCCAATCAATTGCAATCAGGAAGATCATTGGTGATAGTAGACAGCCTTGCCTCACTCCCGTCCTCACTTCGAAGGCTTCCGTAAGTTTCCCGTTGTGGATTACTTGGCATGCAGCATTGTCGTATAACTGTTGGATGAGATGTATAATTGTCGATGGGACCCCGTAGTAGCGAAGTAGTTGCCAAATGACCTCTCGATCGACGCTGTCGAAGGCCTTTTCAAAGTCGATGAAGTTGAGTGAGATAGAGAGGTGACTGCCATTCCAAGCTTTGTTCAATGATGATCCGTAGAGTGGCGATTTGATCAATACATGATTTGTTTCTCCTGAATCCAGCCTGTTCCGGACGAAGTTTTTCATCTAGGGCTTGTTTGATTCTCTCCAGGATGATGCGACTTAGTATCTTGCTTGGAATGGACAGAAGCATAATTCCACGCCAGTTTTTACATTGACTTAAGTCTCCTTTCTTTGGTAGTTTGAATAAGTATCCTTTCTTCCAATCCTCGGGTACTTTGCCCTCTTTCCACACCTTCTCCAGCAGTGGCGTCATCAAGTCCGCTGTTGTCTCTGGGTCTATTTTCAAAGCTTCTGCTGGGATTCCATCTGGTCCTGGTGTTTTCCCAGCTTTTAGCATCTTGATTGCATTCAGGACTTCTGATTTCGTTCGGGGGTCAGTGTTCACTGGTAGTTCTGCTTCCGTTGTTGGTATTGTTGGGCGCGTTGTAGGTGGCGGACGATTTAGAAGTCTTTTGAAGTGTTCAGCCCAGTGCTTTCTCTGTTCCACCTCTTTGGTGATTGACTTTCCATTGTCGTCCTTTATTGGCTTAATCTGTGTCGAACGTTTGCCGAAAGGTTCCTAGTTGTTTGGTAGAGTGTGGCGAGGTCTCCTTTGCCTGCAGCTTGTTCTGCTTCGTTTGCCATGGTTTCATAATATTTTCTTTTGTCTTCCCTGGCACTCTTCTTCACTCTTTTGTTCAGTGTATTGTAGCTTGCATTCAGCTCCTGTTTTTGTTGCTCGTCAGTGCACTGGATAATCTTTTGTTTCACTGTCCTTCTCTCTTCTATTAGTTTCCAAGTGTCCGTAGTGAGCCACTGTTTGTCCTGTCTCTTTTTTCTGCCTAGAATTTCTATGCAGGTTTGGCTCCACACCGTTTTCAAGTTGTTCCAGTGCTTTTCGACGCCGACCTTTTCGCTGGTGTTGATTTGTGTCTCGGCTTTGTCCTTATGCTTGCAATGAAGATGTCCTTTGTAGCCTGGTCCTTCAGCTTTTGAGTGTTGAACTTGGCTTGTGGTCTATCTGCAGCTCCTGATTCCCTGAAAGCTTTTAATTTGATTTGGATTGTCCCTTGTACGAGATAGTGGTCTGAGCCAACGTCTGCTCCTCTTCTTGCTTTTGTGTCCAGTAGGCTGCGCCTCCACTTCCTTGAGCAGCATTGAGATGAAGTCGATTGGTTTTTGGTTTGCCCGTCTGGTGACACCCATGTAGCCTTGTGGATATCTTTGTGCTTGTATACACTGCCACCAATCACTAGTTCGTTGAAGGCGCAGAAGTCGGCGAAGAGTTCTCCGTTTTCATTCATTTCTCCTAGAGCTTCTCTACCCATGATGAGTTCCCTTCCTGTGTTGTCTGGTCCCAGTTTGGCGTTCATGTCTCCCATTAGTATTTTCATGTCGCCAGCTGGAGTATTGTCCATTGTTGCCTGTAGTTGCCTGTAGAATTCTTCTTTCTTTTCGAGGTCTGCGTTGTTTGTGGGTGCATAACATTGTATGATTGACACTTTCCTTCCTTTGGAGTTGAATCTGGCGGTCATTATCCTGGACGAAATCGCCTCCCATTGTATCAGGGCTTTCGTTGCCGTTGGTGACATCATGATAGCCACGCCCTCGGTGTGCGTGTGGTTATCTTCTGGGTGACCGGAGTAGATCACTGACTCACCCGTTGACAATTTGGTGAGTCCACTCCCATTCCATCTGCTTTCACATATTCCCAGCACTTGTATTCCGTATCTTTTCATCTCGTTGGCGATCTGGGCAGCTTTGCCCGTCTCGTACATAGTTCGGACGTTCCATGTCCCCACACAGACTTTTTCTTTTGGTGCAAAGAGGTTCATTTTGCTGAAGTTTCTGTAGCAATTTTGTTTACAGGGTGGGGTTGCTAGCCTCACGCCTGAGAAAGGAATGATTACATTAAGTAAAGTTTAGAGAGAAGCGACTTTTTGCTCCCCTCAAAATCGGAAAATAACGGACAAACAATGAGAACAACACCAACAAAAGGGAAACAGTTCACAGCAAAAAGGGCAAAAAGCGACAACAACTATACAATCAACAACATGCAATATAGTTCAGCACAGTTAACTAAAATGATATCTCAACCATAAACTCACTGACTTGGAGCAACTTGAACATATAAATCCAACAATATATACAATTATAGATGTGTTTATGTTTAAAAATTCCACAAATCCAAATAGTTAGTTATGTGTATTATCTGTGAATAAGATTGTATCTTTGGATTTAGTGTTCGAAAGGTAAATAACTGTGATAGTTTCCACAAACTCTTGGCATGAAATTTTGCAGAAACGAGAGTATTCATTCATGTGTTAAAAGCAACTCAGCTGTGTTAACTTTGCAGAAACTACATTTTAAAGAAGTATTAAATTACACCTCGCTATATGCAATAAAAGAAAATATATATAAACAACAGCAGACTTGATGACGCCATTACTGGAGAAGGCGTGGAAAGAGGGCAAAGTACCCGAGGATTGGAAGAAAGGATACTTATTCAAACTTCCAAAGAAAGGAGATTTAAGTCAATGTAAAAACTGGCGCGGAATTATGCTCCTGCCCATCCCAAGCAAAATACTAAGCTTCATTATCCTGGAGAGAATCAAACACGCCACCCTAGATGAAAAACTTCGACCGGAACAAGCTGGATTCAGGAGAAACAAATCATGTATTGATCAAATCGCCACTCTACGGATCATCATTGAACAAAGCTTGGTATGGCAGTCACCTCTCTACCTCACTCAACTTCATCGACTTTGAATAGGCCTTCGACAGCGTCGATCGAGAGGTCATTTGGCAACTACTTCGCTACTACGGGGTGCTATCGACAATTATACATCTCATCCAACAGTTATACGACAATGCTGCATTCCAAGTAATCCACAACGGGAATCTTACGGAAGCCTTAGAAGTGAGGGCGGGAGTGAGGCAAGGCTGTCTACTATCGCCAATGATCTTCCTGATTGTAGTAGATTGGATAATTCGACAGACAACGACAACCAATGAGGAAACAGGCATAAAATGGACTCACACAAAAGACTTGGAGGATCTGGACTTCGCCGATGATATATGTCTGATTTTCCACAAACTGTAAGATATGCAAGTGAAAAGCAACAAGGTGGAGGAAGAAGCATCAAAGATAGGACTTCAGGTGAACATAGAGAAAACAGAGGTGATGAAGATTCCTAGCCAACATCAACAGCAACAACAACAACAGACAACAATCAGCATAAATGGGAAGAACCTGAAAGAAACAGCCTCCTTCACCTACCTAGGAAGTATCGTTTCAACTACAGGCGGAACTGACGAAGATATCAAAGCCAGAATCGGAAAATCAAGACAGGCTTTCATTACCCTTAAGTCTGTGTGGAGGTCAACATCACTTAGCATCGAAAATAAGATCCGGATTTTCAACTCCAATGTAAAGTCAGTGCTACTATACGGATCAGAGACTTGCACTGTGCGTCATAAAGAGCACCTCAGTCAAACTACAGACCTTCATTAACAGCTGTCCTCGCTCAACACTCAAGAACAGATGGCTGGCCAGAAAAGATCAACAACAGGGATCTATGGTAATGAGCGAACCAATCAGGAACCGATTGTGAAACAAATAGGCAGGAAGAAATGGAGATGGATTGGCCACACACTGAGGAAACCATCAAGTGAGTGACATCACTAGACAAGCCAGCCCTCGAGTGGAACCTGAAAGGGAAGTGGTGAGTTGGTCGTCAGTGCGAGGGTGACTTGGAGGAGGTCATGCGAGGAGGAGATGAAAGCATGTGGACAGACCTGGAGCGGGGTGAAAAAGTTGTCAGAAAACAGAAGGCAATGGAGGTGCGCAGCTGAAGCCCTATGTTCCTCTAGGAACTAAAGTACATAATAGTAATATATATATATAGATGTTGTTGTATTTTTTTGCATTCGAATAAATTTTTCACATGAAATAACACTTGGTTAAATAAAACTCTGGAATCTCTCAGAAAGCTTAGCTCACCTTGGCTTAAAATTCAAAACATATTATTTAATAGTATCGTTACGTTAAATTTTTAGAGAAAAAATATTTAGTAACTCTGTAAACCTTAACATCCAATTCATGTGTGTTGCTTCTTTTTTCATAGATTCACTTATCGGAATGAATGGAACCATTTTCACTAGCAGATTCAGTTCGAATTTAGATGTCTTCACAGTTGGTAAACCTCAAAGTATAATAAGGTAATTTTACTAAAAGCAGATGATAGTCAATGCAGTTTCTTTTTTTTTAGTTTTGTAAGTTCTGAAACAGTCAAAATATTAGACAAAAAATATAAATGGAATAGTACATTTCGATTCTGCTTATTTTAGGAGTTATTTCAGTGAATGTTGATTTAAACTCGTTAATCGGAAGAAATATGTGTTGTACTAGAATAATTCCCACCAAATTCTGGTTTAGAAATACGGTGAATCAAGGCATATCTTGCCATGACAATACTACTTCATTCACAAGATTTTGAAAGAGTTTATTATGAGTCTGTTTCGGGCAATCAAACCTCAGTAGAAATGAATTGTTTTCTTTGCAAATCCTTCATTTCAATTTCTAGACAATTTGTTTTGAATTTGTTTTGCTTGTGAAGTTTCTATGGAAACTAAGGAGGACAATAAAAGTCTTGTATTATGTCAGAGTAAAAGTTGGTTTCACTTGCTCTGTAGCTTGGTAGTTATATCGTTGAAAAGAGATATTTCTTCGCCGTTTTTACTGTGATCATCATTGTACGGCTGATTTTTTATACAACAGGACCTAAAAGTTTAGAGTCTTCATACTAGTTCATTTATATAATAATCTTTAAAAACTATGTAATTTATCCACTTCAGTTCTACCCCCCAAATACATTATTTTAATTATCTTTATCCTTATCATGTGTATATCCACTTGCTCTAGCCTACAGTTGTCTATTATGCTGCATACTAGAATGTTTGCATCATAATTATGTTATCCTGTTATGATATTTGCATAAGTCGTCGTCTAAAAGCAATGGCTGTTAGGAGATTTATTAATGGAAATATAATACATTGCCGATCAGATGCTGAGAGGAGTTAGATATTCACAATAGGTTTATTATTGGACAACTGCTTACAAAGTGTGAATCAGATATTTCATAATTCCTGGTCTCCTTTATTATGCGATCGGCCACCATTGATATCTGTTTATCTCACTAAGAACTGAGTCTCTATAGACTCAACCTCTATTTGTTTCGCCTGAAATTTTGTAGAATTTTATCATGAGCTGACATTAGTCAGAGAACCATTTGAAAACCTGAGGATACTGGACGGAAATTTCTTCCTCGTTTGGGACTCTTCAGCAGTACGCACCCACATCACAGGGGTAACCAGGGTAACAAGAAGGTCCTGGGTCGTAGCGCGACCCCTAACCAATGTCTTCGGCGAGTATTTGTCCTCACACCCGACTTGCTGCACCCTACTGGTTAAATCGAATCCTTACAAACCAATACTTGAATAAAATTTTGTAGTGGACTGATATCCCATCATTAAACTGAAAGGTGTGTGATTCGAAACTTTCTATAGTAGATTCTTTGCTTATTTTTGCAATAGAAACACTAATTCTCCTCGTATTTTTTTCTTAAAACAAAGAATTTACGATGGTCCAGGGAATTGTGAGCCTCAAAAACCCAACAGCGATGAATAGTAAGTGATATTTTACCGAAAGTAATGATAAATATAATCTAAATTTTGCTTTTTCTTATTTATATTTTGGTCGCTAACTGATTTGAAAGCACAAAGAATACTAAGATAACAATGTACACCGTAAATAAACAGAGCCAGATATTTCACAGTTTAACAGTATAGGTTCGACTGTTTGAAATATATTACAAAGAACGTGAATTAAATTCAGATAACCCCACTCGACATAGTGCAATAATAATGCAAACCAGATGACTTTTTCATTTGTGACAACAGCTCAAAAAAATATCGCGTTTTTCCAGACTAATGGAATCTCATTAGTCATTCCATTTGACTGAAACCTTAGTGTCATCCTAAATATACCAGAAGGAAGTGTAAGAATACTCCAACTGGTAGTTTATGACAAGCATGTTAATGATAAATCAGTTCTATAGGATGACGTGGAAATTTAGAGTTGAGGAGTCTTCGTTTTAATGTTTTCTGTAAATGCGTTTTGTCATAAGGTGAGGAAGCGAACAAGTTAGACAAACAGAAAGATCAGTAAACATACATCTTAGCGTATCCCAAGATATTAGTGAATGAAAGGTGAGCCAGTCTTTCATCGTGGCATTCACATCATAAAATCATTTAAAATTTAAGAATATTATTTCTGAATGTATATTATTCTATATTAATTTTTATTCAAATGTCTAATCAATCCAACTCATGTATATAAACGAAGTAAAAAGTTGTGTGTGTGACTTGATATGATTATGTGCAATAGTTTGTGCTTGAAACGTCATCAGTTTATATTCCTGTATAACACTGCGTGATATATCAGAATAAAATCTTATCTATAATGCAGTTATACTCTACCACCACCACAGTGGTCACGTTTTATACTTATATCAATAAGAATTGAATTTGGAGAGTATGTATATATATGTGTAAGACTTGGGCACTGCGGTAGTAAGTAATTCCATATTAGTTTGTTTATTAGATGTATCACATATTGAAACAGTATTATTTACTAGATGACGAGGTTTCGAACAAAATTCATTATCGTTCATAACCATATCAGTTGTAATCACACGACTTCAAAACTTCAGTTCTATAGGTTTCTTTGTTCTCTCCTATTTGTCGTAGGGGTAGTAGAATTTTCCAAATGTCCGGCTGGACAGGTGGTGAATCATTCCTACTACACGTATTTGCAGTTGATTCGATAAACAAAGCTTCTGTTATCAATCTCTTCCCCCACCCTGTGAGATTAGATTTTAAAACTGTCATCTTATCCCATCCTATTGCATGGTCGTGTGTAATTGCATGCAGTGAGTGGTAGAGCTGAACTATTTTCTTATCTTTTTTGGGTCAACCAATCTAGGTTTTTATGTTCGGCCAGTCTGACTGCCCCTGTTCTACTAGTTTCATCTATGTATTTAACCTAACAATCATTGCAGGGTATTAGATAAACTAAATTGTTTTGTTTTAAATGCTCCACAGGATTGATCGTTTAAACAGCAAAGTTTGCTTCTAATTGAGTTTGTGGGTGTGAATGCCAGCCACTTTTATTCCTGCCTTGTTAAGAATTCTGCGTAAGGCTTCCAACGTTCCTTTCTTGTATGAAATTACTATTGATGATTTAGATTTCTATAAAACTCAAGTTTCAAAGTCGTGTGATTACAACTGATATGATTTCGAACAATAAATTTTCTTCGAAACGTCATCCAGTAAATAATACTGTTTCACTGTGTGATACATCTAATAAACAAACTAATATAAAATTGCATTTGTTGAAACAGAATGACACAGCATTATATAATGATGGTGCTTCAAGAAGAATTTATTTCTCATAATAATAGCAAGATGCAACTTGATATAATAACTATGAATCTTTTAGGATAATTAATATATCCATGAGTTCCAATTTACTATATGTTTCATTCAAGTAGTAGGTATTAAATGATCAAACTTGTGTATTATCGAAAAAAACAGTTGTTTATCTGTCCTTGCTATGGTGATTTTATTGTTGTTTTGATTATATTTAGCTTAGTTTGACCTTATCATCTGATTTCCACTCATCTGAGTTTAATCCCCAAACTTGGTTCGTTCTTACAAAGACCTGTCGTGCTAATGTTGTACACCTGGGAGGATCCTGTCTATACGCGTTGCATTAATTCCCTTCCTGACTTTAAAATATTATTTTAACTGTTTCGAATGTAGATATAAACAAGCTTACTCATATCTCTTATCACTTTATTCATCTTATTACTCACATTTATTTTTTTTAGCAATCTAACGTTAATGTTTTTGAAATACAAATCGACTAATCCGTGTTTGTAAATATTCTGGAAGTATATTTATTTTAAAATTATTTTACACTGTATGATACGAAATTACCAGTTATTATTATAATATCCTTTAATTCCTAGAGGAACATAGGACTTCAATGCGCGTCTCCATTGCCTTCTGTTTTCTGACAACTTTTTCACTCCGCTCCAAGTCTGCCCACATGCTTTCATCTCCTCTTCACATGACCTCCTCCAAGTCACCCCATCCTCTCACTGACGACCAACTCACCGCTTCCCTTTCGGGTTCCACTCGAGCAATGGCTTGTCTAGTGATGTCACTCACTTGATGGTTTCCTCAGAGTATGGCCAGCCAATCCATCTCCGTTTCTTCCTGCTTATTTGTTTCACAATCGGTTCCTGGTTGGTTCGCTCCATGTTGCTGATCTTTTCTGGCCATCTACTGTACTTGATTTGTGTAAATTTGCCAGTGGGAATAGTTATAAGCAATTAATCTTAGCGGAATTTTTGACTTCCACTTTCGACAATTCCCTAGGTTTCAGTAACTTATCTAGGGTAGACTAGGCGGTTTAACCTCTTCATCCAACTTCATAAACAATAAGTAAGATTTTCAAGTTAAATGACTATATTTAATTGACTCAGTGCAAACCTTAAGTCAATGGAGTTTATCTTTGAGTGAATTTTTGAGTATAGATACCACCCTGCATAGGTTTCTGACAGGCATTCTTATTATGATAACGCCTTGGTGGCTTCAAAAGTTAACCTTTTTTACTTACATCAGAAATCTTTTATTTTTCCAATAAGCAGCAGTGTTTTCTTTTTAACTTCTGACTTGTAGGTTCAGCTCTCAGTTGAATTACTCAGATATCTTACTTTATTTTCCTTCAGTGGATTACGGCTACGAGAAGTCTGAAAATTCAGGAGAGACGAGGGTTTTCAAGGACTGAAACTGAGACCGTATTCCTTCCTCATTTCGCTTGATAGTCTTAGATAAATAATCCAGCTTTTTCAATTTCTGCGTAGAGGTTGTGTGGGATACCATATATTACTGAGTTTAAGTATATATTCCAATTTACACACAGTAAATGCATGTTTGACATATTTCCTTCATACCTAGGAAAAAGAGTGAAAACGTGTTAGAGTTATAGGTTCCTAACTGTCTATAAACATATCTTCTGCTCAAAGGGAATCACATGATTCTGCTAGACTGACAATTAAAATCACAAATGAAGAGATCAAATTAGTTGTATTAGATCAAAAAATAAAATATAAATAAAGCGAGTGTTCTGGTGCTAGTACATAAAAAATTTCAAGCATTCTAGTACACGTAGGTCTGGTTAAATGTGCGAGTAATCGATCCAGGGGTCTGATGAAGAATTTAACAATTTGCATAAGGAAATAAAACACACAGGAGAAACGCTTGGCTTAATCACCAATCAAAAAGATAATTTTCCGGATCTATAAAAGTATAAAGTAAACAGTAGTATTTATGTAATCAGTGATCATGATAGGGAGATGAAGAATTTAAGGGGGCTTAATATTTCAAAAACCTATTTTCTTATTTTCAAGGGGGTTGAGATAATCTTTCAAAATATGAACTACTAAAGGAAATTATATATGTCCAAACCAAGTTCACTTTTAACAGTTTGAAAAAAATTGGGCATTGGGTATATGATATTCATTATAATCAAGGTTTTTGTATTTCCAAATGAATGAAAAACAAAACGATATTGTTTTTACTGACGTTTCGCTATTTAATGCTATTAGCTTTATCAAAGAATAATACTTTGATCGAAAACAATCGCTTGCTCAAAATCTTGTTTTGATTTCAATATGGGGATTTTTCATTTACTGAAAACAATATCGTTTTGTTTTTCATTCATTGGGAAATACAAAAACAATTATTATAATGAAAGTTTACTAAGTTGACCATCGTTCGTCAGTCTGGGGGCATTTTTCGTTGTCATTTGGTAAAGATAACAAAACCGAATGTAGATTGTTGGATTTGATCAGTGTGTAAAATTATAAAAGCAGTGTGTGTTTACATAGTGAACTTGCTTATCACATTCGCGTTGATTTTGTCACTTTATGCGGAAGGGAAGTGTTGTAACCAGGTCAGATTCTGTTTTAGTCCATCATTCCTATTCAAACAATTTGGATTCCACTTGATATGAATGGCTGGCTTCTGATATTAGACGTTCTTTGTAATTTCTGAAGTTTTTCTGGATGCTGATTTCAATATTGTCAAAATCAATTTTGTGGCCTGATTCTATAGCGTGTAGACTTACGGCTGATGATTTTTCAAGTTTTTCTAGTTCAACCGGATTCCTTGGTGGTCGAAGAGATGCTCTACAGTGTTCATTTATTCTGATTTTGATTTCTCGAGATGGTTGTTCGATGTATATTGCATCACATTTCAAGCATTTTTGTTTTATAGACACAATTAGATAGAGAATCTTTAGGGATTTAGTCTTTTATATGGACAAGATTGTTTCGTAGTTTGTCTAATTATTTTTGAAGGAAAGGAAATGTATATTCATGAATCATCTGCAACAGTCAGTAGTGCTTCTTTAACTCACATAAAAGTCATCATTAATTTATAAGATATACTTGGTCGGTTGGAAGAGTGAATATACTTAATCTGTTTGGTATGGTAGCCAACAAAGTCATCATTTGAGAAATGTCATTAATTTAATTCAACAAATTATTTATCGATTTTTTAAATTAATTTCAATGTAATTTTTTTTTTCAGCTATGGAATTGAACTCATTCCTCCTGGTTCTAATAAAGGCTATATTATCTGCAAAAGGAACATTACATACATTGGTAATTCTTATTATAATTTTTATATTAAATCTTAATAACCTTTAGGTTCAATAAACGTCACTTTTATAGTAGATTCGCCGTATGGAAGGTGAGTGGGTGTTTTATAATAGGATATCTTGTTTCGAATTCTATGCATTAAGTTATTTGTTCGCATATAACAGCGTCAAAGACAACAAAGACGCGTGTCAAATAAGAATATTCAAAAATAGGTAACAGAAGGACAATTCAAATAATAGTATAATCAGAAATTGAGTTGGAAAGCATTATTAGTAAGTGCTGTTGCTACGTAAATTAGATACTTACTACGAGGAAACAGATTTGGTAATCCTGTGAAGATTAACTTTTACTTAGTTCAAACTAAGTAACAAGGTGTTCAAGTGGATATGTCCCGCAGTTAGGTAGTTATCTAACAATTAAGTTATGATAACATTTTTCAAGTCGAGAAAAATAGGCATTAGATGGTAGGAGGCAATCCGCAGGAAGCCTTGGACCCAGGTTTGGTGATAGTTGACATTCGTCAGCAAGGCGTATCTGCAACCTTGAAGGAATTCATGTCCCTTATGAGATTCGAATCCGCATCACCCAGTGCTGCAGTTAGAGACGGCAGGTCCCCACCAAAGAAAGGACTAGATGCATAACACTAGTTACTAGTGTGCACTCAAAGTATAAAGAGGCACTGTTATTATCCTACGAAAATTAGTTGGGTGGGGGACTCTTAGCATAGGGTTATAATTCTGATGTGGTTTTGTTCTCTGAGCTCGATGGTTAATTTGCGAAGCTTTCATCACCCTACTGGGTGACATCTTCAGCGCATACTTCAATTTGAAGTTATAATTCTGTGGCTGATTTTATATATCAGCCTGCTACAATCTTCTCACTGGAATATTTTATAAGCGTCTTGAAGTTGAACTTTCAAAGAACATTTTCTTATGATGCAATATCAAAACATCGTGATTACAAAATCTGAAATGTTATTCCTTTCAGAATCTTTGTGCGTTTTTTGAGGCATTTTATTTTTGTAATTGATCAGGTTCAATTATTCTGAATACTTGAAGTATTTATCGAGAAGGTTATAGTGACTGTACGTTGCCTAATCTGGATTCCAAACTGCATTGGATCACCTATTATTACACTCTTTTGAGAAAACAGTGCAGAAAAATCGGGGCACAGGGATGCAGTTCCTTTCTTACACTTTATTTAACTCGTGTGACTATATCGTTTCACTTTGAATTAGTAGATTGATATTCATACGACAAATTATCATTAAAGTTGAAGAAGGGACTCAGCCTGTGACGGAATTCAAAGTTCAACTAAATCTGATTACCAGCTAGGTTTTCTAGATTACTTGGTGGACCTAAGGGCTGGTAACCCGTACGGGTCACTTATTCACCTTAAGTTTTCAAGCAACTTGTGATGAACAGATGGATTGTCAAAAGTTTGCAACCGTTATATATCATTTTTCATAAATAATTCAAATTGCTTCACAATATATTTTATCGATAGATAGAATTGTATACTTGATATACACATTAATCAGGTTTTATTTGACGTAAAACACAGTGATACAATAATGGATCACTAAGTGTTGTGGTAGATGTTATTTCATTATAGAGTTTCAGTCCTATTGTATTCAACATAAAAAATTATGCTGCTGAAACTTGATTTTTATCAACATGCTTTAAACATTTCTTTTTCTAGGAGTACAGCAGCCGAATCCATTTATCGTGTTGACAGGAATGAAAAAACGTACATGCACCAAGCATATTCAGGTAAATATTTGATAAATGTTTTTTTCCTTCACGTTCCCCAGTGGAACATGGCGCCTCAAGCTAGTGGCTTAAAAATTTCTGTAGCAGTGTTTATTTTACAGGATGGAGTTGCTAGCCTCATGCCCAGCCTTCCCTCTTTGCCAGTTCTATTACTGGCTTAGCGAGGTAAAGGAGTGAGTCTGCCGGGGATGGAACCCCGGACCATGTGCATCCGCTTTACCACCGACGCAATGTGAACAATGATAATGATTTCAAGAATAAAAATAGCAGGTTACTTGAAATGTCTGTATCTGACACAGTTTCATTTCAACGCTTATTACTTAACCCTTGCATACATTCAAAATTATTTCACTTCTGTGAAGAGAACAAACATTCTAATGTGTACTTATCCAACAATCTATTTTTCGGATTATTCACCAGTTTGGTCAAGAAAAAATGATGTTATGTATATTCTTCTGAGTAAAATTGACATCCGTGAAATTTGTCTAGGTCTTAACACTTAGCAGTCAGTGAGTCATTGGTTTTTGTACAGTTTTATTTCGCCACGTTGTCGCACAGATCGCGAGACCTTATTTAATCATGTATTAACTGCATAACCAAGTGTGACTACTACGATATGTTTTTATAACACAGAGATTCTATAAATACAGTGTCACTGGTTTAACGTTGAAGAGGACGGTTTCAGTCATTTAAAACTACCTTATTTCAAACTTCACCAAGAAGCATAATTCCCTGACGTAACATCCTGTGATACAGTATTACTTATTTACTGGTGATGTTTCAACTACAGCCTAATGCTCATGATCATATCAGTACATAGATCATATTGTATCACCGTATTTTATCAAAAGGAGTTATTTTATTACGGAATTATACTATTCCACACTGCCGAAATCTGTTGTTATACCATCAGAAAGGCCCACATATTCAAAGTAAATGGAGGTCAGACGTATATAGAAACTGCGACTTAATTTGGTAGGACACTCTAAAATCCAAAACAGTTATCTGCTGACCATTGATTTGGCGCTCTGACGACGTACCTACTAGATATGATCAGGTAACTGTACTCATCATTAGCGAACTAAAATACTACCCTTCTTCAAAAACGGACATGTAAATTTTTAGACCAAAATTCTGTATCTCGAAATTGGTCACGTCGTATAAAGAGTCGTGAATCATGATTATTTCTAAGCAATTAAGAAAGTTTGAACAGTTTGAATACTTTAGATATGCATTATTGTATAAAACAGATGTTATACCACAGGTTTTACATATGCCTTACAGATCAACTGGAAACTCATTGTGTGTATAATGTGACGCAAGAGAATTTTTTATAGGTAACATGTGAACCTGATAAATTGTTAAAAACCATGTCTAATCTCTTGAAATTCTTTTATTTATCAGTTATCAAAGGTGTTTCACCACCTCAAACATCTGCCAGTGGTGGTGGGTTGATCGAAATTTCAGGAGAGTATTTGGGACCGCAGGGCAATGTTAGAATCTTAGTAGGATACACAAATTGTTCACCAGTTCGAATGAATTCAACTGTCATTCAATGCATTCTTGACCAGATAACAGATACTTCGACAAATACTTTCTATCCAGGTTTGTTTATAATTTAAACAATACGTCTTTCTGCTATTATTATTATCATCATGACCCATCCCTTGCATCCCGAGTAAGACGCAGTCCTTCAGTGGAACATCTTAACTACACTCGTTTCTCTGTCACCACTTTGACGTGGCCCCAAGACTGTACAAGAGATTTCACTACCCCACTGGATGATCTCCATCGTGCTATCTGCAGGCGTCCAACCAATTGCATCACAGTCGAATTCTACTCTGTATTTCCATTTGATGGTATTTTTAACGTATGTTAAATCCATATACTTCTGCAAATTTATTGGGCGAAAGGTTTTTGGTTTGTTCGTTGACACACTTTCTGGCTAGTCATTTTAGTTTTGGAGTCGAGAGAAGGCACGATTTGATGAAGGTTTTCTATCAGTTCAAAACGCCTCAGATGACAAGCGTTCTAGGCCGCTAAGCTTGTGAAAGCACCGGCTTAAAATTCGTGTTGAAAATTCGAATGTTTTTCGTTGTGCTGAGTGCTGCAGATCTGCATACTAATTTCTGAGTGACGAACGCCTTTCGTGTTTCTCCCCTTCCGACTCTGTTTGGCTTGACATCTGTTCTTGGAAGGACAGTGTGTGGATAAGAGCAAAAGACTAATTTATCCAGATTTTCCTCTCTGACAGTGATTGACTGTATATTTTCACCACCTCTGTCTTCCTCGTGTTCGACTGAATTCTTGTATTTTCTGCTTTTTATGATGAATTATTCATTTGTGCTTGTAAATCTTCAAGTTTGTGCGACATGGGAGATAAATTTTTGGCGAAATCCGGTTACTTTAGAGACACTTTATCGGTACAATGTAGGACTGTCTTCTTGCTCCTCATGGTCTGTTACATGATCCAGTCTACTTCAGTGAGGAAAATTATCAGTATTAGTAGGCAGCTTCGTCTTGCTCCTGTCTTGACTTCAAAATATGGACCCAGCTTTCCTTTAGCATGCGGCATAGTCATACAGTCTTTGGATGAGGTGATATTGAAGCAGTCATCGTATTAATTCATGGTCAGCGCTACCAAAGACCTTACCAGGATCGATGAAGTTGACGTACAGATAAAACTGTAAATGATACTGCTGCTTGCTTAGGAATTATTCTAAGAGAGTTTTCAATTAGGATATGAATAGACTAAAAGGAAAAAATAGTCTAAGAACTTGGTGGCTTACTGATTCACTAACTATCTACTATCATACTTCGATAAAATGTCAGAATCAATCATTTTGTCATCTGCTTAAAAATTACTCCGCAAAAAGGCAATATATCCAAATGAATGAAGTTATCAGTTTTTATATATTTTTCTTGAAAATCAACAAATTTTACATCAAAAGTTTCATTAATAGTAGGTTATTTTTTGAGTTCTCCTTATTTTATTTTAACTTAGCCTAATTTTAAAAAGTGATCAATTATCAGAATTGCCTAAAAATCTACTTTTCTAAAACTGTGATTTTTAAAAGTTATGAAATTTCTTCATTTTAAAGTTTACATACGTCACATGACTTATTATGAAATATATGCAACTTAGCTGGTAATCGCAGAGTCATTTTAAAACATTACTGCAGAAACTGTTGTTTGAAAGGTCCATGTAGTAAGCTAATGGCTTAAGCTTCGATAGATATGGATCCTTTTGCAATTTAAAGTGTTCTCTGAGCTGGTTGGTTGAGTTGCAGAGCTTTTGTCGTCCTTCTGGACAACATCTTCAGTGCAATATTTAGTATAAAGTGAAATGACTTAAATTTCTTCATGAGTAATATAATTACGTCTCTCGGTAACCATCTTTACATATGTATTGACCATTTTCTATTCATAAATGGCGAACTTTATGATTGTCAATTACCAACCTGTTTTTGCAGATCTGTTTCATTATCGGACAAGTTTGGTGAAGGATATTTATTGTATTGTTAACCAACTCAATTTCAGTTATTAGTGTCTTGTGTTCAGTAATTAAGTACATCTGCGTTTTTTAAAATTATTGTTTTACGTAGCAACTATTTCGGATTATTTTTCTTCTTATGAAGCAGTGTAATGTCCGTAAAATATTAACTAATCTACTAACAGAATATATTAGACAGTTATGCTTTATGAGAAATATACTTAGGAGTTGTACTATCAGATGCTGCAAAATGCTGATAAAAAGCATTATAAAGCAAGTGCTATTACAACAAAAAGAAGAAGCGTGTTTATTTCAAATATCTTTAATTATTTTCAAACATTTGTTTTACTGGGGAAGTAATTTAAACAAAAATCTCATTGTTGTTACATGGTTGCTTACATACTGAATTTTGATCTATAATTTTATTAGGAAATCGTGGTTCCACTGTGCAATTTTGGTCAGATTTGAAAGCTTCAACGGAGGATGACCTATTAAAATTAAATTTTTCGGAGACTTCTTCAGCAACTCTAGAAAAATTTCTTCATGAACCAGAGTTCATTCCAAGCGTTTTGTACAATGGAACTGGAACAGCTCGCCTGATTACTGTATTTGTGGCGCCAAAAAGCTCTGAATACCAGTTTATAGTTAGTTCAGTTAACGCTTACGTTCTTCTTGGAGGAAGATCAAATGAGACTCTGGTACGTACAGAATTTAGGCAAAGTGTCCTTGAAAATAAATGCATATAAACATTTAGTTTTAATTTATTAAAATAAGAACTATATGAAACCCTGAAGCTTAAATTAAAATCAAAGTAGGAAGAAGAGGAAATATGCTACTTTATATATATATATATATATATATATATATATAATTAATGGGAACAGCAGAATTTTGATACGCCTTATTTGTAAAATAGCGTGTTTCTTCAATAATTTATAATTAAGATTTGTAATTTATCTATAATAACCAGGGACGATTATTGTTTATAACTTTTCTAAGTTCCAGGAATGAAGGTAATAGCCGAATCTGGGTGTTTCTTCTTGTACCATATTTCAGTAATCAGTTTAGAAACTTCAGCTTGTAAGACTGCAGGAATTGATTTTGACTGGATTACTGCTTTCATCTACTTTGATACCACCTTCTGACTAAATTTCCCCAAATCGGTGTTTAGTTGCTAGTTTACAAGTCAGAAGTCTAAAAACAAACCACTTTTAGGAAAATATGTCTCAGAATTACTGACCATCACTCATAATTAAATCACACTGCCACTACTTTTCGCCTTGAATATTTGGATTTATTGTTTTCTCTTATGTATTTACTAAGTGGAGTTTGTACAACACGAGCTGGCAGATGAAGTTTGCTCCGATAGACAGAATAAAAGCCTACGCCAGCTGATTATCTTTATATTTTGAGCTGGTTGTTTGTTATCTAACGGTTATTCGACTGTCATTTTATATAATAATATAATGCAGGAGAATTCACACTTTTTGGTGAACTCCTGTTTAAACTGAGTATAATCAAATTTTATTCGTGTCTTCTGTTCATCCGTGTACAGATGAATTCATGGCCTAAGTAAAGCCGACACAATGCTTAACAAAGAGCTTCAAAAATAATCGGTAGCTTAATCGAATCGCTATAATGTTCGCCTACTAAATAAAATAAAAATATTCTCGATGGTATTTATAAAATATTTTCAAGGGCCTTACAGTATGTAGACTAAAACACTGAAAGATATCATTAAGGCTGAAGACCAACTGCATACATTTTTGTTATCCTGTATAGTGGTAATCCCAGAGCTTACAGTTTATTTGACTTCTCTTACCATGTACGATTTAAAATCTTAGATGCACGATTTTTTTCAATTGCAAAATTAGTAAAATGGTTTCATTAACTAATACTAGTGATAGACTTCATTAACGTCAGATATTAGGAATAAGTAGTCTGTGGAAACCACAAAACAAGAGCTATTTATGAGGCTAAGAATCGAGGATGAAAGCTCAGATGTATACATAGTTTCTTGAATGCAAATTAGTCTATAGAAGATAGTAAATAAAATGAGGATTCTCAATTTTTCTGTTTTAGGCAAGGATGTCAGTAGTTAATGGTCGAACTAAATCAATTTACTTGCAGAGAGATGAAATGTAAGTCTTTTTTTTTAATATTTGTCGTGATACTAACTTTATATTACTCAAAATGTTTATCTTAGATTTAAGTCCTTACTCATAGTTACGAACTTCACAGACTCCGGATATGCTTGGGAAATCGCCTACTTTGCAAGCATTCGTTTCAAAATAGTTTTGGAATAAAACTAGTTGAATAGCTTTCAAAATTATTAAAAGAGTACATGTTTTATTCTGATATTTTTAGTAACTTAAATGCACATAGCTGACAAAAGGTTGAATCATGAACATTCAGTCTCTAAGACACGAACTCTGTTACTTAATCATTTAGCCAAAGTCAAATGGAATCCTAGCGTTCATTTCGCCTCTAGATATTTTGTGATCTCCATCTGCTTTCCCTAAAAAAGTACTCATTTTCCTTACCAATGACTTTTCAGTAACTGTGACGAAGTCGTTATCACTACTGTTATTATTAAGAACTCTTATGACTGAGAGTAAGTTCCGGACAAAAGCACAATCAGGAAATTTACTCAGAATTTCAGTCGACGTAAAAAGACATATTCTCTACTTTTCTATACCCAAGACAATAACAAATGTAGATGTTATACGAATAAAAAGTTTTATAGAGATTATTCCATTATGGGTAAATTTTGTTTTGATAAAGTCTCACAGTGTTATACAGTAATGTTTACTGATGACGTTTCAAGCACAATTTACTGCTCATAATCATATCAAGGTAATTACACAACTTCCTAACTTCATTTATATAGTTCCATTGTTTTTCACTTGATTTGAATAATAGTAGTATCTCCAGCTTCTTGACACACATAAACTCACTAGTGGAGGGAATAAAATTCACATTTGAATCGGAAGATGAACAAGGAGAACTAGCTAAATTAGATTGTAAGGCAAAGCGAATAGAAGAAAATAAACTACACACTAGTGTGTACAGAAAACCAACTCATTCTAATAGATACTTAGACTTTAATTCATCTCATCAGTCAACTGTTAAGGCAGGCTTAGTTAAGTGTTTAACAAATCGAGCAATGGCACTAAGTAGCACAAAAGAAAGACCTAAATGATGAAATAAAACAGATAGAAGAGGTGGTAGTGTCCAATAACTATCCTTTAAAATTCGATAGTAAGATTGAAAAAGGCCAAAAGAGAAAGAAAAATGGTTGTGAAACTAGTAATAATAACATAAATAAGCGAGAATATACGTCATCTACAGTTATACCACATAAAGAGGGGACATCCGAGACACTTCCTGCGTAAGATTCTAAATAAAGCAGGAATTAGGGTGGCATTTAAACCCTCCTACAAACTCACTCAGAGACAAGTTCTGTAGGTTAAAGGACCCAGTTGACCCAATTAGACAAAATAATATAATTTACAAAATACCCTGCAATGACTGTGAGCTAAGTCAACTACATAGGTCAAACTAGTAGGTCAGGAGTAGTCAGATTGTCAGAACATAAAAATTTAGCTAAGGGAAGAATGGTTGACCCCGGGAAGATAAATAATTAAGGGAAAAGCTCAGAATTGCAATGCAATGCATGCATTAACACACAACCGCACAATAGCATGGTAGGGAGAGGGTTAAAATTCTAAAAAGTAATCTAGGTAGGTGGAGAGAGAGGTTGATTACTGAATCCTTGTTCATCGAGTCTACACCCAACACATGCAATAGGAATGATTCATTACTCATGCCGGAAATATGGAAAATACTACTGCCAATCAAATCAAGTGAAAAACAATGATCTATATAAATGAAGTTAGGAAGTCGTGTGATTACCTTGATATGCTTATGAGCAATGAATTGTGCTCGAAACGTCATCATTAAACATTACTGTATAACACTGTGAGACTTTATCAAAACAAAATTTACCCATAATGGAATTTCACTCTACCACAGTGCACAGGTTCTATTCTTATATGAATTATAGGGATTATCTTGTTTTTTCACCACAGTATATGTTTACCAACTCGTACAATCACACTTAAGAAACCAAGACAATGACGTGATCAGTAAATCTGATCGAGTAGAAATTCACCAAATGGACGATAGTAGTGCTAAAGTTAGGTTTCAAAGTACGCAATCCCGTTCCTTTTTGGAAATGAGCTCAAGTAAAATTGCTAAGAATTTTAGCATGGTTCACATTGCTGTATTTTTTTGCAAAGCTATCAATTTCTTTGAACTGCGCTGCAGTCTGAGCATTATCTCATTAGTGATGACTTAAAAATTTGTGTGTAAAGTGAGAATAAAGATTGGTTTTAAGAGAACTTTTCATCTCAGTTACCAGCTAATAGAATGATATACTGGATTATCTAAATCCTCATTTGAAATTATGTCTCAAAATTATTTGACAGTAATTTTATAATTAATAAAAAGATATTTTAAAATGATAAAAATTTCCGTCAACAGTAACTGAAGTATATGTGTACTTCTTTTAATTAAGTTGGATACTTGAACTTCGCACCACATTAACCCGACCAACCGTTTTGACACGTCTGTGTGCATCTATGTTGAATACAAGTTTGAACTATCAACAACTGAAAGCATCAAAACCAACCTCGTACACAATATCACTTAAATCTAATGGCTATTCAGAAAAGCAGGTACGTTCATAATCATTAATTTATATGAATACTTAGATATTGAAAAGATCAAAAATCGCTTAAATACACCAAGTTATATCCGTTTCCTTTTTTCTGCCTTCACGTTCACCAGTGGAGCCTAGCGCCTCAAGCTAGTGGCTTGAAGTTTCTGTAGCAGTGTTTATTTTTACAGGATGGAATTGCTAGCCTCATGCTCAACTTTTCCTCTTTACCAGCATTATATCTGGCTTAGTGAGGTAAAGGAGTGTGTCGGCCGGGGATCGAACCCCGGACCATGGGAATGGTCGGCAAGCGTCCTAACCGCTGCGCCACCGACGCACATTATATACGTCTCAGAAACAATTATTTGTGTTTTCCTATATGCTTTTTATTTCAAAAATGTTAAACCTTTTCTTGATACAAGGCAGTGTTTCAGATGACAGATGTATGGATTCTATGGGGGTGTAAATATGCATTGAATAAAGTAGGTACCTTCCAGGTTGTCAGCTGCTATCCAAAACTAATTATGTGTAACACTAAACCCCAACTTCAGTCCAATAGTCAAATCAGTAATACTATTTCAATGTTGAGCAACTTTTGTTTGTGAAAGTATGGAAAATAAGTCAAATTAAATTGGTTTTGAGACAATTTTGAGACACTCGAAACCAAAGTGCTATGCTAGCCAGCTCCTTTTAACAGGAGAAACGCAAAACTTGTGTTGGAAGTGAACAAAATTACATGGTATAAATGGTACCTAGAGATTTACTTCTTTGTTACTATGGTTAAGACACAGAGGAATAACGAGAGTGGATGTGAGCCAATATTTTTTGACATTTTAACTTCTGCCGATTCAAATGTCTGTCACCTAACAGTGAGTATTTTTAGTATACAAGTGAATTATTACGTCTACTCCTACATCAAAGTGTAAAAATCTGATTGATTAAAGATTTCAAGCTGGCATTGTCTGACACATGTTTGTGTATCATGTAACTGAAGAATGGACGAGAGTGAGTTTATGTAACCAAACTGTCCGTAAATTGCTTCCTATTACAAGATGAACATAAATCCTGAAAACTTATATTCAGTCGCTAGGCTAATAAAAAAGTGTTCACTTCCATATACATTAAGTGTTCCATGCCAAAACCACTACAGTAGGAAATGATCATACTGTACATATCTTTAATAGCCATAAATAATACAGTAATAATCCATTGAAAAAGATTACAATCAACATAACACATCCATGGTCTTATCTGGCTGCACTTTAGGAAAGTCAGGTATCATTGAAGGTACGCCGTCGTCAGAGCTACAGGTCAGCCACCACTGCATACGAAGTCTTTATTAAAGTGGCCAGTTTGTAGATAAGTGTACTAGAGAGTTTCATGTGTCAGAATTAGTTTTGTTGATGCTTATAGAGATGTCATGTAGGAAAAAACTGATATTAAACTGAACGTTCTCAGGATACCACGCAAACCAGTAGAAGAATGTGAAAAAAGAAGGCATAGGTACTCATAAATATCTGTTTAAACTTAACAGAAATAATTTATCTAAAAACCTTTGGACAAAGAATTGAAATCGTTTTATTGAGACTGCTAATTCGTTAGTTTTGTTCAGACGACTTCGCTGTCAGATAAGCTTCGGTGCTAAGAATATACCTGAATTTCCAATGTAATTGAAGTAAGACATTAAAAACTCTAAGTGAATATTGTTTGTGGGCTGATTTTTAAGCAACGTTTCTGTATCTTTTCATAAATATTTCAAACTTTTACCATATATGTACTAACTATCATATTTTCTAAACTGTTTATATAGGTAGTGAACCATTCTGCTCTATTTAACTCACCGATTACACCGATTTCTGAAATCCAAACGTTCAGTATACCATCAGATGCTATGCAATATAAATTATGCTTATTTTCTTCTTGTACAGGTATGTAATGGATATTAACTTAAACTACGCAACATAAACGATATAAAAACTAGGCTGCACATAATATCAGTAAATTTAAGAATGAAGTATAACGAAGATTAGATTTCAGTTATTGAGTTTAGAAGTATCACATTTTCGGGATTTCAGTTTTTTTTTCGGATATAATTCGTGTGATTAAGCTCAGAGAAAATCATAGGATACTGACCGACATTTTGACTTAGCGCAAGATAAAGAGAGGTTTTAATAGTTACAATATGACATAAAGGTAGACGTCTAGTATCTTTCGAATTATCAATGAAATAGGTTATACAGCTGAACGCAGCCATCCAAAATTTAGTTTACAATGTGGTTAGCAGGTGATGAAGTATCTTCTAAATAATTTCCACCCAGGTTTTAGCCGATAAATCACACAGTGTTGTACAGTAATATTAACTGTACAACACTGTGTGATTTATCGAAATAAAATATTATCCATAAAGGACTTGTGAATAGCCGTTTCTGTGTCTAATGTGATCTCAGTCAATAGTAGAGTTTTATTGAAATAACCAGGTTTTTGAACTTGAAATGATTTATCATAGGTTTTGAAAAACGCCTAAGTCTATTAGAGTATGTTTCACTAGAGGTTATAATGACGCATTCTTTCACAAACACTGGCAAAACACACACAAACGAATGATGTGATGAATGCACACAATAGAAAATAGTTCTTTGTTTGTTCTTGTCAGGAGATACAGGAGGAATATAGACGTAGTTCTTCATAAATAAAAAAGTCAATTTTTTAGAACAGTACCTGTGATCACAAGATACTAAGATTCACATTTGGACATCATGTATACTCTTATTTTTTCACGATTTTTTCTCTTCAGTACCGTTACCAGTTCAAAGTCCAAATGTTGACCAGATCAAGTCAGAAATTAACGAAAAGTTTGGCAGCTCATCTACAACAGTTAGAATTTTAGGTACTACCAGTGATTATTTTACTTTTGAAGTTACCTTTCCTAAAGAGTTCGGTAAGTGAATTACGATTTTACTATCATTTCAGTGTGTATTGATCCTTTTTACTCGAAATGTTGTTGTTTTTAGGACATAATTTCCAGTGCTGTATTTATGTAATAGATTTAGATAACTGGCTCACGTTTGATTATTAGTTTTATAACAACACATTTAAGCTAACATTATTGTGCTTTCAATTAGATCTCATCAGGCTTAACTCTACTATATATATAAGTTTACAAATAAAAATTCAAATCTAAACCAATCATGGTGAATATAAATTGTGCAATTAGTCATAATAGTGGTAATGATAATATTAATAATGGTATTATTAATAATAATGGTCTTATCAATAATAAGGCTGAAAAAATGAGGCAATCTGTGATAACACGAATAATGAAAAACAGTATGGTTAAACAAACAAATGTTCAGGTGGAAGTAGTCGATAAAGGTTAGTAGATGGTGAGATTATATTCCAAAGACTTTCAAGGAGTATACGTAGAACATTTTACGCAGCACACCTATGTTTGCCATTCTCTAGCCGACGAATGATTGGAACGCAAACAAAGGATAAGCTTGATAGTTTCGCCACATCTATGTGTATTTATCAATTCAACTGCACCTGCGGCGACAGTTATATTGGGCGTACTACTAGACAGCTTAGCCAACGTGTTAGTGAACATCTCCCATCGTGGTTTGGCAAAGGACAGACAAAAACAATCCGTAGCTCAGTTCTGTCACATTTAATTGATTGTGGTCATGTAGTGGAGAAAACGAGAGCCCTCAAAGTAATCCATCGTATCTCACCGAATCTTTGTAATAGACTTTGTATTCGTCTACTGAACACAGCTGAGGCGATAGGCATTCGAAGTATTAAACCTAAACTATTCATTCAAAAGAAGTTCGTACAGCCATTATCCCTCCCTTGGAGTATTAAAACATAACCAACTAAAGACTTCTACACCACCCCTTATTTATATTTCCAACCCCTTTCTTATCATCCCTTAATCTTATCACATCTTCATTATAAACGTGTTTCATTTCCTTCCCTTACAATCTAACATTACGTAATCGGTTCATCTGTTTTTATTAACCTTTATGGGCTACTTCCACCTGAACATTTGTTTGTTTAACCATACTGTTTTTCATTATTCGTGTTATCACAGATTGCCTCATTTTTTCAGCCTTATTATTGATAAGACCATTATTATTAATAATACCATTATTAATATTATCATTACCACTATTATGACTAATTGCACAATTTATATTCACCATCGTATTATCCTATAGACAAAACACCATGATTGGTTTAGATTTGAATTTTTATTTGTTAACTTATATATATAGTAGAGTTAAGCCTGATGAGATCTAATTGAAAGCACAATATTGTTAGCTTAAATGTGTTGTTATAAATTTTACTATGGGTATATTTAATATATATTAGTTTTATATTATAATGATTTATATTGAATAAACTGTAAACTTGTTCAGAGTGGTAAGAAGAAAAATGAAGAAGGGATAAGAACAACTTCTGTGTTTATCTATCGAGTGAACACAATATCAAGAAAAATGATTCAGAAATAACAAGCTCTAGATAACCGTTTCTTGTCTACACCTTTTTCACGGATAGTTATTTAGATGAGCCTGGTTGAACATTTCACATCCAACAGTTAGATGTCATTGTTCATCGTTCGATTTAAAATCTTTCTGATGTGCATAAACGAAAACCTCGTCAGTTCGTTCAAAAGACAGGACATTCCTATTGGATGAAAGAGCAAGTGCAAATCTCCTTTACATTTCTCATTCAGAAATTTATCTAAACCTACCATACTCACTTACCTTTCCAAAATCGCATTTGTCAGTTTAGTTCATTATTAAAATGTACTAGCATCATTTTGTACGATACCATCTTTTAATGTTCATTATGTTGGATTTCATAGTTTTTACTGACGTCCTGAGTATGGTGTTTTTTAGAAATTTATTTTCCTTCACGTTCTCAGTGGAACATAGGGCTCCAAGCTAGTGGCTTGAAGTTTCTGTTGCAGTGTTTATTTTTACAGGATGGAGTTGCTAGCCCCATGCCTAACCTTTCCTCTTTACCAGCATTATTTCTGGTTTAACGGTGTAAGGGAGTGCGTCGGCCGGGGATCGAACCCCTGACCACGTGCATGGTCGGCGAGAGTCCTAATTACTGTGCCACCGACGCCTTAGTATGATGTACGTTGTAGGATTAGAAAATCATCTGAATTTTATTAATAACAAGTAATGTTTGTTTATGCAGTTTCCTACTAATACTGATTTGCACATTGGGCGTCCAGATTTTATTCAGCCTTCCTAACCTTTTTCACACGTACTCTTGTTCATCGAAACTTCGAAGACAAAATCACATTGTTGGAAACTTCAGTGTGTATTTAGCAGTTCACTTGCTTCTGTGGAGTTAAGTACAGAGGCAATTTCAGCAGGATATTATCTAGACACACTCATAAACACATATTGGCATGGCTGTTAATAGGAGAACCTGTAACAGTCAACGGCATAACTCTGAGGGATATTGTTACTACTTGTCACATTAAATCTGAAGAGGCTTTATTTAGAGCCGCATTCGAAGTGACATCAAGAGGCTTTAAAACAAATCGCCTACATCTTCTTTATGCATCTGAAGCCCAAACAATTTATGAGGTAAAACCTAAAGTTTGTGTTTGGAATTATTTTTCCTAGCCTCTTATTACCATGGTTTCAGTTTCAGTTTTATTTTCTTCATTCGTAGCATAATAAACTCTCTTCGCAGTTGACATTTATAAAATTATATTTGTACAATCTCAGCGAAATTGAAATGATTAATTCCAACGTTTCGTTCGGCAATCTGGTCCGAACTTCTTCAGGGAAATTAATCGCTGAGATTTTACAAATATAATTTTATAAATATCTACCTCTCACTCAGCGCTCAATTATCTTGCAACTATCCGGTCAAATCTTGGTCACGGTTCATATGAATCTCTTCGCAGTAGTTTTGTTTCTTATATTCAGTCGTTTATTCGCTTGTTTTCTATCAGTTGTTTTGAAACGATTAATTATCACTTGACTATTAAGTTGTAAGCTCCTTTCATTGAGTAAGACCGTTCACTATTTTTACAGTTCAGCTCTCATAAATTGATGTATGTTTTCTCAATTAATGTAATATCATGGTAATTTACCATTTATTTTGTGTGTGAGCGGTTATAAAATGAAAAACTTCGGGCTGTTTTGTGTTAACTAAGTTACAATTCAAGTAAAATGACTAGAAGATGCATTTTTTAAAAATAACGCTGAGTCGGAAGACAGAATTTTATAATAAAAATAAATCTGGTTTTTAAGTGGATATCAGGTGGATTGTCTCAGTTCATAATGATGTTTTGAAAATGATCAGTTTTAGATTCATGAAGATTTCACCTGAAATTCAACTTGTCTTTTGACCAACAGCTGTGTGGGATTTTTTCAATTAGAACAAAGAAAGGAGAAACATTGGCGAAGAATAATCCAGGCCAATTTTATTTCGTTGGTTCTCATCAGCTGCGTACAACCTGAATTTTTTAATAAAAATAAACAGTGTACAATTTTTAACAAACCTTTGTCCATTAGCAAGCATACTGTCAGAGCGTCATAGTAAAATACGGCTTTAAGATTTATAGGGTGTCTAAAGTGCTACGACATATATGTATATATATCTTGGTAGAAAGAAGTTCCTTGAAAAATAATTTACTAACAGTTGTGTTGTTGGGGTGGTAACAAAAGAAATTTAGCAATAGTTACCTAATTAGATAAGAGAGGATCAAAATTTTAGAATTTCAGTGTACATGAGGTTAGATGAGAAGTTGATGATGTAATACAGTGAGCAGAACTCAGAAGATCAAGAAAAATTATCTCTTAAGAGAGTTAAGCGAAAAATAAAGGGAGAGGTTGGAGTGAAAAGATAAGCTAACAAAATTAGAAAACAAAGAGTTACTAAGAAGTGAGCTATTAGGGTAATTGAAGTCCAAAAACGGATTCTATTTGGACACCACCCCAACAACACAACTGTTAATAAAATGTTTTTTCAAGAAACTTCTCTCTACCAAGATATATATATATATATATGTCGTAGCACTTTAGACACCCTGTAAATCTCAACGCCTTATTTTACTATGACGCTCTGACAGTATGCTTGCTAATGGACAAAGGTTTGTTAAAAATTGTACACTGTTTATTTTTATTAAAAAATTCAGGTTGTACGCAGCTGATGAGAACCAACGAAATAGAATTGGTCTGGATTATTCTTCGCCAATGTTTCTTCTTTCTTTGTTCAAATTTATAAAAGGGAATCATTGTATGAAATTTTCCCAATTAGTTGAACAGTTTGTGCTAAGAAATCAGTATAAAAGAAGCTGTACTAATAGTAAAAGAATGGCAACAGTACAATTAATGAACTAATCACGTGAAAATTAAATACGCCAGATTTTCAAGCACCACAATATCGGAAAAGATTTTGAGGCTTAGCATTTTTGTATTTCATAGCTCAAACTTCCTAACTTTACAGTTTGGCGTAATGTCAAGATGCTATGCATCATTAATAACTCAGTTTTTGGAATGTGCCTAGTTTTGTTGTTTGACTGAGGTGTTGCATATAAGTTCAGTGCCCTGAAATAAGGGAACACTACTGCTATGAAATGATCATTGATTGAAATTTCCAAGCTACTTCAGAAGTTGTTTTATTCAATAATTATTACTTTTCCATGTCAGTCATATGCATGCACATAAAAGGTATGACTGTAGCGCGTTCTCACTTAAACAGATCAACTCCCAACGCTTGACAGCAAAGTAAAATCATTGATATGTTTGGAAGATCCTTTAGGCAATAAATCCCTTCAAGAAAACTATAACTCTTTAAAATAACACCATTTGTAAGCTTATTTATTTCATTTAATTGAAGCGAAAAATTCCAGTTGAATTAGTTTCAATTTACCTATCGTTTTTATAACTATAGGTGATATACCGCCTTTTGAAGTCAGAACTATTCGACAAACCGTAAACAAAGCGTTGGTCAATGAAACAGTTAAAGGAATGACCGGATTTACACGGGATATCCGACCATCGTATGGTGGCATGTACTCTTACAATACCTACACACTAGATAGCACTGAAGCTGAAGTAAGTAAAAGTTTAGGACTTAGCTTTAACCATTATTTCCTTAAAACGTTTTAGTTAAATTGGTTACAGGATTTCATCATGAGCTGACATCAGTTAGAGAACCATTGGAAAACCTGGGAGTACTGGATAGCTGTCTCGTCCTAGTTTGAGACTCTTCATCAGTACGCAGCCGCCGGGGTTTGAAACCAGAACCTTCTGAATTACAAGGTGAGCTTGTCCACCATTAAGCCACTGGAACACGATCCATTAGCCCATCAATTCTAACATCTGCCAATTCACGACATAGCGCGAACCCTAGCCAATGTCTTCGGCGAGTTTTTGTCCTCACACCCGACCGGCTGTAGCCTACTGGCCACGAGTTCTCACTAGAACCCCGGGTAGCTACCTATCTGAATACGGCCAGTCACCAGTGAGCATCTCATTGATATTCAAGTATTGGTTTGTAGGGATTTGGTTGATTGGTTGCAGGATTTCATCATGAGCTGACATTGGTTTTAGTTAAAGCTACGAGATTGTTTTTGCATATTTAAGTACTTTTTAATGATTGATTTCATGGGCAGTTAGTCTTATTATTTAGTTGTTCTTGCTGAATTTTTGAAAAGATGTTTAAAGGTTGATGGTATAGACGTTCGCGAACAGTACTGAGTGTATTAATGCAAGATCTTATACCAACAACTTCTAACTTATTTGATTCTCGTGTACCAAAGGCAAAGCAAAAGACCACAATTGGTTGTCAAATTACGAGATATATTTCGGAACCAAATCGCGGATTGAAGCGGAAGCTAAGCTAGCTAGTTATCGTGCATGACAGTGACACGACGGAGTACCAAATGGCGGGGATGCTTGACGTGAAGCCTTCAGCTAAACAAGTCGACTTAAACTCTAAGGGTCAGCATCCAATGTTCACTGATGATTCTTATCGTCACGATGTAATTCTTCTCTTAGACATAATCTATTCCTATGGTCAATAATTTTGGGGAATTATTTATCGCTACAGTTGCAATAGAGTGAAGTGGTAATCTAGTGGGACAAATGTTATTTAGTTATATTGGCTGCCTGATACAAACAGAAAACGTTTATAGGACATTACTGAAATGGAAACAAAAACCTAAGTTGCATAAGTACTCTAATGAATAGCCTTAGTGCTGTTAACCCACTGAATGAATTGCAAAGTTTATAATATTGCCTATCTTGAATGCAGGTGTATACATGAAGCATACAACTATTTATACTCCTTTATTCACTGAAGACTAAGGTTTTTATATTGCAGAAATTAAAGATATTTATCTTTCTGGTTGTTTTGTTAACATACACATAAGATTCAATCTCAATATTTAAATCGTACTTTCAGTACATTTTTTTAAATTTATCATGGAATGCCTAAGGGAAGTGACTCGAGAGAAACGGTTGATGTAACATATCTTACAAATTTTTTCCACGTTAACATCCATTTTACACTGACTCACTAAAATTAATAAATTTATATATCGGCTGATGTATAATTTGGGTTTTTTAGATTCGGTCAGCATATCTTAGTCTTGGTTCGTCTTGGTGTCCTCCAAAGCTGATTAATCCGCCATTTAAATACGCTGTTTTTGATGATTTCGAAAATTCTACACGCAAAGAAGTCACAACTGAAGCTGTTGCATTTTGTGGCCGCCAGTGTGTAGAGAATCTGTTTACATATGTGTTTGATCAAGTTATCTCGGTTAACACTAATCCATTTGTGAGTTGAAATTGATGAGATATATTGTTTATTCTCTCATATAATCTGTAAACATTTCAGTTTTTCACATACCATATACACACACAACAAAAAAACTGTAAATTATAACTTCACATTCGTTTTAAATTGCCACAAATAATTTCTAAAAGTAAAATGTTCTTACTTTAAGGTGTTTGGGTGGATGGATTGTAACGGCAGGAGACAAGAAACTTGTTAAAGAATGCTTATATGGAATTTGGTATCGCTATGTAGGGAAATTATGTACAACTTATCATTACTATTTGAACAGGTCTTCTGTGTTGTGCTACTTCTGGCCTTCAGGCTGTGTTTCTTTGGGTTCTTTCCATGTCTCCCATTTATCTTGGCAACGTTTAATCGTCTGCTATCTCTGAAATCAAATTTATCTCCCTGATATTTGATATTTCTATGCAAACAAACGTCTCTTTATACACCATTGATAAATTCCATCATTAGCATAGGATAATGAATTTCCAGGCAAACTATACATCTACTTTTTGCTCACACTACCTTAAGACTGTATTCATTTGTTCAATTAACTAGTGAGTAGCAAATGTCAGGAAACGAAAGTTTCCATCCTTCACTCATTGCTTACTTCACAGAGTTAGTAACAAAGTTAAGTTACTCGTAAGTCGGATTATAAGACAGCAAGAGAAAGTAGTTACCTATAGTTATAAATAAGTCATAACGAGCATAAATTTAGAAGTACAACTTTTAACGAATCATATCCATATTACAAAAATGACTGAATAATTTCATTTGACGGTGGGTTTTCTCCAATTTAACTGAACGCAATTCTAAAGCCTAGTCATAGTATTTCCACTAAGCTGCTTAGCGAAAAGGGCACAACTTTTGCAATGTATACTAGTCACTATGTTTGAAACTGTTGTAAATTTCATGGAGGATTTAATCACGAGCTGACATTAGTTAGAGAACCACTGGAAAACCTGGGAGTACTGGATAGCTGTTTCGTCTTAGTTTGGGACTCTTCAGCAGTACGCACCCACCGGGATTCGAACCCAGGACCTTCTGGTTACAAGGCGAGCTCGTAGACCACTGAGCCACTGGGACCCGATCCAATGGTCCTTGAATTCTAACTTCTGCCGAATTTCCCGTTGAATGGTTGCCATCAGAACATCTTTACTAATAGCTTGAGTTCCTAAATTTAAGTCCCCAGTATTATCCTCTGTATTCAGAATAATAATTAATCATGCTAGTCGAATACGCGATACAAGGGATAACTTCCTAGGCTGAAACTGGGTAACTTCTGAGGAAAATGTCAACAGATGTTAAACAGAACGATATTGATATGACAAAGAAATACTGATCCACCTGTCTTATTGTTTTTGTTGCAGTTGCCGGTAATTAAAGAATGTCACTGTCCGGACTAATTGATGAATAATGATTGAATATTTTTTATCCGAATTAGAATGTAATAAACAGCAAATTTTAATATTAATATTTAAAGAGAAAGCTATACAAAATTATATGCATCATATTTAATGTTGATTATTTTATTTTTTCATCATTTTTCATGAACCAATTCAGTTATGTTTTGCAGTAAAAGGTAAAACACAAAATATAGTAACATTTGTATACAACGCCATTGGTATTAACACTCGTTTACTTAAACAATCTTTGAACTACGCAATCGACCTGACACTTCCACAAGAAAATGTGTAAGTTTAATTTTCATTTTATGACAGAAAATTGCACATTTTATCAAAATCCTGTACAATATACTCGAGAAAAATAATTAACACGGCTAACAAAGTTTTAATAGATAAAATTGAAATTAGAGCAGAAGAGTAAACTTAGATTCAAGTTTTTCCTGCATTGAAATTCATATAAGGAAAGGAAATTTTATTGATATAAGCATAAAACTTGGGCACCGTGGTGGTGTATAACTGCATTATGAATAAAATTCTATTCTGATGAAATCACACAATGTTATACATACAGCAGGTTATATGAGTGCCTTGATATGATAATGAGCAATATTTTGTCCTCGAAACGTCATCAGTAAACATTACTGTACAACCCTTTTTGATTTTGTAGCTTTTCAATTATGGCCTTTAGGGTATAAGAAAGACTAGTGATTTTTAGTTTCATTGTAACATCATTTCAACAGATAACAGAAAGCCAGGGGCAAGAATTAAAGCTTCCTTGCTTAGGAGATAAAAAATGGCAGTTTTAATAAGACCCCAAATGTCTGATCTTATTCATATAATCTGCAAAATTTATCCTCTTTAACATCGGTGGCACAGCGGTTAGGACTCTCGCCGACTATGCACATGGTCGGTGGTTCAATCCTCGGCCAACGCACACCTGACATCAGTTGTTGGCCTGCTAAATTTGGGCTACCGATATCACATGCTGAAAATTCCATACTTGTACCAAAAATACTGTATGGTGTCAAACTATCATCAAAAATAAAAAATAAATCAGATGGGTAATAAGCGAAACGAGAAGTATAATGTGTGAGGACCAGTGAAAAGATTATGGAATAAAAGTGATGAATAGAATCTCGGCTAATATTGCAACTGACAGTAATTAATAATACTGCTTTAGAGGGGAAAGGAACACTGAACTGTTTATTTTCATCTGCGTAGATAATAGTGAATTAGGGTTCATTTTACCTTCAAGTTCAGAGAGTGACCCTATGGTTTTTACATTTTTTAACTTGACCAATGTTGGTTGGTCGAAATGACGTTTTTCACGCTATTTGCGATTTATATAATGTTAAGAAGCAGTGATATCTACCTTGTTTGGAACCTGCATCTTGTGTCAGAACATATGCTGTATCATTATCAATATCTTCGGTATTTAATTTTGACGGACCGAAGTAGACACTGAAGTATAAGTATTCGAAAATTCTAAAGCCGTAAGCTTGCATTGCCTACAATGGGAAAATTTTTAAAAGTTGGACAAGTAACAGTTTATTTAGTGAAAATCCCCCAGGTTAAGCCGTCATAAGCCGCCAGAGAGTTGAAAACGACATGGAGTATATAAGTGACATCACCCTAAATGGGCTTTTGTCACATATCTGTTATTTTTCCTTCATTCCTATTCCGCCTACCATGTTGTCTTTTCATTTTTACTAAGAGGTGGGATGAATTAAACAGCTGCATTTTCGCAAAATATCTTGTGTAACTAGCTCACTGTTAAGCTGGATGTCGAGTGTGATATTTGAACATCGTTGAGCTAATGATGTCGAAATCGTAGCTGGTAAAGAAGTACTACTATTTAACATTGTTTTGTGAGTGTTATTACAAACAAAGAGAGAGAGACGCTGTTGATACAGTCGTTTTTTCTTTTAAATTCAAGATGGAAATATAAATGCATAGATGTACTACAAGTACTTCGTTCGAATCCACTCAACGTAAATGCAACAATCTTTCAATTGGAATCCTTCGGTATTACACCGAGAAAGAAATTTTTTGAATCTCAGTTTTCTGTACATTTGGATACCGTTTACATGGGGCCGAAGGCAATTTATGATGATGCAAATGGTAAATGTTTAGTATTTAATCATAACTTTCAGCATACTATAATACTACAAGTCAGTCTATAGAAGCATGCAAATTTTAAAACTAAATAAGTTGACCTCTGAAGATAGTATCAGTTAAGATGGGAATAAGAAGAGCCAATGGCTTAGTAACTTAACATCACGTAACTATAAATAGTAGATGTATTTGCATTTTATTATACTCAAAAATATTACAGCACAGATCATTGAATCTTAGTATGTGGACCGGATGGTAGTGTGCTCACTAGATTATATGAGTGCTTCAAAACGCATAGTTTATTTGCACATATACTGAATTGTTAATTTACACGAAATAGTTGTCAAAAAGCAAACGACCTTTATTAGTTTGTTATCTGAGATACCAGTTCACAAGTTGTTGATTTGCAAATCAGTGAGTCAAGCGAAAGTGCATCTAAACAGCGCCCAATATGAGTAGAAGCCAGATGGTTGTAGTCGTGAAATTAGACACAACAAGTCAAGTTTAACCTTCAGTCAGTGAAAACAAAATACGTTTTCAGTTAATTATGTTCTCTGAGACAATTGATTTAGTTAAGAAGCTTTCGTCGTCCTTCTAAACAACATCTTCAGCGCAGATTTTAGTATAAAATGCACTGATATAAATTCTTCATGTACCTCCTGGCGACCACTGTCGTGGTAATTTTTACTGACTTGGAATTCGAACTTTCCTGTCGTATTATTATAATTTTATTATTATTCCCTTGGGTTCCTACTGGAACATAGGCCTTCAACTGCACGTCTCCATTTGCTTCTGTCTTCTGCTGTACTTTTCACCTACATCCATGTTAGTCCATCCTCTTTTAACTACTCTTCACACGATCTCCTCCATTCCACCCTTGCAGCAACGGCCCACTCACCGCTTCCTTTTCGCCTGGTTCCACTCGAGCAATGACCTGACGCGCGCGCGATGTCTTCAACGGCCTCCTCAGCGAGTGTTCAATCCATCTCCACTGTCTTCTGCATATATGTTGGTTGGCGATTGGTTCTTGTTTTGTTTGTTCCCATAGTTTCTTGTTGGTGATTCTTTCCGGCCCGGCCATCTGACCTTTAGTATAGATCCAGAGAAGACGGCTGTTGATAAAGGTCTGGTATGCAACAGGATATTAGAAACATTCTTTGTAACCCGCCCGCCAAATTTCTAATCCGGATAAATGAACTGACTGACTTGACGCTTGTACTGAAAATCCAACTAAATCTTGCTGGCTGAGTGACGAAGACTTCCAGGTTGGTTTCAGGTTGATGAATGTGTCTCTCGCCTTCCCGATTCTCGCTCGATTTGACATCGTCGTCCATTCCTCCTGTAGTTGAGACAATGCTCAATGCTAGATAAGTGAATGAGGTAACCTCTTTCAAATCCCTCCCGTTGATGGTGATTGTCGCTGGATGTTGCTGCCCTTGTTGTTGTTTTTTGTTTGGTTATTTTCATGATCTCTGTCTTGCCTATGTTCACCTGGAGTCCTGTCTTCGCCGGCTGCTTCTTCGACCAGTTTGTCGGTTTTCGCTTGCCTCTAAGTCTTCGATTTTGTGTAACATCAAACATAAATCATCCACGCGCGAAATCCAGGTCTTCTAGGTTTTTCACGTTGGTCCAGGATGTTCCTGTCTTCTCGTTTCTCACTGTCTGACGCATAATCCAGTCCACAACAATTAGGAATATCATTGGTGATAGTTAATGAGCACCCTTTTCTGACTCCTGTGTTTACTCCAAACGCCTCGCTGAGTCTTCCGTTGTGGATCACTTGACATGTGCCGTTGTCGTACAGCTGTTGAATAAAGTTCATGAGTATTTAGAGTACCTCGCTTAGATTACTAGCTAGCTAATTTTCTAGCCGTTCCCAAGTCTGGATAAAGAGGGATTGTTGGGGCGTGGTGCCAGCAACTACACCCCCAAAACTTAACCAAATCGCTACAGAAACTTCAACGCACAAATATATTAAAAATTCTAAAAAAATTCCTGTCAAATAATTTATTTTTATTGGCTGATAAATTTGCTTTATAATGATGTGTTTGTTAATTGCTAATTCAATTGAGTGACAAGCTTCTAAGAATTCCTCGGCATTTTCAGTGTTTTCCCTACTTAAAACTTCTACATTATTCCAGTCACAGTTGCGTCCATTATTATCCACATCCAGTGATACCAATATATATATATATATATCATGTCTTTTTATAAGCAATTTGTGTTTTTGGATTCGAATTCGAAGGGGACGTCTACTTTGATAGATGTAATGTTTATTGCACTTCATACAGCCTAAAGAGTAATAATTTCATCTTCTTTCCCTGTTAAATCTTTGAGTTTGCACAATATCAAATGAAGTGATTGTGCTGGCTTGTGTGCCATATTCATTTGAAATAGACAGAAGTTTTATCAGCTAATAAAAAATAAATCATATGACAGGAAAGCGTCTTACATAGCCTCTCCTGAGGAAGTCCTACTCACTGCCTTCACGTGGCGGAGGTGTTTTTCACCAAAGTGAGAGGGCAAAAGCGGATGCCCGGCGCTCTTCACCGGGTTGACTGTCCATTGGTTGACAGTCTAGGGGAGATGGCTAAACCCCGATTCCAAACCTCCAACGACTGGCGTATGAAGCTCACCGGAGCTCACCGGCAGACGTATGGACAAAGGGCTTATTGGATGCCCTGGATGACTGGCCTCATTCAAAAAGGCGAATGAACCGGACTCCGGTCACCAGCTGCCAATGGATAATGGACTCCCTACTCCACTCCTACTGCCTTGTAGGTCACACTTGGTTGTGTAAAGGCTAGAGCTGCACTCTCAAACAAAAGGCCGAGCGATGCTGGGGACATCACTCGTACCCAATTCCCATGAAACTTCATGGTTCATGAAGCCGGCTCATCCTCCCGTAGGAGATAGCCGAAGTAAAGTAAAAGTAAGTAAGTAAGTAAAGTTCAAATTCCAAGTCAGTAGAGACATAAATTAACAACCAGTCACAACAGTGGTAGCCAGAAGAGACAATTACATGGAGAATTTAAATGGGTTCATTTTTTACTGAAACTTGCGCTGAAGATGTTGTCTAGAAGATCGACGAAAGCTTCTTGACTAAATCAACCGGCTCAGAGAACGCAACTTATTTAATATTATCCACCTGAGCTAAAAAAATTCTCTCCTTTATTACAAAATACGTAGTTAAGCGAAGAGGATTTTTTAGATAAACTCATTTACTTTATCTGTACAATCACATTTAAACGCAATTTTTAGTGAAATAGGGTATTAAGCGAAGTGATGAGTTATGACATTAATAGTTGTTAATATTAGTCGTCACAAAAAAGGATTTGAAAAAGTCTATTACAGTTAAAGAGACGAAAGTTGAGAGAACCCTCTAACCTTGAAGTCCCATCAATGTATTAACTGTTAATTAACAGCTAATTCACTTACAGAATTTTCTTCCAGTGGTTGGGTCTTTGATAGTGCTCTTAATTGACAGGTGTCGAACTATGCTATGATTTTTCCCAAGGTATTCATACGATCTACCAAATTACCTTAACCTCGTAAAACAAATTGATTTCTCCTGTTACTATTCATCGATAACTAAAACAAGTGGACCATAAGTAATCATCAGTTAATTATCTTTTTTCAGATGTCGCTACTTGGCCAAGATTTCCTAAGCAAGTATTCAGTGATGTTACAGTGATAAAAAGTGCTACTTCTGGTGTATTCACAGTCGAAATAACAACAAAGTCATGTCTGGAAAATTTTGATTTATTTGGTTTAGCAGGTGTTCCAGTAAGCATTTCTTTTTATGAAATACTTCTCTAATATTATCCTTTCAGATGTACTGTTGATATCAAATTTTAGTTGCTTTTCTACTTTAACAATGATATTTAACCTTATTCCATTATGGGTAAATTTTTGTTTTGATAAAGTCTCACTGTGTTATACAGTAATCTTTACTGATGACGTTACGTTTCGAGCACAATTATTGCTCATATTCATATCAAGGTAATTACACAACTTCCTAACTTCATTTATATAGTTCCATTATTTTTCACTTGATTTGTTTGGCAGTAGTATTTTCCATATTTCAGGTATGAGTGATAAATCATTTCTATTGCATGTGTTTGGTGTAGACTCGATGAACAAGGATTCAGAAATCAACCTCTCTCTCCACCTACCTTGATTACTTTTTAGAATTTTAACCCTCTCCCACCATGCTATTGTGTGGTTGTGTGTTAATGCATGCATGCATTGCAATTACTGAGCTTTTCTCCAAATTACTTATCTTCTCAGGGTCAACCATTCTTACCTTAGCTAAATTTTTATGTTCCGACAATCTGACTACCCCTGACCTACTAGTTTGACCTATGTAGTTGACTTAGCTCGCTCACAGTCATTGCAGGGTATTTTGTAAATTATATTATTTTGTCTAATTGGGTCAACCTATAGGGTCTTTTAACCTACACAGCTTGTCCCTGAGTGAGTTTGTAGGAGAGTTTAAATGCCACCCTAATTCCTGTTTGATTTAGAATCTTATGTAGGATCTCATACTTCCCCACTTGATGAACAAGGAGAATTAGCTAAATTAGATTGTAAAACAAAAGGAATAGAAGAAGGCAAACTACACACTAGTGTGTACAGAAAACCAACTCATTCTAATAGATATTTAGACTTTAATTCATCTCATCAGTTAACTGTTAAGGCAGGCTTAGTTAAGTGTTTGACAAATCGAGCAATGGCACTACGTAGCACAAAAGAAAGACCTAAATGATGAAATAAAACAGATAGAAGAGGTGGTAGTGTTCAATAACTATCCTTTAAAATTCGATAGTAAGATTGAAAAAGGCCAAAAGAGAAAGAAAAATGGTTGTGAAACTAGTAATAATAACATAAATAAGCGAGGATTTACGTCATCTACAGTTATACCATATAAAGAGGGAGAGGGTTAAAATTCTTAAAAGTAATCTAAATAGGTGGAGAGAGAGGTTGATTACTGAATCCTTGTTCATCGAGTCTACACCAAACACATGCAATAGAAATGATTTATCGCTCATACCTGAAATATGGAAAATACTACTGCCAAACAAATCAAGTGAAAAATAATGGAACTATATAAATGAAGTTAGGATGTCGTGTGAATACCTTGATATGATTATGAGCAATAAATTGTACTCGAAACGTAACGTCATCAGTAAAGATTACTGTATAACACAGTGAGACTTTATCAAAACAAAAAAATTATCCATAATGGAATTGTACTCTACCACAGTGCACAAGTTTTATTCTTATATGAATGGCATACAACCTACAGATTTATTTCCCCTTCACGTCAAGCTATTTCGATGGACAACGGAAAACACACTAATTACACTTGCGACTGAAAATTGATAATAATTTCGATATCGAAACCACTGACCATCGTGTTAGTGTACTCCACCTCCGTTTGGAATGTAATGAAAGAGTGATATTAGTTGTTAGGCTATGCCATCATAGTTCTCAAAATGTGTTTACTAGTTATAACAAATAGTTTTTTAGAGAGAAATGTCCTGAGATACTACACATGTTTACCTCTATGAAAGAATGTAACCAAACCTGTGATATGTTTCAATGAATACTAGTCAAAATTCAGTAAAATGTAGGCCTCTTAGAAAAGGGACTGAATTTAGATAGCTTCCAATGTTTTGTAAGATATCTGCAGATTGAATACGATCGAAATTAATAAGCGTACATTTGATTTTCTCAATGGTGGTAGAAGAGGAAGTATTGTGCTGCGAGCTTGATTCCATTTGTCAGTCACTGTGAAAAGATGCTTAGAGGTGTTATTATTGCACCAGAGCTACATGCAAACATTAAGTAAGTGGATTCTGTGCAAATATTTGGAACATTACCAGCATAACATTAAGACGTTTGCTGATAGAAACGTCAGAAAAGCATTAATACTTTAAGATATAAATGCTCCTCATAATTTCTATATAACACTGAATATTTCTGTATATTGGTCCATGAATTACAAAATCGAGAAAAATGCGCTCATCTTGTTGGCACTGCATAGTGATGTTTGCATTCTAGTACAATTTGTTGGCTAGACTAAGGTAATGAGGCTCACCTTCAAGACAACTGCAAATAATGAGTGTCACAAAAATAAACAGGAATCACTGCAATTTATTTTCAAAATATCATGCAATGTCTGATTTTCAGATGCAGAACAACAACAGCACCGTTGGACAAGTAGTAATTATTCGAGATGAAAGATGGCCAACTCCTGTTCTAAGTTCAGTGATACGTACACAGGCTGCTTCTCCACCTATGAATGGATATTACGTCTTATCTTTTAAAGGAGTACCAACGTCACGTAAGCACGAGTTAATATGTAAATATGAACTCATTTTCTTTCAAAATAAGCATGACACGAAATGTATTCGTGAGTTGGAGATTTTTAAATATCTCTTAACCCTTATTTAGTCATGCTTACTTGAAGTATTCAAAATAAGTATCAGTAAACATGACAGTTCTCTCCTTCCGTTTAGTACAAGTTTTACATTAATTGCAAGTAAATTATCAGCCAAATGTCAACATTTAATGTGGTCAAATTCTTCAATTTCTGAGTGGAACTTCAATTTTCCTATTGTATTCATAAGTATAGTGTAATACCCAGTAAAAAGAAGCAGATATTCAGAAATGCCGTGTTCAAATTTTGAGAGACAAATGCTTAGGGATTCTTTGCTACGAGTATTTAAATGTGAATGAACTGCACCCGAAGTTATTAGTGTAGCAGTGGTACTAAAAATGTGTAGTTTGTAATTTATAGTTCATTGTTTACAATAAGATGAATTAAATATCGGATCTCAACATATTCAGTGTGATTTAAGTAGGTGCTCAGACAGTTCACATTCACGGAGGGTACAATTCTTGAATAATCAGTTGTCACCTTATTTTCTTTATTATTTTTTCTTGGGTGCATTTAATCATCATGGTTATTAAACTCTAATATCATTTCGACTGCTTAGGTATTCCGGCAAGGTTTGTTCAATCCAATGTCGTCGAGAGAATACTGAATCTGCATCCTCATCTTGGTACTGTACGTGTTACTCGGACTGGTGTTTGCAGAAGTTTTCAGTACGTTATCTGGCTTGACAGTTTACCCGGTGACCAACCAGAAATATCAGTAAGCAACAAAGATGAATAAACAATTTTTCGTTAGCAGATTTTATTCGTTTTGTTATGTCCAACTGAGTGAATAGAAGTAGCACTGCAACTAGTTTTAAATAAGATGAAACCCAAATGGGTAATTTTTTCCCATTTATAGTTTAAACATAGAGCATCTGATTAGGGAAATAATCCAACTGTTGAGGAATTAATTATGAACATTTGACGATAAATTAGAACATTACCTATCAACAACAGTCGCGAGTGAACTGGACAAGCAACCTAGACAGTAGTTTATTCACTCGAACACTGATATGATGACATTAGTTTGACATAAATCTTCGTAATGATCAGTAGAAAAGGGTTTAAATCAATTATGTTTATTCTACGGCATGCTGTACAGCAATGATGACGCTAAGAATAAGTGGCACGAACTTCATTCAGTTCAGGAAAACTGAAAGTTTTTAGCTTTGTCACCATTTCAGAAAAAAATATATCTAGAAGCAATATAAGCTGAAGTTTCTTCAATGAAGTATGATGAAACGATAATAACATATATATATATTCGGAGAAATAATGTATTATTAAATGGATTTCCATTCCCTTAAAACAGGTATCAAATCAAACAAAGCTGATTGGTGACGCACCACAAGTTACTGTACAGAAATCTTCGATTGGAGAGTTGGTTATGTGTCCTCTATCAGGTGATATGTTGGCGACAAGACATACTGTTCCACAAGTGAGCGGTTATTATTATTATTATTGTCAAGCGTACAATTTCAAAATATGTACAAATTCCTTTTTTCAAAGAAGGTTAGGAGTTAATTAAAGGCAGTGGAGATGGATAGTATACAGAATTATTGTTATTATTACTATACAGTAGGTTGAAAATATTTAGCGCTACAGTAGTAAGTAGCAATAAGTAAAATGCTTCTGCTTAAAAAGGGCGGGGTGTTTCGCATATAAAGCATGATCTAGATTACAGTAACCGGCATGTAGCTAAGATATTCCAGTTCACTGAGGTTTTTGTGGCTGACGAATTTAGAAAAATTGCCAGGTTACTCAAGCATATTCTCCTATAATTTTCTGATTATATGAACAACCAGTTGTAATTATGTGTGAATTCTAGTTGAACAAAAATTAGTATAGGAATAGAACTTGTGCACTGTGGTAGAGCATAATTCTATTATTGGTAAAATTTATTTTGATAAAGTCTTACAGTGTTATACATTAGTATTTACTGATGACGTTTCGAGCACAATTTATCGCTCACAAGATTATGAGCAAGAGTCGATTAATCTGACAATTTTATGCGTGCCTTTAGCACTTGGTCTTCACACGTACATGTTACTATTAGGCCTAATACTCGTTTCATGTTTTAATGTCTCCTGTCTTCATCACCGGATCTTCCACAAACAACTTAATTAACTCTATAAGCTTGGCTGCGTAATGGCAAGAAGACAAGACAACTCAGAACAATAGGTTTATTAGAAAAATCTGAAGTTATCTAATGCATTTTCACTAATTTTTTGTAGACCTACACTGAAAAATTAAATAAAAGGACTAACTGATTTTTACCTATGGAAATCACTAAAGATATTTTATTTTGAAGCTCACTTCACCGACTATTTTAGTGTCTTACTGTTATTATTATTTCCTTTAATTCCTAGAGGAACATAGGGCTTCAGCCGCGCGTCTCCATGGGGTCCGGTTCTCTGCTAAAGTTTTCACCTGGCTCCATGTCTGCCCACATGCTTTCATATGCTCTTCACATGACCTCCTCCAAGTCACCCCATCCTCTCACTGACGACCAACTCGCCGCTTCCCTTTCGGGTTCCACTCGAGGGCTTGTCAAGTGATCTACTGTAAAGTGGAGTGAAGTTTAGCATAAAGTGAAATGATTTAAATTGTTTCATCGTATTTCTGTGATGTCATCGTCTCACTGTTGGGATGTGATTAGTGGTTATCTAGAGTCATGTGAAGACATTATACACGAGATACTTTACAACAAATAAAACGACTGAAAATAACCTTTTAAGGCTTTTCTAATTTTTCCATCTTTCCTGTTGTTATAGCACTCTGGAAAACAGTTATCATTAGATGATACCGTTAAACTGTGTATATTTAGTTTCCTCAGATGACATCAACTTATGCAGTGTGTTAGGTTCTCTATCACACATTTGTTTGTTATTCAGCAACTGACGGGCATAGAGCCTGAAATGACTGCTTATATATTTGGAGTGCTCATAGTGTCTCAGATTTCTGAATGACTTAAATCACTTCACATACGTTTGAGAAAGTTCCAGAATAATTTCCAGTCAAGGGTCAATTTAATAAAAATTACAATTAGGAATTAGAATGCCATAATAAACAGGGTGACGGATAAAACTCAAACAAAGTAGCATCATAATAACTAAGAAGATTGAAATTGTGCAATTGGGGCTTAAAAATGCAGAAATACTAAAACAGATAGGATGTTTCGATAAAAAAACTAATGTGATGAATAATTGTTTATGCAATCAGGAATTAAATATGTAGAAATAGTAAAATGACAAAATAAACAGGAAGTTCGGATATGAAAATATGGTAGTATAAACAGGGATTAAGAAAAACTTAAAATAACATGAATAAACAGGAAGATTAGATAAGAAAGGTGATGGGATGGTCATTACTAGAAAAAATTTACCTTTTTATGATGGCCATGGCAGGGACAGGGGTTTGGCATATTTCTTTAGGATAGAAAGCGTGGGTTTGAGCTTTTGGATAGCTAGTGCCTCAGCTTTGCCCAGATGTCCCCAATCGCACAATGTCAATCTTCTTAGTTATTATGATGCTACTTTGTTTGAGTTTTATCCGTCACCCTGTTTATTATGGCATTCTAATTCCTAATTGTAATTTTTATTAATTTGACCCTTAACCGGAACTTATTCTGGAACTTTCCCATCCATCTGATATAAATACGCGAATGTACAGTCTAGATGCTGATTTCGTCGAAAAGAAAATTTTCTTCACTGCAATTGTCTTTTTGATAACTCCTATGTGTATATTCCGTGATATGTTTGAGAATCAGGGATAATCCCTGACACATATTGCTAAAGGAATTTAATTTGCGTTGCGTCTATGATAGTATAAAACACATGGTATAATCAAAAATATAACGGGCATTAAGCGTTGAGTTATAATGACTTTATGCTTTATCCCCATAATGTTCGCCACCTAGTGAAGCATATCGTCTCTTTTTGTATGGCACTGATATGTAGCAGCCATAATGCTTCTGAGATACAGCTTGGTTTGCTTGGTTTCTGTTTATTTCTTGGCAGTTGACATGTCGGATTTCTATCTTCAAGTGTAGCTACTTAACCGATATTCTTCTTTGAAAACTTTCTTGGGATCTATGACACACCTGAAGTTTTTTTCTCCAGATACCTTGCGCTTTCTAAGCTATTTTCCCATTATTATAGGAAGTGTAAATTCATTCTCCTGGTTTTTATCTGAGTCACATGAAGACTATGTAGAGTAACAGAGTTCTAGAAGATGAGATGTTTCTTATCCACGACTATGCAATTCATTCTACTTCACAAAGACAGTATTTCAGCTTTATTCTGTTCATAAATAATTCCTAACTACATTGAATCAACAAATATCGATTCTGAAGTGTGATTTCAGTGATGTTTGACTTCGGCGAAAATCGGCTACAAATATGAGTTCAGTATTCAAAAAGTTGTGCGTCGGTGTCACACCAAGTACGCATGTGGTCCGGTGTTCGATTCCCCGCCGATGCACTCGTTTACCTCGCTAACCTAGTAATAAGGCTGATAAAGAGGGAAGGTTGGGCATGAGGCTAGCAACGCCATCCTATAGAAATAAACATCATTGCTGCCGAAACTTCAAGCTGGGTCTAGCTTGTAGCCCTATGTTCCACTTGAAAGATAGAGGAATAAAATAATTCAAGGCGTTAGCCGGACTATAGACTATACATTGATGGTTGAATATCTGAATCAGCTGCAAATATATCCTTATTGTCAAAATTAAAATAAGGCATAGAAGCAGACAATATTGCTTTCAGAATAGCCCTTAGGTCATTGAGCTACTACAGCCAAATAGAAAATAAACAAATATTACAAGAATTTGACGCAGGCGGTGATAAGAATAATGAAGATGGCATGATACTGAAATTTCCGAATATAAATAATTTGAACAGTTTTTTCATTTCAGTAACTTCTGCTTCACTTTTTTAAAGTCTCAACAGTTTACACGCATTTTAAATAATCATCGAAACCAATGGATTATCATTCCTTAATGCAGTTCCTCGTATGATTTTGATTAGCCTTTACCGGTTATTTTATTCCAACATCAACCATTTAATGAATGTATAATATGTGTGTAAAACTTGGTCACTGTGGTAGTATGTAATTCCGCACTAATTTGTTTACTAGATATATCACCCAATGAAACAGCATCACTCACTGGATGACTTTTTGAACAAAAGTTACTGTTCATAGTCGTATCAAGCCTGAACAATTTATTAAAAGCAGTGTTTTGCTCAAATCATCCATGTTCTGAATATATATTTAGTAGGGAAAGTTAAGTTTCTGTGAATATTTTAGAGATTAAATTGAGTTCAAATCTTATAAAAGTAGGAGTTATTTAAAAATAAAGATGTAATGGACAGATAATCTGAGTTTAAATAAACATGGTAGGTTTATAAAGGGAAGAAGAATAAGAAACAGGTGAATTTTTATTAGTTTACTAAATCTACCTAGGCCGAAGAAGAGTAATTTTCGGTAGTTTCGGTTATGTTAGGACTCTTCTCGTAAGGTTCAATGGAATATAGTAAATAACTATGAAAGCTGTTCATCAGTCCACCTAGCTACCAATATAAACAAAACAAGACTTAAACAAGCTCCTCATAGATTTTGTTTGAAGAATAAGCTATTTTTGAATGAACATGTTAGGGTTATCCTCTTAAGTTTCTTAAGCTCACTTAATCTAACTGAAAACAATACTGTCGGTTATTTGTCGTTTTAGTTTCCAAAACTAAAGTTATCAAACAATGTGAGCACCAATAGCTTAGATATCATAAGCATGATATTCAGAAGGTTCATTAGTGTCTATCAGCCACAACAGTAGTCGATTTATGCTATGGTATGATGAAGTAGGGTTTCGGTCTTAAGCATCATGCTATTTAGAGCAATACAAGCTTTCATTACTCTCACCAAGTCTGTGTGGAGGTCAACAGCACTCACCATCAAAAATAAGATCCAGATTTTCAACTCCAATGTGAAGTCAGTCATTGCTACTATACGATTGGATCAGAGACTTGGCCAGCGCGTCATAAAGAGCATCTCAAACAAACTTCAGACCTTCATTAACAGCTGTCTTTGCTCAATACCACTCAAGATCAGATGGCCGACCAGAAAAGATTAGAAATAGTGAGGGATCTCTGGCAATAAGCGAGCCAATCCATCAGGAACCGATTATGAAACAAATAAGCAGGAAGAAATGGAGATGGATTGGCCATACACTGAGGAAACCATCACGTGACATCACTAGATAAGCCATTGCTCGAGTGGAACCTGAAAGGGAAGCGGCGAGTTGGTCATCAGTGTGAGGGTGACTTGGAGGAGGTCATGTGAAGAAGAGATGAAAGCATGTGGACAGACTTGGAGCGGAGTGAAAACGTTGGCAGAAAACAGAAGGCAATGGAGGTGAGCAGCTGAAGCCCTATGTTCCTCTAGGAATTAAAGGATATAATTAATAATAACAATAAGTAGTATATTACTAACAAGCAAACATATCTCATACAGGGTATATTTTCTTTAATTTGTTGCTTTTTATATTACAATTTAAGGTTAGGTTATATGTCGATAATGTCCCGGCTTTTTGCGAATCATCATGCAGTCATCAGTTCGTTGATTTATCAAGTCCTACTGTAGACAGTGCCACAATACAAGTCAGTAAGTTAAAAAACTATTTCCTATAGGGATTTCATTTACAGAAAGCTTAATAGTAATTACTTCACTTTATACAGTTTACTGGTATAAAAGACATTAGTCCCTTGAAGGATGCAGATAGGCCTTGCTGACGAGTGCCAACTAACAGGAAGCCTAGGTCCAAGGCTTTCTGCAGATTGCCTCCAACCATCTTGTATCATCAAATGAATGTGCACTGAGATGGTGGCGCGCTACTTAGAATGATGGCCTCATTTGAAATCTGACTGATGGAATTCACTCTGAACCAAAAAGAGGACTAGGCACATCACACCAGTTACCAGTGTCCAGTCGAAGCATTACTGGTGTGATGTTCAATATTTAAGAAAATTGTGATCACTTGGTAACATCTGAAACAATTTCTACTGATTTATTGTTACCTTTTTTATTTTTATTACAGCTTGATGCCACATCGTATTTTTTGCGGAATTTTCAGTATGTGATATCGGTAGCCCAAATTTTACCGGCCAACCATAGATATCAGGTATGCGTCGGTAGGGGACCGAACCCTGAACCATGTGCATGGTCGGCGAGAGTCCTAACCACTGTGCCACCGACGCACACTTATCATTATCGAAAGATATTGTGTGATATGCGCAATATAACACTCAAAAAATAACTCATAGGCTCTATACAAGTCCTATAGACGTCTAATTATATATGCGTCAAACTTGCGCACTGTAGTAGTAAGTAATTCCACATTAATTTGTTCATTAGAGGTACCACATAGTGAAACAGTATTATTTACTGGATGACGAGGTTTCGAACAAAATTCATTATTGTTCATAATCATATCAATTATAATCACACGACTTCAGAACTTCAGTTCTATAGGTTTCTTTGTTCTCTCCTATTTGTCGTAGGGGTAGTAGAATTTTCCAAATGTCCGGCTGGACAGGTGTTGAATCATTCCTACTACACGTATTTGCAGTTGATTCGATAAACAAAGCTTCTCTTATCAATCTCTCCCTATACCCTGTGACATTAGATTTTAAAACTGTCATCCTATCCCATCCATCCTATTGTATGGTTGTGTGTAATTGTAGATATTCTGACTTCCGATCATCCCATCCTATGTTAGTATAAATAGGATTGTTCAAATGTTTAAGTGACAGAGCACAAAAACTAAGTAGTACCAAAGAAAATCTAAAACAGGAAGTGAGGCATATAAGAGAAGCCTTGAAACTTAATAATTACCTTGATAAATTAGTCAGAAAATATGTAGGGAAGTGTAAATTGAAATAAATAATGAAAGTAGTGATAATGATAATAGTAATAATAACTGTAATATTAATGACGACATCCATGTCAAACATGCGCAGGATAATGACAACACCAACAATAAGGAATCGAAATCATCAGTAGTAATTCCATACAAAGAAGGAGCCTCAGAAGCCTTATGCAGAATGCTTAACAAGCAAGGAATAAAAGTGGCATTCAAACCCACAAACTCAATTAGAAACAAGCTTTGCTGTTTAAACGATCAATCCTGTGGAGCCTTTAAAACAAAACAATTTAGTTTATCTAATACCTTGCTAGAACGATTGTCAGGTCAAATACCTAGGTCAGAGTAGTAGAACAGGGATCAGTCAGTCAGACTAGCGGAGCATAAAAACCTAGCAAAATCTAGATTGGTTGACCTGAATAAGATAAGAAATCTAGAGAATAGTTCAGCTATAGCACTTACTGCATGCAATTACACACAACCATACAATAGGATGGATGGGATAGGATGACAGTTTTAAAATCTAATGTCACAGGGTATAGGGAGAGATTGATAAGAGAAGCTTTGTTTATCGAATCAACTGCAAATACGTGTAGTAGGAATGATTCAACACCTGTCCAGCCGGACATTTGGAAAATTCTACTACCCCTACGACAAATAGGAGAGAACAAAGAAACCTATAGAACTGAAGTTCTGAAGTCGTGTGATTATAATTGATATGATTATGAACAATAATGAATTTTGTTCGAAACCTCGTCATCCAGTAAATAATACTGTTTCACTATGTGATACATCTAATAAACGAACTTATATGGAATTCCGATAGACGTCATTTATTCAGCATCGCAGGATCTGATTTCTTTGATGAAACTCAGCTTTTAGAATCTACTGATCTATAGAAAAGTTATTTACCAAAAAACGTCCATATGGGGAGTGAAATTTACTAATTTCCGAGATTACTGCGTGTATTGAAAGTCTACACAAATATAACATAAACATATAACATAAACATTAAACTGAGCAAGTCAATGTATCACTTAAAATTAAATACTTCACTAGGATTATGCAGCGTGACTTTACGGCCACAATAAACATTTAAAAGTTAACTCTTACGTCAAACTTTATAAAATTGAGTGCATTTTCTGCTATTGCTGTGGCCTACTCCTCTGTCGATAAGGGTAAACACATAGGTTTCTAATCATAACTTGTCTACTATTTCTGGACTACTGTCAAATAGACAAGATAAATTTATGACGTTATTGATATTGCATAAAATATTCACATGAAAATATGCTCATCATTCACTTTTTATTTTTAGCTGACAACAATCTTACACTGGTTTTGACCGGTACTGGCTTTACTGCAGACTCACCAGAACTATATGAGTTATTCCTCATGATAGATAAAACGACTATTTGAAACAATGGGCTTTTCGCAGCACAACAACTCAGTTACATTTTTTTAATCGACCACTAAAAGATGTTCCTATAGGTTCCTTTATTGGCCGATTACGATTACACGGAAAAGGATTTACTAGTTCAGGGTTCAAAATCTCCTTAGGCAGAGAAGGCAGTGGCATTGTGGACATTATACAAACAGGGTTATTTAAGGAAGGTTAGTTGCACTTTTATAATAAAAATCAATTAATCTGAATGCTTTTGGTATTATCATACTGTTTGATTAAATCTCATTTGCACAGATTTCATTTACGATACCTGAATAATATCATCCTTCCTGTTAACCTCACATGAACAATAACAAATTAAGCGTACTGCAGTATGCTGTCAACTACCAAGGGTGATTTTCTGCTCTGCAGTAATATGTTTCATGGAATATGAGGTTGAACTTCCGTTCCTTTAAAATTTTTCTTATAAACACATTAAAATTTCACGCAATTTAATGCTATAGGTGTAAATTTAATTATTGTGTTAAGAAACTAAGTTTTACCTGTTTTATATTGAAAAGAAACTAATGACAGGGAAAGTCACACTTCCATAATATCCAGTGACTGTTTGGTTAAATTTGGGTTTGTAGAATTAACCCTAACCTTTAGAGACTGATTACAACGTCAGCTTAGAAACTAATATCCATAAAGTCAATGTAGACTTTCTAAACGAACATGATTTTTGTAGTTGTGATCTGCACAGCCATTAATAACTTATGACTTCAAAGCCAAATCTCATCCGTAGTAGAATTCAGCCTTTTGTCTTGAATACTATTTTAACTGTTTTACTTCCCTCTTAATTTTACTACGAAAAACTGAATGAACTATCCTTTTTTTATAATTATCTTTGTTAGTTATTTGCCGTTTTAATATTCATGCGACTTCGATGCGGTCAATATTTTATACGTTATTCATAACTTAACTTTATTCATCAATCAATATTAGACATAAAATAAATGACATGCAGGACTATTTTATATTCTTATTACTCTAAATTTACAGTACAAGTTGTGCATCTGCATATTTGTCATTAAAGTAATCACTGGGGTCACTTTTATTTTATCCCCTTTTATTTTCCTCTAATAAAGTTCTTTCTGTGTCTATGTTATTAAAGAATACTGAAGATGAAACCTATATTGCTGAACTTATTATTATTCCCTTGATTTCCAAGGTACATCTTCATTTCACTTTGTTTTCTGTAGTCATTTCACCTGGTTCTATGACAACCTATCAGCTCTCATCTCATATTCACACAGAGTCTCCTCCATGTCACTTTCAAACACTCTTCTAACACATAGGTTTCCATCTGGGTTCCAATCGTGGGCCCAGTGAGTTGTAGAACTCAAACTTCAAATGCTCACTTCAAGTCTCTGTATCACACATAGGCAGTGAATTAACATTAGTGCTGAAGACTGGTTAGTGTTTCTTATACTGAGTACGCAATCATTTTCATAGTTATAAATGTCTGTCTTGCTTTTATATACTAGCTTTAACATCGCTATGCATCCTGAGGTTGAGACGATGTTTTCTAAATAAACAATGTCGAAATCTTAGACAGAGGAAACACCAAAAGTGCCAAGGAATTCATAGAAGCCTGGTATTCAAACGAATATGCAATTAACAAACACGTTAATGTAGACAAAATATACCAACTAATAAAAAGTAAATCCTGTGACCAGAAAGTTTAAAATCCGAGTCAATAGAAAATGATCGAAACATATATAGAGATGGTTACCAGGAGGCGCACTTCTATCGTTCATGAAGAAACTTAAATCAATACACTTTATGCAAAATATTGCGCTGAAAATGTTGTCCAGAAAGATGATGAAAGCTCCGCAATTAAACCAACCAGCTCAGAGAACACTATTAATTGCAAATCATTCACCTGAGCTACAAATTTCTATTATTTCAGAATTAACCTCGTTTAAAATTCTCCTACTGATAGTAACTGGCGCTTGCTATTGTTGTTGTTAGTTATCTTCATCACATCTGTCTTCTCTATGCTCACTTGACATCCTATCTTTACTGACTATTCTGACAATTTTATGGTCTTTGCTCGTAAATCTTGGAGTTTGTGTGACATTAGACATAAATCAGCCGCAATGTGCATTTCTTCTAGTGTTTTTTGATGGTGCGGTGTGTATCTATTTTCTCAATTTATGCGGCCTGAAACACGATCCTATCCACTTCATCAGGAATATCATAGGTGATAGTAGGCGACTTTGTCTTCATTGATATAAGAATAAAACTTGTGCACTGTGGTAGAGTGTAATTCCATTATGGGTAAATTTTTGTTTTGATAAAGTCTCACTGTGTTATACAGTAATGTTTACTGATGACGTTACGTTTCGAGCACAATTTATTGCTCATAATCATATCAAGGTAATTACACAACTTCCTAACTTCATTTATATAGTTCCATTATTTTTCACTTGATTTGATTAATAGTAGTATCTCTAGCTTCTTGACACACATAAACTCACTAGTGGAGGGAATAAAATTCACATTTGAAGTGGAAGATGAACAAGGAGAACTAGCTAAATTAGATTGTAAAACAAAAGGAATAGAAGAAAATAAACTACACACTAGTGTTTATAGAAAATCAATGCATTGTAATAGATATTTAGACTTTAATTCATCTCATCAGTTAACTGTTAAGGCAGGCTTAGTTAAGTGTTTGACAAATCGAGCAATGGCACTAAGTAGCACAAAAGAAAGACCTAAATGATGAAATAAAACAGATAGAAGAGGTGGTAGTGTTCAATAACTATCCTTTAAAATTCGATAGTAAGATTGAAAAAGGCCAAAAGAGAAAGAAAAATGGTTGTGAAACTAGTAATAATAACATAAATAAGCGAGGATATACGTCATCTACAGTTATACCACATGAAGAGGGGACATCTGAGACCCTACGTAAGGTTCTAAATAAAACAGGAATTAGGGTGGCATTTAAACCCTCCTACAAACTCACTCAGGGACAAGCTGTGTAGGTTAAAAGACCCTATAGGTTGACCCAATTAGACAAAATAATATAATTTACAAAATACCCTGCAATGACTGTGAGCAAGCTAAGTCAACTACATAGGTCAAACTAGTAGATCAGGGGTAGTCAGATTGTCAGAACATAAAAATTTAGCTAAGGGAAGAATGGTTGACTCTGAGAAGATGAGTAATTTAGAAGAAAGCTCGGCAATTGCACTGCATGGATGCATTAACACACAACCACACAATGGGATGGGTGGGAGAGGGTTCGAATTCTAAAAAGTAATCAAGGTAGGTGGAGAGAGAGGTTGATTACTGAATCCTTGTTCATCGAGTCTACACAAAACACATGCAATAGGAATGATTTATCACTCATACCCGAAATATGGAAAATACTATTACCAATCAAATCAAGTGAAAAATAATGGAATTATATAAATGAAGTTAGGAAGTCGTGTGATAACCTTGATATGATTATGAGCGATAAATTGTGCTCGAAACGTCATCAGTAAACATTACTGTATAACACTGTGAGTCTTTATCAAAGCAAAATTTCCCCTAATGGGACTTTGTCTTCAATTCAAACTTCTTCTGTGCTATCTGTTGTGAGCCAACCCATAAGTGGCATCATCATCATAGAGCTTTTGAATTAGATTAATAAATGTTCAGGGCGATTTTGCACTAAGCAATAATCATTTAGCCAAATTAGAGCTTACAAAAACGCTACTCTATATCGTTCTATGATCAGCCGGAAGATATTGACTTAGGCAAATCCTTCACTGTAAGTAAACACTTCATTTTCGCAAAACATTTTTTTTAGTAACTTAGAAACCAACTGATCGACAGATAATCTATGCAGTGAACTTTTATTTTGTTTATGTTTACTTTACTTTGAAAACATTGTATATTTTGAAAATATTTAATTTTTGAGCCAGATCTTCTTAAATTGAAATGCCATTCTTAAATTGTTGGCTTTGCTAATTTTAATCTTTGTAGATAAAGAGGTCATTAAAATTAATGGGTCTCGTTTTCTACCAAACTATTCGCAAGTTTACTTTGATAACACTCTTTGTGGATTAGAAAAAATGACAACAACTGAAATCACTTGCTTATTTCCAATTATTGTAAGTACACTTTGCATTGTGTAAGATTGATTTTGCAGTAAAATACTTTCTTGGTAAAGTTAAATTGACATTTTATTGAATTATTTATTTATCAAGTGTTTTTGAGAGAAGGGCGGAAGCTTTCCATAATAAGCCTACATAATACTCGCTGATGAATTTTGTTATATTCTCAAATGAATGAGGCCGACAGGCAATAAATACAAAAGTAGCAATCTGTTTTGAACGATATTTAGTGCTGAACAAACCAAATCATGCCGTTAAACTAATTTAACCAACGTATGTTACTATAAAGGTTGAAAAGACTATAGATTTCAATAACCTTCGGTGTAAAACATAACGCTAACTGAAGTGGTTTTGGCATAATTCCCTTTCATAAGCATTGATCAGCAAATGTCATTTGCGAATTTGTCAAGCACACATCTATTTGGTCTTTAGCACAAGTGCTAAATTTCGGTTTTGTATCCCAGTTTATACAGTTCTGTAGATTTGAAGCCTTAGTAACTGAATAATCAGAATATTTGATTTTCTTGTTATTTAAGACCCTTTTTCATATGATAACCTTAGAAATTGACTTTAAGCTTAACTTGACTGAGATAATGAAGATATATGTCATTTTCTTATCATTTTTTTGCTGAGAAAACACAGTCAGCAGTTAATCTGAGCGTCTTTTGTTTTGATAGGGTCTTTCTGGTCAGAAGATGGTGAAAGTTCAACAGCCTTACGACTTTATATCCAAGGCGATTGACTTCAATGTATCACGGCCTAATGCACCAGTCATACTCTCTGTTCAACAGCAACAATCTGCTTCAGTTTCAGGTATGCTTTGAAGTGGCACAATTCAACTGTTATGTTTTCACTGACAAACTGCCAAGTAAAGAAACAACACTGTAGGCGAAATATTAGGTTATTATTATTATTATTATTAAAAGGACGATCACAAATGATCAATATATTGACTAACTTCGTCAACGACTTCAGGAAAGTTTGATTCAATGGGTTCATCTGAAAGGTTAAGGAGTGAATATTTTAGATGCTAATGGAGTGTTAGACAGAAACTAAACAGCTGACTGATTACTAGAGGTTCTCCTCAGATTGCTGTTAATGGATGAACTTATGCGCTGATATGGTGAAACTAAAATTAGCGTCAAAATATTCAGATCAGTTAGGGATAATGAAGCCAACGTTCACACTGTGTTTCTTAATTTAATAGAAGTGTTAATGAATAAATTCTAATACGCTTGAGATAAATGGAAGCCAGCCTATGATTCACGCAACTTACATTCTATTTTACTTAAAAGATACTGGTAACACAGTAACATTTTGAAGATCATCTGAAAGATTTGAAAGTGATCTATGGAATGTGTTTTAAAAGTACTCATAAAAACATTTATCACTTGAATAACACCTTAAGGGCTTAAATACTGAGATAATTAGGCTTGTTTCGTTACAAATCCATTCTTTTCAGTCCCAGTGGCTTAATGGTATACGATATCGACTTGTAACAAGAAGGTCCTGGGTTCAAACCCCCTGTGGTAGCGTTCTGATGAAGAGTCCCGAACTAGGACGAAACAGCTGTCCAGCACTCCCAGGTTTTCCAGTGGTTCTCTAACTAATGTCAGCTCATGATGACACCCTGTAAGTAATCAAATCCCTACAAACCAACACTTGAACACCAAATAATTCCATTGATTAATATATCAGTGAGATCAAGGCTAACTTGTAATTCTAGATTGATGAATTCATTTACTGATTTCTTGATAGATTTGAAGCTCTGTGCTAACTGGTGTCTTTTAATATCAGTCAATACTCATCTTGTAAATACAAAACATATATGCTGAATTTGTCTACTGTAATCACTGGAACTGATATGTTTGTGGACAAAAGCAGTTCATTTTATTGGTATTCGACTATAAGGATTATAGTAAATGAAAAATCCCCATATTGAAATCAAAACAAGGATTATGACTGTTCAAATTGATTCTGAGTAAAATTCTACCTTGTACAAGGTATAGAATAACTTCAGAAGTTGGATGAATAGCTCATTAGTTATATTTCTGACGATGGTTTTTTTTACTGAAAAGCAACTCACTGTATCACAGTAACCTTTGCAACATTTATACTTCACTTATTTTTACAGGCACTACTCAAGTTATCATCAATGGTTTAAGATTTACACGTGATATGCTAATCTTCGTTGGTGGTGTAAGAGTGCAGAATTTCACTTTTGTAAATGAAACGCAAATAATAATGTTGGCCCCGCCTCAAAAAATAAATGGTGAAAAATTAATAGCGTTGTTCGATTCACAGAATATTCTTATCTCTCCCGAGTATGTTTTATGTATATTTTATGAAAACTAATCTTTTGAAGAGTATATATATATATATATATGTATATATATACTGCCATGCTTGCTTTCTTGATGGGAATTTATGATATCATGTAGATCATATGTTATGATATGAATAATTTTGCCTTCAGAAGGAAACTATGATAAAATCTCATCTTTTCCTGTGTGGTTTAATAGTTGAGAATCGTATTCCCCTGATGAGATATTCATCAAAGTTTAACCCCTACACAAAGACTCAAGCTGTAACTCTGTAGAACTTGCCAAGCACCTAAACTCATTTTCGCTGAGAAAATAAACCACACTATATGGTACATATTGCCAGTGATAGTCTCATATTCCACTATGTAAGCCTATTTATATGCATGTGTGGCCATATATATGGATAGGACCCATCGATCTTGTCAGGCTAGAGACATAGAACATATTCCGAAGATGATTTAAGAACAAATGAAATCATGCAGTTCAAATTGCTGTAGGCAATAAATGCCCAAACTCATTCCTCATAAAATGCATCACGAAGGTGGGCATAAAGTTAGTTTAAACAGTGCCTTGATACACATCTAATACATATTTGAACTACATGCTTAAATTCTTCCATATTCTGCTGTAATAATGTTTAAATCTCTTATATTATTATTGACATAAGTGTAATAACTTGAGCACTGTGGTGGTAAAGTATAACTCCATTATAGATAAGATTTTATTTTGATAAATAACACAGTGTTGCACAGTTATATATTAAGTGATGACATTTCGAGCACAAACTATTACTCATAATGATATCAACTTACCTCAGTATTCCAATTTTAAAAGTGTAAGCTATTTATACAGTGACATTTCCCTTTTTTCATTCCTTTCCTCCTATCTCAACCTCAAATGATCACATGATGTATACCGACTCCATTTTATTCTTTTGTATGGTAGGCATGAGTACAGTTAGAATGTTTAGAATGTTTCGTGCAGATACATCATATATATTTTAAGTAAATTGGGTTTTCTTACAGTTTTAACGAAATCCATGAAGGGAGTTAATTGCTTTATGCTTCGGTTGAATCTTATAATTTACCTTTCGAATAGTTTTACACACTAACTCAGTCTAGATGGCCGGCCGATGTGTGCCTTTCCTGTTTCATTGTTCAAGGAAATGTTTTGTCACTTCATGGTGCAGCGGGATTATTGATCTGTTAAACAAAGGGTAAGACAATTTATAAAAAAAGAACGCTGTTGGGAAGGAGGCGGGAATATGGTGTTTGAAATTAGATTCTAAACTGCTTTAACCTCATTTTCTCTGACTTTGCCACGCACATACCATACCATGAATAACAGTAAAAACCAATTAGCATGCTACTGACATTTTATAACAAATAAGTTGACTCACAACTGAATACAAAAGCACTATTTCGATCAGATGTGCGTCTCCTGAATTAATCATGAAATCATTTGACTTTTTGATTCAGTTAGCATAGGTTGTTCACCTATTAAAAAGACACTACCTAAGAAATCACACAAAATATTCAAATGGTCTAATATAATATACTATTTGAAGTATGCCTGGAATTCCGGTAAAAAAACTTTTCTCTCCTTTTCTGAACCTACTCCTTCTTATCATTCCATTTTAGATTTTCAGTTGTCTATCAGTTTGAACTGTCTAGCATACAGCCTCAAATTGGAAGTTTTATGGGTGGACAAATTATAAATATAGATGGAGAGGGATTTGACAATCAAACTAAAGTTTTCATGAAACCAATTGACGATAAAAATCAACTATGTTTTGATCGGCCTGCATCCGAGTGTGAAATTCTTTTAAGGGATTCAAGGAAAATACAGTGCAAAACAGGATCGTTGGTTAAAACGCATTATGTATTTGACAGTGGTGTGAGCTCAGGTGTGTTGTATGTATGAGTTCGTCTTTTTCAAATGATCTACTCCTAAGTATGTATTTTAACAGAACACTGTGTTTACTAATCAATAGAAAATTATTCATGTCACATTGACACTTGTTGCTAATCCAGTTCTTTACAATAGAATTTCAGTGTAAGCTTGAAGCCATGTGATATCAGATAATTGTACACTTGATATGATTTCGAAAAACTGAATAAAATCAACGTGTTGCTTGCTACATAATAAGTTCATGAATATTTTTAATATTTGCTTCACAAAATATTGAAACTATTAATAAAATTTGCATTCTATGGTTAGTTTCAAGTTCATTGATTTAAGTATTATGCTCGCCCCTAGCTTACAACACTTTGCAAAACCCTAAAACATTCATAATGCATTTATGCAGTTCATTTGGAATTTAATCATCTGTATTTGCTAACTGTCATTTCAAAGTACAACACAAGCATTATTTAATCCCAATAAATAATAATTTGTGGTGTAAGACGCGTAGGTGATACATAGAGAAACATTCATCTGTAACACTTGATGAGTAGGACACTAAGTGCTGAAACAATCTATGTTCACAAATTGCATCCTAACTGAATGACTTTGTACGTTAAATATTATGAATCTCCAATATGACAGTTACTTTGTGATTACTAATGAAGTACATCAGGTAAATTAAAGTAGCTTATGTGTTGCACAAAATTAAGAATATAATGATATCGATTATATTTGGCAGACTTAACGAAGGGGTAAGTAATCCTGTAATAACTTTCATGGAAGCAGAATAGTTTTTTATTATTATTATTGTTCCTTTGGGTTCCTAGTGGAACATAGGGCTTCAACTCCACGTCTCCATTTGCTTCTGTCTTCTGCTGTTCTTTTCACCTGCATCCATGTTAGTCCATACTGCTTCAACTCCTCTTCACACGATCTCCTTCATTCCACCCTTGCACTGACTTCCCACTCGCTGCTTCCCTTTCGGGTTCCACTCGAGAAATGGCCTGACGCGCGCGCGATGTCACCGAGCAGCCTCCTCAGCGAGTGTTCAATCCATCCCCACTGTCTCCATCACATTTGTTAGTTGGCGATTGGTTCTTGTTTTTTTGTTCCCATAGTTGCTTGTTGGTGATTCTGTCCGGCCCAGCCATCTAAATGATCTTCAGTATAGAGCGAAGACAGTTGTTGGTTGATAAAGGTCTGGTCTGCAACAGGCTGTTGGAAATATCTTTTGTCACCCTCCGAGTTTCTGATCCGTGTAGAAGAACTGACTGACTTGACGTGTTTGTATTGAAAATCCGACCGAATTTTGTTGTTGATGCTGAGTGACGAAGATTTCCGGATTGGTTTCAGGTTGATGAATGTATTTTTTGCCCAGCCCCCGATTCCCGCTCGATTTGACATCCTCGTCCGTTCCGACTGCCTGTACTTGAGACAATGCTCCCTAGATAAGTGAATGAAGTAACCTCTTTCAAATCCCTCCTTTTGATGGTGAATGGCGATGGATGTTGTTGGCTGGTTTAGTGATTCCGAATTTCTAAACAAATACTTTTGGTTGCATTCTATGGTTATGAGTGAATTTTAACTTTACATCTGATGTGATTTATAGGTGGAGTTAGTTGCTAGTTGGCAGGCAAAATCTTGATGCAAATGACAATAATTTAATACTTATTCATTCTGCCATAATTGTTATTGTCTATGAATTACTATCATGTAATACAATAACTTCTGAGTGAGTTTGGGTTCAACCCAAGGCTGGTCCTAAATATTTGGCAAGTGAATATCAAAACTGTTAATAAAGACGCTCTAGCTATCGACTGATCAGTTAAAATTTATTCATCCATTGGTAAAAATGAATGCATTTATGCCTAATTCATCCTTCGAATGACTCTTGGGAAGTTGTTCCCCTTGAATTACTAGACAGACTTAGATATTGTTCTAGCCTAATCGAAATTTATGAAACTTCTTCATTAAGCTGCAGTTGTAAAATCAGAAACCAGTATGGGGCTTTACTTCTTATATCAAGGGACGTATGTAAACCTCAGCTAGTTACAAAATCAAAGCACTGACATATTAAGTGCTTTCCTAAATTTCTTAGCCAGCGAGAACAAAATAAGTATGGCTGAAAGTAGTTTGACTAAATTTGGAGCTTCACGTGCAGTGTATTCTGCGATAACAGAAGTCCAGTTTTCCTAGCTTTTCGAAGGTAAGTAAGGAATGGAACTTCTGCACACTGAGCAATACACTATTTTAAAAGTGTTTACCAAATCCAATCCAGCAAAGAGCAGATGCTCTGATGACTTCCATGGGCGCATTTCACCACCAGTTGTAACCATGACTGAACTTCTATTCACTATGTTACCGAACCAGTCTACTTTTTCATGAGGCACCATCATCAACCAGGTCTTTAAACCAAGATTTAGAAATCGCTCAAACTTCGCTTTAGTCTGACGCATATTGTTGTTAAACTACTATAAAAAGTCATCTGTCACACTCCTGTCCATTTTATTGAAGCTACAACCTTTTTGCCGGAGAACAGCATGGTTTTGCAAAGGACTGTTCTTGCCTAACCGGTATCTTTCCTTACCTAAAAGCTGGGCTATATCAGTCGCCTTTATAGCATTTCTCACTCAGATCTTCTGGCAGACTTAGGTATTTCAAGAATCAACTAAATGATAAGATATTGCATCCCTATGGGAAAGAAGACAAAAGTTAAGATTTGTGGTACTTTTTCATCGTTGCATAATTTGAAAAGGAAACCCAAAATTATTCTGATGTTAAATTAAACTGTATGGACGTATATATATATAGTATTATTATTCCGTTGACATGAGTGTAGTTCAACTTCACTTTTAAAGCCAACAGTTTCCCTCAGCTTTTACTGGGTTCCGGAAAAAGCTACTTAAATTTTTGAACAGCTGGCTATTTATTTCTGTAAAATAATCCACCATATAGCAATTTTATTTAATAAAAATGTACAGTGAAACAGTATTGTTCACTGAGAACGTTTAGAAATCAGTTTGTTGCTGATTATCTTACTAATCCGATTATGAGCAACAGACTGTGCCCAAATTATAAGTAAATAATGTTGAATCACTCGGTGTTTTGTCAGATAAAATTATTGTGTTGGAATTAAATTCCACCAGAATGCTCAAATTTTATTCCTTTATTGGCTAAAACCATCGTCTAGGGGAATGTCATAGTCAGATATCAGTTTAAATACACTGGACTCATAAAACGAGGCACTATTTGTCCAAAGTATAACGGTGTTGTGCAAGAAATCTGAACTCGAAAAAATTAAAAAAAGAGAATAGATATCGGGAAACGATAAAGTTGTTCACCTTTGACGAAAAATATTCCTCTAAGTTATGTAGAATACATGCGAGCATATTTTTTATCTAATGTTTAATTTTCCATTAACAGAACGTGGTGTGGGATATGAATGGCAACCAAAGACTTTAACAATAATTCAAGGAGATAGTGTTGTATGGATCTGGAATACAACCACACGTACAAATCCTATTATGGTAGCACAAGCAACTGATATTGAAGACCTGACTCCTTTTGCTCTTGGATTTCATAGTGGTCAACCGACAATGAAAGGTAACTTAGTCAATTTGACTTCAATCTAAGTGTTTGCGTTTACTTTCAAACCAAAGTTTGAAGTATTTCTCTCTCAGATTAGTTGCTTTCCGTGAGTGGTATTGAATAGTGACTCTCTGAAAAATCCAATATTCACTGAGATCTTGTTTTCGTGACTTTGATATATCAATTCTATTCCCTTTGAGGGCTTGACCTAATGTGGACATATTACTGCATATTAATTGTTTTAAGCAATTAGTTTTAATGCCGCTGAGAGAGAATTTTGGCTGCTAGTTTATCAAAATATGATAATGGCATTTAAAAGAACTAAAGAAAAAGTAGGGAGTAAGCGGGTGAGATTTCTTCTAGAAACTGTCTTTAATCTTGGCTGGGATAATTTAAAGTAATATTGTAACTGTTTTGCTGTGAGATACATCTAATAAACAAACTAATATGGAATATTGTAACTTTATTTTTTAGTCATTTTTACTGTCTGGGTAAAATAACGAATCTAAGTCGATATAGAAGAAGGTCAAATTTAATTTAAAGCTATATTTCATGTTTACAGTTATTATATATATATATATATGAACATGTGCCGTAACGCCTACCTCTCAAGGGAACGAACTCTTATAGTAGGGCTATTACCAGATATATCGACATGGATAATGAGGTGGAAATCGAGAAATCCTTTAAAATTATCAACAAACAAAGAAGCTCCATTCTTCTCAAGTTTGCCGAAGTAATTTCTATCAAACGCTTGAAACCAGATTTATGTGTTCAGAAAGAAGCAGTTATTAGTCTTTCCTTGCCTTGGTAACTGGATGTCTTTTTTTCTCTCATCTGATTACGCAATCTTTGTCTTTAACCTCAACCTGCTTTTATAATCTGTAATTTTGCTTGTCTCTTGTTTCTGTGATTTGAGTTCAACTCAGTACATTGTTTACCTAACTTATTAGTCACTATGCATCTAACGCATATATCGTCTTTATTACGTAACTCCTTTACCGTTGTATGCATACATTTATTTTGTTAAAACTTGAGCTGCCTGTGTAAAAACTGAATAAGCCCAAATTTCTGAGCACTGTTCACTAATTACGGAACCTTCTGTCAACCGACACCATGAAAAATTCGCAAGTATGCTAAAACTTTTCTCTACATAAATCTCATAATTTGTTTAGGCTGTAAGCGGCAACTGATGAGAAGCCAACGAAATAAATGATGGTACCATATTATTCTGCACAAATCACTGTTGTTCTTCCTTTATTCAAATATATATATGTATGTTAAAACAATTTTCTGTATGTTTTGCATTTAGGAATATACAGTTTCAACTTCACTGAACCTGGAACCTATTACTATATGTCATCAAATGAATTTGTAATGATGGGAATTATAGAAGTTCGACCATTTGATGATTGTATAACTGAAGTTGTGGTGCAAACACAGTATTCAACAGCCATCCATAAAAACGTTTCAGGTGTGTGTGTGTACATTAATTAATCTGTTACTCTTCTAATAATTTCATCATCGCAGTATCGTCTGGCAAAGGTATATTCACCATATTATTGTTTCCATCAAATTTTCATAACACTCTGTTATACCTAAATTCAAAAAAAAGTTTTTCTGTAGTCAGAAGTCTGATGTATAATGTCTTGAACAATGTCTTATTTTTGTTTCCTTGATCTAAAACTCTGCATGATAAGAATATCTAATGACTGAAGCCAAACAGAAAGTTATGAAATTATTTATGTTGGATGCGTGGTGTTTTTTTCTTCGACGTAATAAATTTCAAACCAGCGAAATTGACGCTAACACCTTGTTTAAATTAAAATTTCCCAGTAAATTCCCGTTATTTCTATAATAAATAACCAATCAAATCGCTTCAAACCAACACTTAAATTTACTGGAGTTTGGTTTGTAAGGGTTAGTTATGTTTTTACGAGTTGATCACGGATTGATATCAGTTAGAGAACCATTGAAAACCAGGGAGTATTGGTATACGAGCTCGCCTTGTAACCGGAAGGTCCTGGGTTCGAATCCCGGTGAGTGCGTGCTGTTGAAGAGTCCCAAACTAGGTTGCAACAGCTGTCCAGTACTCCCAGGTTTTCCAATGGTTCTCTAACTAATGTCAGCTCATGATGAAATCCTGAAACCAATCAATTTCCTACAAACCAACACTTAAATAACTATTTACTTTTTTTCTTTTATTATTTCTATTGACAGTTACCACGAACTGGGACTCTGTAGCAGCTTGTGCTGGAGGTTTAAGCTGCAACAGTTTACCTAAGCCTGCAATACTCTCTGCAAAGCATGGATATGTGTATCGAGGTTGTGCAACTCCGTTGGTGTCTTCGTTTAGTCCATTCAGCTTATACGCTGAAAGTCAAGTTGAGGTAACTTCAGACATATTATCACAATGTACAGATCAAGTGATTATCACGGTTGGTGGAGCAAATTGCATATCACCTTTACGTGACAATAATTCAGTGAATTCCATTAAATGTACTTTGCAAGAAGATCAGGTTGTATTGGCTGGTTTGACAACTGGACAGCCATTAAGACCATCTGTTTTCCACAAAGATTTTGGAATGGGACTTCTCACGGTATCCTATAATGAGTTCGAACGGTATGCATTTTTCTTGCCCAGGATTAATTGTGCGAAAACCAACGGAGTAGGAAGTACTCAAGGAGGTGGACAGTTTATCATTTATGGTTCTGGATTTGTTCCTAACAATACTGATTTGAATGTGGTGACACTTCGCTCTGATCAGAAATGTTTGGTCATTCAAGCTACTCCAGGTTACATTAAGTGTTTAATTCCAGTACCGACTAATACTTCAATCATATTAAACAATGTAGGAATCCAAGTGATGGTAAAGCCAAAAGATCAGAATCAGTGGGTGGAAGTTGAGCAAAACAGCCCAGATGGTTGTATATATTCATACTCTTTAGCAGCAACGCCCATAGTAAAAACAATTGAACCGCGAGAATTAAGTAGTAATGATACTCTTAGAATCGGCGGAAGCAATCTTTTGTTACCTGGAGAAAATGTGTCATCAGTACAGGTATATCTTGATAACGCTTCATGTGTAATTGACCCATTATCAAGCAACGCAAGTCTGTTATTATGTCAAGTAATTGGATCTTTACCAGCTGGAAATGTAAACCTTAGGTTATTGCATCAAATACGAGGCAATCCTAAGTATGAGACAAGTTTAACCCTAAAAAGCAAGATTACTATTCTTACAGTGGATCCTAAGGAAGGAAGTTTCGCTGGAGGTACAGTTGTTAAACTAACTGGCAATGGTTTAAATGATCCAACGATTAAAATCTATTTTGGCTCAGAAACATGTCAGATAATAAGGGAAAACAGATCCGCATCTCAAATTTACTGTGTAACACCCTCACAAATAAGCTTTTCAAATTTAACAGATTATAAAGTGGCAGTTAATGTTTCTAGTGGATATTCGCTTTCTGATGGATTTACATACGTCAACTCAAAAACTCCAAGAGTGAGCACTGTTGCAATCAACTTCACTCCGGTTAATGGAACATCAGTCAACCAATTAAATATATACGGAAGTATGTTACAATGTAACTCTTCACAAGGCAAACAAACTGAAGTTAAATACAACCAAAGAACATGCGTGGTACAAATAATTCGGGATGAGTATATCCAGTGTTACATAACTAACATGCCAAGTGACCAATATCAACTCGCTGTGAATGTACCAGAATATGGTTTTGCAATTTCAGACTTTTCCACAAAAGTTGATTTCTCTCTGAATTCTATAAATGCCAGTACAGGTTAGTCTAAATACCTTATAATGCATGATAACGTGTATAATTACTGGGGACTCCAGTTAATTCCAAAATACAAGAAGAGGATTATTAAGAAAGGCGATATATGTATGCTGCATGTCGAACATTCAAAACAAGTGCAGAATTTCAGCAGTCAGCAGCAGTATATATATATATATATTATATTCCTTAATTCCTAGAGGAACATAGGGCTTCAGTCGCGCGTCTCCATTGCCTTCGATTTTCTGCCAACTTTTCACTCCGCTCCAAGTTTGCCCACACGCTTTCATCTCTTCTTCACATGACCTCCTCCAAGTCACCCCACCATATTACTGACGACCAACTCGCCGCCCGCTTTCCTTTCAGGTTCCACTCGAGCAATGGCTTGTCTAGTGATGTCACTTGATGGTTACCTCAGATTATGGCCAATCTATCTCCATTTCTTCCTGCCTATAATCGGTTCCTGCTGGGTTTGTTTGCTCATCGCCAGAGATCCCTCACTATTTCTGATCTTTTCTGGCCGGCCATCTGATCTTGAGTGGTATTGAGCGAAGACAACTGTTATTGAAGGTCTGAAGTTTGTTTGAGATGCTGTTTATGACACGCTGGCCAAGTCTCTGATCCGCATAGAAAGTAGCTATGACTGACTTCACATTGGAGTTGAAAATCCGGATCTTATTTTTCGGGTTGAGTCCTGTTCACCTCCACACAGACTTGAGAGTAATGAAAGCTTATCTTGCTTTTCCGATGTTCCTGGCTTTGATATCCTCGTCAGTTCCGCCTGTAGTTGAAACGATGCTTCCCAGGTGAGCAGCTAAAGGAGGTTGTTTCTTTCAGGTTCCTCCCATTTGTGCTGGCTGATTGTTGTCTGTTGTTGTTGTTGCTGTTGGTGTTGGCCAGGAATCTTCATCACCTGTATTTTCTCTATGTTCACCTGAAGTTCTATCTTCTCTGGATGCTTCTTCTGCCGACTTGTCGCTTTTCACTTGCATATCTTCCAGTTTGTGGGAAATTAGACATATATCACCAAGGGTGAAGTTCAGATCCTCCAAGTTTTTCGTGAGGGTCCATTTTATGCCCGTTCCCTGGTTGGTTGCCGTTGTCTGTCGCATTATCCAATCTACTGCAATCAGGAAGATCATTGGCGATAACAGACAGCCTTGCCTCACTCCCGTCCTCACTTCAAAGGCTTCCGTTAGTTTCCTGTTGTGGATTACCTGACATGCAGCATTGTCGTATAGCTGTTGGATGAGATGTATAATTGTCGGTGGCACCCCATAGTAGCGAAGTAGTTGCCAAATCACCTCTCGATCGACACTGTCGAAGGCCTTTTCAAAGTCGATGGAGTTGAGATAGAGAGGTGACTGCCATTCTAAGCTTATATATATATAAGATGAAACATGTGAAATGTCATTTGAAACTAGAAAGTTTATCAGATCGCATATGGGGACAATCACTAAACAATACCATTTGATATAGGCCATGTTACGTGATGAATTGAAAGAAGCAGAAATTCGTGACTATGTTCCCAGTAGATGGTTGAAGAATAAAGCACTCTGTGTAAAAGATAAAAGTACTAGTCTTGATACTATATATTGTGTTTTAAGAGTTGCAAACCATATCAAATTCGACTAGTCTACAGTAGTACGTTAACAGATGTTATTATGTGGTTACTAGTTCTTCTGAAGCTTTAATTTTTGTTCTTTCGGTTAACATTTTATAATACACATATTACACTTTCTGACTATCTGCATTCCGTTATACAGGTGGATGACATTTTGAATCTGTCAGTCTGGATACCATTTTTAGCACTCAAGAATAAATTCCCAGCTCACATAGGATACAGAAAATGAATGTATTTTCTAAAAGTCCGTCTTCTACAATTACTCTTGATATATATTATAGTAATGAACCAGAAAACTAAACCTATAGAATGTTACTTTCGTTCCGAAACGACTAAAGTCTTATAATGTTACCATATGTGCCCCACCTCACGTCATTTTCAGCTTTGTGGCTTCATTTTTCACAATTAAATAAACTTTGTTTATTTATATATAGACGACTGAAAGCAGTTTGAAGGAAAACTGTTACTTTATCTTGTCTTTGTTGTGCTAATTCAAAATCAAACAAAATATGTCAAATTTTAGAAAAATATTTCGTTGTTTGTTATTGGGGTACCCAGCCTGTCATATGCTCTGGTGGTGTTCTCGTGACTTTTGTTGCCAGATCTGCCAAGGGCGATGGGATAGTACGCGACCTAATGGTTGTGTGCAAGTTTTAAAGAAGGCTGTATGCTATATGCATGCGCCTCGCCCTGATAATGTTAGCGTCGGTGGTGCAGCGGTTAGGACGCTCTCCGACCATGCACATGATTCTAGGTTCGATCCCCGGCCGGCGCACTTCTTTACCTCGCTAAGCCAGTAGTGAGACTGGTAAAGAGGAAAGGTTAGGCATGAGGCTAGCAACGCCATCCTGTAAAAGTAAACACTGCTACAGAAACTGCAAGCCAATAGCTTGAAGCCCTATGTTCCCCTGGGAACGTGAAGGAAAAATTAAAATTACTTTTATTTCGTTGTTTGCAAGTTACACTGTTCAAAGTTAAAATTCACGCAATTTCCATAAGAAACTAAAATTATTTAGGTCGTATTGTTCTGTCTACTCGATTTGATAAATGGAAATCATGAAAGCGAAAAAAAGAGCATTACACTGTATACTTCTGATTGGTGTTAGTATTTAAAGTCTACCTACATCAATCAATAGAGCTTGGTAACCATATGGAAATGGCTTTAACATTGTTTTGCTGTTTTTCACAGTACGAGATAATAAAAACGAAATACACGAAAGGGGTATGTTGTTAAAAAATGAGACATTTCAAGAAACATTATTTTAAGGCTTTATATTAAATAAAAAATTAATTAATTTTTGTCAAAATATTTACTTACTTTTCACTATATTTAAAGGTGGTACAAACGGTGGACTACTGGTCGAAATCCAAGGTGTAGGAATGGATGCAGAGAAAAGTACAGTTACAATATGTGAACAACCATGCACCTTAGCTGGAGGTAGTTCACTCACATTAAAGTGCATTACCCCTAAAATTAGTAAGTGTATGAAGAAGTTTTAAAAGTTTTAACAAACAGTATAATTGCTCTGTGAATAACCTTCCAGTAGTTAACATATTAAGTATCTTACCATATATCCACTAATCTCCTTAAAAAATTGAAACTTTTACTTCTTAAATGCAATACTGCTTCATTGAATTCTTTCTCAAACATTAATAAGATTTGCGAAGTCTGTATTAGGTGATATTTCACCAACCATGAAACATTCTCGTCACATTGTGTTTCTCTGGAGATTTGAACTGAACTTATAATGTCTGAAACATTCACAGAAAACAGTGGTTACTTGTTCACTTGTAGGTCTGTTACTAGCTACCAAAAAAAAACTTATCACTGGAAAGCAGAACTTGTTTTGAAATGTTAGTGACATGTTCAAACTCCATAAATGTGAAATTACGTCATCTCGAATTAATTTATTGATGTATAGATGTAAGGAAACTTTCCGAGTATTTTCATTTTACCAGTGAACTGATTAAAGAGACTTAAATTCCAAGCCATAACCTTTAATTAGTAAACTGTGAATGGAATGTATGCCGTTAAAAATGAAAATTCAGTTAGTCGTCTGTTCAGTACACTGTACATAAAGGCACTGTGGTTCTGATATAAGTTGTAGTATGATTCAGTTGTTATAGTTAGCTATTGGACTGGTTTCTTTTGGTCTCACGAAATCGGATTAAGAGTTTGGGTTTTTGAAGTCGGTGTGCTTTTATGTCATAAAAACGAAATCAGCTATGTACTGTCTGTAACTTAAAGCACTAGCGGTTCAAAAAACTTGAATAGCGGTGTTTCCAGTCTTGCTGCAAACACAATTATTCAACTAAGATTTGGGTGAGAATATCCAAGATACCAGTATCTAATTAATTGACTGCCTTAATAGGATGCTTTCCACCATCAAATCGAAAATGTATTCAAATTTTTTTGAGGAAATTAATTTCGGTAATATCCAACCACTGAAGTCATAAGTTATTAGCATTAGGTCATATGCTGTGTGGTTTTACTCACTAATTTAGGCTCCTGAACACTAGGAGTGATCTTCCGTAGGCATCATTTATGATAGGACCCTGACCGAATCATCCTTGATCCAGCAGATTTTAGACTATAAATAGAATTATTTTTCATGAGACACCACTATTTTTTCCATAGTGTTTGTTCAGTTATCATCCGAAGTCAAACTTATGACAGGTAACCAATTAATACTGAATAATTGAAGGAAATATCCTCATAGTCATTTTTGTCTCTACGTAACTTTATTACTAAAAAGTTTGTTTTTTATTTCAGTGATTCTTGTAACCTTTTGTTTATTTAATACTTTATAAAATTAATTTCTCTTACTTCTCCTATTCTTCCAGCTACACAAAGTGTGAAGTCATGTGACGTCGTTGTAACAGTTCCTACCAATGTAGGCGTCTTACAAAAAACTCTTTCATCAGCTTTCGTCTATGATCCTAAGCTTACACCGACCGTAGTAAGTGTAGACCCTTTAATTGGTGGCACCGGAGGAGGTACAAATCTGACACTTATTGGTATTATGTTTGAGTAAGTTATTCATTAAAACATTTTAATACATTTAGTAACTAAATTAAGATTTTACTTGTGAAAAAGAACTGTTTACCTGGTAAACTATTGAAGTTCAGTGTATTTTTGTGGTGAATCGAATAGTTACTGACACACACAACTGTACTTTATTAACAGATCAATGTACAGCAAGGTACTATCCAAAGATTGATTATTGTTTTGAAAAATTTATGAGTAGAGATTTTAGATATTAGTAAAAAAATTGGGCTCTATAATAGAGATTTTTATTATTTTAAATTCGTTTAATCGAGTTTTGACCGGTTACTGTAATCTATGGGCATGCATCGAAGAAGAAACAAATCAGACAAATCGTGAAAAGTTAAATCAAATTTTCAATTCACAAATTGTCGCACGATTAAAAATTCACACAGTTCAAAGCCAGATTTTGGTTCTATGAACCAAGTAAAGCCACGTTTATAACTGATGATCTTGGCCGCAAATGATAGAAACGCTTGTCTCATGTTTGTATTAATTCGATCTAGCTGGCACACATTTCTAGTTTATGTGAGTGTTATCCTACCATACATATCAATCACTCAGTATATAGCGTCATGCATTCATGATGAAGGACATCAGTTCACAACAAATCACACGTACTGAAATGGAACATTATGTCGACCTAAAGACCCTATTCGATTCTGTCAAGCCTGTTTGAATCCATTGTTTGAAGAATATCACGATATTTTACACTACATTGCTTACCTATCAGTTTCATACTGGCTAATTACATATATTCACTAATCGAGCAAAGTTCTTCAACTGATGAATTTAATTGCTCCAGATAGTGCAATGATTTCGCTATGTTCATTGGTCGCGATTGGTTCACCTGCCACATATTTTATCCGAATGCAAATAGGAAAATGTCTTCATACCAATGAATTGATATTTGACCACTGTACACTACTACCACTTATTTGTTTTTCTCTGATAATATAGCGTAAGCATCTTTCTGAAGTTTAGTAAATAAACTTAATGTACTACACTACTCATTTATCAACCAGAATCCAATCATTTCTGCTTATTCAACATTGAAGCAATCAATATTTTCCAATTGAATAATTCATTCGGCTATAAAACGATTAAGTTTCCCTTTAATATTACTAAACTGTTTAAATGAATAAAATTTTGAATACATTAGAATTCGGACGTACATATTTTAATTGCGTAGCTCAGTAACATGTGGGATACTATCAGTCACTGGTGTTGTGCTGGTGGTTATCTCTACTTAGATTTTATCCAATTTGCTGCTAAAGTGTTTGGAGTTATTGTGTTCATATTAGAGTTTACATAATATACTATTTATTCTAATGGCCCATAAAACATGTTTGTGCTGATGTTATGAGGAGTGTTACAGGACTATAAGTTGACAGCATTTCGGATGTATTTGGTTTAATGTATTTGAACAGTCTAGCAATGTGTTTTGAATAGTCATTTAATGAGGATTACTATGTGGTTGACTCTTATTATCACTGTTGCGACTGCTGAGTACGGACAACTGAATGGAATCACATGATTTATGTGATTCCTGAAAAGATGAGTTTTCAGAAGTGTGAGTGCTACTTTAAAGTTTTCGTAACAAAAATCATTTAAACTAAATGCATTTCTTGCAAGATTTCATCATGAGCTGACATCATTTAGAGAACCACTGGAAGACCTGTGGGTTTCAAACGGCTGTTTCGCCTATTTTGAAATTCCTCATTACTACGCATCCACTGGCAGGATTCGAACCCATGGCCTTCTGATTACAAAGCAAGCTTGTAGACCATTAAGCCAATGAGACTTGATCCAACATACATCTGATGTTCACTGCCCACTAATTGTATTCAGGTTTGTATTTAACTGGATTCTAGTGGGAAACTTCGACCAGTGGCGAACAGTAGGTCGGCTGTGAGAAAAAATACTCGCCGAGGACATTGGCCAGTGATCGTGCCATATCACGAGTTCGCAGAAGTTGGGTCGGGCCTTATTGACTGAATCGTCTGCCAGCCCGTCTTGGAACTGGAAGCTCCTGGGTTTAATCCCCTTGTGGTTGGTGCGTACTGTGAAGAGTTTCAAACTAGGATGAAACAACTGTCCAGTACTTCCAGGTTTCACAGTGGTTCTCTTTTTGATATCAGCTCATGATGAGACCCTTCAACCAATCAATTTTTTTTAAACAAACACTTGAAATGCATTTCTGAGAAGAGTTATGCTTCACACGTCAGAGTGGGATCTTCTGCGCATGATATGCATATTACGGTGGTGAAAAATCGAATCATCTATTCAATACAGTTTGATAACCATCTCATATCGTACTGTAGTATACAAAAAAAGTAATAAATACGCGACATTAATCTTTGACAAAAGGGTGATGTACTCCAGGTTTTGCTTTTTATTTCTGAATTATGAATCATACGATGACTAGTGAAATAGCAAACAATAGACTGAAAATACAGTCTGGTTATGTAAAGAAACCATTGGAAATTCTGCTTTAGGTTAAAATATTGAGGAAGAAATACATCATTTTGACTAAATATACCTATCGGAATCTTGGGTCACCCTGTATTTTGGTTTTTATAGTAATTACAGTCATTCATTTCAATCTGTTGATGGAATGCTGTCTTCTGAAGACTAATATACAAAATTTGTAAAAACATGCTAAAAGTACAAACCTTTTTTCACACTTTTTATAAACTTTGATTAAGATGTCTTAATTTGAGTGGGGTTTGATTCCGACAATTCTTCTATGGTTTCCAACAAAAATGCATCATTTAAACTACAGTGTATGGTCTGTGTAACGCTACTGTTCATTAAAAGTAAACTTAAAAAATAAAACAGTGGCTATAATAACCAGTGAATGCACTCACAAACCTCAATCCTATTTCTGTTACTTCTCAACCTATTGATGGAGTTGATCATGGTAGAGGATTTCATATACCACTTCAGTTTTTCAGGCTCAATCATGACAGATATAACTAAAAAAACTAATTATTAAACAGTGTATTCAAAATAATGAAATTGAATAGTAGCAAATGTGTTTCCTGAGGATCTTTTTAACGCTAAACATTAATTTATTTTTCATCATTTGTAATCAGCCTCACGTTATATTCCCGTCTTTATGTTTCATAGTGAATCTACAAAAGTCAGTGTCGGTGGAACTCAATGTCAAATAATATCTATCAATGACACCACAATTACCTGTCAAACTGGTGTATACAATAGAAGCGAGAAAGTACCTATCGATGTTATAACTGGAAAATACGGAAAAGCTAGTGGAGTAAGTCCATAACTTCATGGATAATATCTAAATTAAAAATCGGCCATTGTACTAATGACATGAAATTCGCTTACAAAGTGAAAATGTTTTCTGCTAGTAGTAACCTTCACCTTCTCGGGGAACGTCGTCTTTAGGTACTTAATATGTAGACAGTAGTCGTGGATGTTCAACGTGCATGATGAATCAATTTTTGTAAACTGTCTATTTTCATTTATCTTAATAGGCGAGACATAATAATAATAATAATAACAACGGCTTAATTCCCAAACAATACATGTGATACGAAGTTTTGATGCGATAAAAGTGGTCATATAACATTTCCTCGTTGTACACCACTTGAAAAAAAGTTAATGTTGAAACGTGAAATATGCACAGACATTATACATTGACATTATACATTATCAAAATTTTCAACAACTACCAATACTTGTGTTTAATTGTAACAGGTCACAAATAACAATGACTAACTATTGTGCTGTTTACTGCAACGACTTGGTTACTAAATAAACGTTTTGAAAAGCAAACTAAAACAAGCACGGGAAGGTAATAGAGAGAGCCCTGATGGATTCATTGTGAACTGAATAGCAAATTTTAGACAGAACATGAAACCTGTTTAATTAGTATACACCTGAACGCTAAAATGTTGTTTATCGGCTTGTAAACCGAACCTTTTGTAAATCTAATGGAATGTTTTGGTGTACTGTCAGTTCACTATTGATCTTTTTGTCTTTTCTTCTTTTCATTATACTTACGCTCTTGAATCTATTTTTTTGGTGAATTGAAGCTAAGTAACGACTCCTTTCACTAATATTATTTTTCAAGCACTGGTTTGTAGAGATTTGGTTGCTCACAGGGTTAATCACGGATCAACATCAGTTAGAGAATCATCAAAAACCAGGTGGCACTGTACAGCTGTTGCTTCCTACTTCGAGACTCTTCAAAATTACATATTTATTACCGCGTCGGGTGTCAAGTCTAGGAACGTTAGGTTACAAGACCGTCTCTCTGACCATTTCGACACTGGGACGGAGTCCATGCTTTCATCTAGATGGTAGTGATCCGTTATCAAACGTGAAAATTATTATTATTATCTTTTCATTTAGCACTTATGATTACTTCATTGTCCAGTATTATCAAGCGTGCTTGGTAATCAATTTTTTTTGATTTACAGCTTGATTTACAGCTTGATTCCACACTGTATTTTTGGTACAAGTATGGAATTTTCAGCATGGATATCGGTAGCCCAAATTTTGCAGGCCGACCATAGATATCAGGTGTGCGCCGGCGTGGGCTCGAACCCCGGACCATGTGCATGGTCGGCGAGAGTCCTAACCACTGTGCTACCGACGCACAGCTATCGTATCTCACTCGTCCTCATTGCCACAGATTTTTATGTATTTCTATTTAGTCTATTAAATTCGCTAACATTTTGCGCCACTTCATGAACCCGTCTACGTATGAATTTTTTCGTTGCATAAGAGTATGTGAAGTCGTGTGAAAACTAAGAAACGCTTCTTTGTATACACATTCTACAATCGATAGGAGTTTCATTATTCAGAAATTACAATACTGACTGTGTAACTGACGTTTCCTGTCTTTTAATATTTTTTCTTGCTCCTGAATGTTGTCAAATAAGAATTTCATTTTCTACTATGTGGATCGTTGGTCAAGTCGTTTTACTTGGAATAACGAGCCCATACCAAAGGAAAATGACTTTGTAGTTATCAATCAAGGTCAAAATGTCATGTTAGATACAAACACACCAGTTCTCTCAATGCTATTGATCAATGGTGGTACACTGTTCTTCGATCCAACAAAGGATGTTCAACTACATGCAAAATATATACTGATATTAAACAATGGAAAGTTTCTGGTAAGCTAAACTTCAGTCTCAGATGAACTGCGTCCTAAAAAAATAATTCTGTACGGAATTTAGTTTAATTTAGGAAGAGAAACAAAAGAAAGGATAGTCAGTGATTAACTTTTTGTTGTATTATATACTTTCCAAACCAGTTAGCATCTTTCTAATGGGTTGACATACAACAAATTGTTTAGAAAACATATTATAATTTAATTGTGAATTATTTTGTTCAACTTAAGCAAACAGCTCATGGCATGTGATTTCCTGAGGAAACAATTTTGTAAGAAACTGAGAAAATAACTGTAGAGTAAACTAACTAATTAACTTTTCAAGAATAAACTTGTTTTCTTCTTGAAGATCTATAGTTTCCTGCATTGAAACATAAACATCTAGTGTAAAATTAAAAGTGAATTATTGTAGATATAAGGCTATGCAGGTCATTGACTGACAGCATCTAGAAGCCTCAAAGTATCAGGGGACTGTCTATATTAAACTGGCCACACATACTCAACATAAGCAGCATTTGTAAATAATTATGAAAAGTTTTACCCAAGCAACTTTGAATGTCTATAGGAATGAAATGATTTCCAAACAGCTGAACATCAAACTGAAGTTATTTAGGTTAATTTGAACTTTTCTGTTGATTGGTTGAACTGAGATCTTTAGACTCTGCTGACATGTCGCCTGCTTGCGTGGATGTCTGAAGAATGCTTGAAAATTTTACTTGAAGTGATTTGTTTTTTATTACAGCTTGATTCCACACGGTTTTTTTTTGTTACAGGTATGGAATTTTCAGCATGTAATATCTGTAGCCCAAATTTTGCAGGCCGACCATAGATATCAGGAGTACGTCAGCAGAGAATCGAACTCCGGACCATGTGCATGGTCGGCGAGGGTCCTAACGGCTATGCCACCAACGCACATTTGGTGAACAGTGGTAAAGCATATTTGTCGCTAGTCATAATCCGCTAATTTATTAAACTGAAATGATTAAAAATTTAATGCTCACCTATCACTTAAGCATCCACAATTCGGTCAGAACTGTCTACTGAAGCCGAAGGAAACAGACAATGAAATAGAGACAGTAGATGGAGATAAGAAAATCTGTTTACGATTAATCTAAGTTAAATTAGCACTCCTTTTTAAAAGAAAAATATGTAGACAGAGCTAAACAAATATAATCTATCTCTCAGACAGTTGAATCTCAATCTAACCAATGAAATGTCAATTCATCTCCTCAAAAATTATTAACTCCTCACCTGATTTTGTAAGGTATACTGGGAACGAGAGGAAGAAATTTTCCATTACCTCTCAGTTCATAGTGTGCTATCTAGCTACAAAAACTACCTTGAGATTGAACGGAGTTTTCATGAACACCTAGTGAGTGTCCTGTATTGTAGCTTTTAGTATTTATTATGGAGTTATAAACTTTGATTATGTACAACATGATCAGTGTGACCAGAGTTTCAAATAAATTATCATTAAACGACACTGTTCAAGAGACATGTGAAAACCATAGAGTAGTGGACACCTTTTTCGTCCTACTTTGGTACTCTTCAGCAGTGCATACTGATGACCTCGCCAGGAACTGGAAGGTCGTAGGTCCGATCCTTATGAAAATAACCTGGTCTAACCATACAAAGTGTATTGGTTTATCTACTTGACCAGACTTCATCTTAATCCAAAGAGTGAAGACATTTATTTCATTTCAGGGGATAGTTTAGTTTGTGTTTAAAACAGCATACAAAATATGATCCAATACATAATTCTGGAACTTTTTGCAAATATTAATATTGATAATGAAATTGAATTAAAGAAATTGCTAGCTATAATGAGTTCGTGTTTTGAAATCCATACGCAAAGGATAAGACTTTAAACATTTTCTAATATTTCAGAATATCACCTTTTAAAAAATATGTAATTTTTAAATAAATTCAAAATGACTATTGTAATCTAATAAATATGATCTTCTTCAAGACTAACATTGTAATCTTTATCAATGATTAGATTGGATCACCTGAAGAACCGTACACTAAAATGGCCACGATAACACTTCACGGACATGTAAGAGAGAAAGAACTGCCTTTGTACGGTGCTAAAGTTTTGGCTTTACGCAACGGAACACTCAGTATACATGGTTAGTTTGTTTCTTGTTAACCTACAATTATTTGTTTCCAATCATTTAATCAGTTTCCACAAAGGAGAAGTGTAGTTCAACACAGTAATAAGATGACCTTGCCTAACATCTAAATAGTATTCATATAATAAAATGATTTAAATTATGAGGTCAACTGCAAGTAGTGAGTACCAGAGAAAAGTGTTTAAAAAAATACTCTGAAGATTCTCAATTTTTCGCATTAGCTAAATTTGCTTTTACACCTGATCGATAGGCAGTGTTATGCCCTAACGTGGTCACGCAATTGCAGTAGACAATTTATTGAAAGTTATTTACACAGTAGATGGATTTCTTTGAAAGATTTTACTGATCTGCATTCTTTGTACTACCAAGTCCCTAGTCATCCACATGTAAAGGCCGACTGTACCCATAAAAAAGAAATCGGTTAGTCTATTTTTTCCTACCCTTGCCTTAATTACAGGTTATACACTTATGTTGAATTGGTATCATTATAATTAGCGTGATGAATTTCTCTCCTGTATGGGCTACGCCCTGTTATATTATCAATTTCCTATGTGAAACATATTCACTATTCTTTCTACATATCTTATAATTACATTTGATTTTTGAATAATTTATCATTTGACGCAGCCACCAATTCGAACTTGATATTATACATGAGTTTCTTAATACTAATCATTTGTATTGACTGTTTGTGAGCGTTATTTTGAATATCCAGATGAATATGGAGTCATGCAGTCAGTATCCGGCAACTTTTTCTAAAATTTTGATCATTTTATGATATGAATAATATTTGGATGTTTCTGTTCTTGGCATGTATAGTTAATTACTCTTCTCAATCAAAAAAGTATACATGCTCCACAAACATTGGAAATAAGTCTTGCTACAAAGCTAAGTGAATGAAATCATTGAACATGGCTGTTTTTCCTCAGTTCATATCCCTGTCAATATGTTTGGTAAATAATATTTAATTCGAAAGAAAACGACATTATTCACATTGTATTAAATTGAGTCACTTGTGATTACACTGAGTAAATTTTTAGGATAAAAAAGGGAAAAAAAGTGAAATTCCGTATAGTATTACACGTTTGTCTATAATCACATCACACTGGACAATGACAGAGATGTAACGTGATCTGAATGAGATCTAATAACCCGGGATAAGTATTTATGTCAACACAAACTAAGATATACCAATTCTAAATTCATTCTTATATAATGATTATGATTTTCATTTCAGGGGTTCCACAAGCTGAGTTCTGCCAAAACAAGCAACTTTACTGATTCCTCTGTTATAGAATTCTTAAAATTAATAGTCTACTCTTATAAACTGTTACATTAGATGATATCAAATAGTTGGAGGCAATCGGCAGGAAGCCTTGGACCTAGGTTTCGCGGTAGGCGCCACTCGTCAGCAAGGTCACATTGCGAACCTGACTGATAGAGTTAAGTCCGCATCAAAGAAAGGACTAGACATGTCACACTAGTTACCGGTGTCCAATGAAAGTATGTCACATTAGTTTGGGTGATATTCAGGTTTCAATCTCCACCATAATAATTATTCCTGTAGATTTAGAACACTATATCTATATATGATATTTCACACAGTGTAATTAACAAAAAATTTGATTTAATCAGATGTGAAAAGAAAAGATCGCCAACTGAGACGATAAATTGTTAACTAATAAACTTCAAATGTTGACTTATAAAAAAGTTTTGGTTAAGTGTGATTTCGTCCTGGTGATTTCCAGTAGACACATTGAATTCACTTTTTACATAATGGTTGTAAGACGTAACGCCTAGTAGTTTATTCCTTTTCCACTAACTGCGACCTTATTTAAACAAAGGAGTTCTATTTCTATTTTTTCCTTCACGTTCCCCAGTGGAACATAGGGCCTCAAGCTAGCGGCTTGAAGTTTCTGTAGCAGTGTTTAATTTTGCAGTATAGGGTTGCTAGCTTCATGCCCAACCTTTCCCCTTTACCAGCATTATTTCTGGCTTAGCGAGGTACAGGAGTGAGTCGGTCGGGGATCGAACCCCGGACCATGTGAATCGTCAGCGAGCGTCCTAACCGCTATGCCACCGACGCACAAACATAGGAGTTAACTTTGATAAGGCTATTAGCATTAAATAGAGAAACGTCAATAAAAACAATATCGTTTTGTTTTTCATTCATTGGGAAATACAAAAACCTTTATCATAATAAACGAGTAATCAGTTCCATTATGGGTAAATTTTGTTTTGATTTTGGTATGATTATGAGCAATAAATTGTGCTCGAAAAGTGGTCATCAGTAAACATTACTGTATAACACTGTGAGACTTTATCAAAACAAAATTTACCCATAATGGAATTATACTCTACCACAGTGCACAAGTTTTATTCTTATATCAAACGAGTAAACAGATTTGGGCTTTTATTCTTACACATGTATTGGTATACATGGTCATATTCTTTTTCAGGTAAACCTAGGATTGTCACTTGGACTAGACTAACAAAAACCGCTGAAGCGGGAACAAAAACATTGGCATTAGAACATCCAGTTGACTGGCAGCCTGGAGAACGTATAATCATAACATCCACAGGGGGAAAATCAGCACATAACCAATCAGAGGAACATATAATTGCAGGTAACTTCTATGAGACTCGTTTATATTTTTTCTAGGTGAATGAAATTATATTCAAATACCAGTTCATAAGCTAAATTTAAAGCGTCGGCCTGAGAAGTTACAGTGAATAAGCGGGGGTGTGTGTGGATCTTTTGGTTTTAATATTACATATAGCTTTCAGAATCACTGATGAAGACTACTTAATATTACAGTACGAGGCCGGGATAATTCCCATGTAAATATAAAGGGATATTTAAAAGCTTTCAGGAAGAACAGAGTGGTTATTCTAAGTGAAGAGATAATCACAGAAAGTGATAACCAACTTAAAAGAATTGAGAAAAGAACAAATCACCAAGAAACGTTTCAACAAAGAGAAGGATTAATAACAGAATCGGTATTCATAAGCAACACTTAAAACGTAGAAAATTTAAATCAACACACCTATCAACGATGTGAAAAATGGTTCAGGATACAAAAAAATGACTAGACACAAAATACATATACTCTATGTGTGATTATTGTGTATGAATCTGTGAATTAAAATAATCGCAGCTATTGGTATGATGGCGGTGGCGAATTTCTGTCTAAATATTTCCAAAATCAAAAACAACTTTTTATTGAGTATAGGTAATCATCAAAGTTTTGTTAAAGTATATCGACGCAATTCGTTTGCTTCACTGTTTTTCGAATATAAAGCATTCAGGAGCTTTTGAGTGTTGAAGCATATCTTCTCATCTTCTTTAAATGCAAAAATAATAAATCACCTATTTTGTTAATCGAGTAGATAGCACAATTGAATGCATGCACTGCAGGTCACAGTTTAGCACACACATTATTGACATGTGAGAGCCGAATTCTCACTAGGAAAATTTTCACCCGCCACAAAAATGCTGCTGAAATGACAGTATAACGGATTTCACTTTTGTATGAGGAATATAGACAGCCTGATGGTCCTGTTATGTTATGTCTGCCGCGTATTCAAATATCCAGGCAATGCAGCTTTTTGTATTCTTCAATTTTCGAGGTCATCAAAATATTTCGATATGATGGTTAACTAAGACAATAAATCTATAGACTGATTCATTACTTTTTTCTTTAGTTGGTCTGTAAGGACTAGTTTTTCTACAAGTTGATCACGGATTGATAGCAGTTAGAGAACCACTGGATGGTTGCTTCATCCTAGTACTCGCTGATTTGTAATGGTTGTCTAACTGATATCAATCCGTGATCAACTCGTGAAAACATAACTAACCCTTACAAACCAAACTATAGAAAATTAATCTGATGCCCGCTAGTTACTTGCTACAGGATGGAGTTTCCCGGAATTCTAGTGAGAAGTGAGATCCACTTAGAGAAGTATCACCGACGACATTGGTTGATGGCCGCGCTAAATCATGAATTAGTAGAAGTTAGAATTCATGGAGTGGTCACCGAATGGGGTCTCAGTGGCTGAATGGTATACGAGCTCGCCTTGTAACCGGAAGGTGCTGGGTTCGAATCCCAGTGGGTGCGTACTTCCGATGATTCCCAAACTATAATGAAACAACTTTCAAGTACTCTCTGGTTTTCAATGGTTCTCTATCTGTCTCATAACTATTAGATTAATTTTTGTGACCTATAAAAGTAAATGAATTTCAGCCATAAATAAGCTGATCTATTTCAAGCAACGAAATATGGTTGAGTAGGTATTCTGAATTCATAGAGCATGTAAATTCTTCCTCATTGTTCATATTACTAAGAACGATTTTGAGTTCGTATGAGCTTTCTGCAAAATTATTTACTAAAGTACTCTGCTTGAGAATGAATCGCTACAAATGATACGGAAAATGTAACATATCTAAAGATGAGTGCTGTAAATTTTCGTATGACCATAAAAATGTGGCGATGAGAATAAACAAATTTCACCTGTCTACTAAATGTTTCACCTACAAATTCTTGCCTATAGGAGGTGAGGTTAAATTAATTGGTTACAGGACTACATCATCAGTTGACATTGGTTACAGAACCACTGGAAAACCTGGGAGTACTGGACAGCTGTTTCGTCCTAGTTTGAGACTCTTCATAAGTACACACCCGTCGCCAGGGCTCGAACCCAGGAACTTTTGGTTATAAGACAAGCTCGAAGACCGTTGAACCACTGGGACCCGATCCAGTGGCCTGTGAATTCAAACTTCTGCCAATTCACGATAAAAAGCAACCGCCAGCCAATGTCTTCGGCGAGTATTTGTCCTCGCACCCAACCTGCTGCACCCTACCGGTTACGACTTCCCACTGGAACCCAGGTATCTACAAACCAATACTTGAGTAAATTGATTGTCTAAAAGCAAATTTCTCCAAAACTGTCATTTTGAAATTTTGTTTTTTTTATCCAAGGTGTTTGCTTTTATCAGTGCAGTTAAATAATTTCGCATCTTTTTAGGCGAAAACTAATTTTTCTAGCTCTTAATCTGAAGTTGAACATTTAATTTGCTACTTTTTTCCAAATCATCTAGATATTTCTTCCGACAATCGTACGATCACATTAACTTCTCCGTTGGCATACAGAAAATTGGGCGTAAAAATAACCTACTCAAATGGTGTTACTGGTAATTTCGCTGCTGAAGTAGGACTTCTAACTAGAAATATTTTAATAACTGGAACAAATGAACCTGTAGTGTCATCAGATGTTCCCCGATGTACCAATGATTTTAGCACAGGTAACCAATTCTAACTTTTGTATTTTACATAATGAACAACACTATAACAAAAATTTCTATTTACCCGTTTTCTTAGAGTAGTTCCATTGAGATCATTACACTGACAAGCTATTAATAACCATACATATATGAAAAACGCTTCAAAAGTGTCGAAATAAAAGTCTTATTCGGCTTTAATACTTTTATTGTTTAAAGATGCAGCAATATAACTTTGAGATTTTAAAACTTACATAAGGACACTTAAAAGATAGCCGACTTTTGATGTGGTTGTGTTCTCTGAGCTGGATAGTTTATTTGCAAAGTTTTCATTGCCCTACTAGGCAATACCTTCAGCGCATACTTTAATTTGAAGTGAGCTTTTAGATTTCTCCTCGAGTTTATTAATCATCTTTCATCTTCAAGGTCACCAGAAGAGATGATTAATAAACTCGTGAAGAAATCTAAAAGCTCACTTCAAATTAAAGTATGCACTGAAGATGTTGCTTAGTAGGGCAATGAAAACTTCGCAAATTAAATATCCAGCTCAGAGAACTCAACCACATCAAAATCATCCACCTGAGTTACAAACCTTCTCCATCATATCTAGATAGCCGACTGTTGAGGCTGTGTTTACGTGAATGATGAATGTACTTTAGTTGCTGTACGTTCGAACAAAGTGAAGTACATTTATTATTAAGGAAATTTGTTCTAAGAAGCAGTACTTACCTATTGGATTAATAGGAATAATAAAGGTAGAAGTGGTGGCAGCAACAGTTACCATTAACTACTCACCTGGATAGAGCTATCGGAAAACAAGCTAAACTTTCTTTTTTTTTGCATAATCACCAAAGTTTTAAGCATAGAATTAGATAATTTTTCAGTGATATGCTATCTCAGAAAAATAATCGGTCTTCAAAAACGTCTCAGACGCATTAAATTTTTAACTTTAAGGGATTGATGATCAATCCTCACATAGTTAATACCTTTCCACATTAAATGGATAAATATCAAACTCGTCATTTGTAAACTGAACAGTTAGAGGTGCGAACTGACTACAGTTCCCTTTGAAGACCAAAAATATTCAGCTCACAATATCCCATCTATTAGGCAGTCAAGAAGGCAAACGGAAGAGTATGATGATTTATCCTTCTGATTGATATGTAGTCAGAAGCATTTTACTTCAGTTAGTAGTGCTTTCTGCCAGAATTAGGTGTTCTGAACACCAAACTACCAGTTCCCAGTCCGTCAAGATGCACTCCTAATTCAATCTTAGCTTTTTATTCGCGATTGCTTCACTTAACTTCTCAAACTTTCAAGTATTTCTTCAGATCCTGATCTTCTGTGGTTTTGAATAGTTCCACGGGAAATTTTATTTGTCTCTATAGTACCAGACATGTTTCGTTAAACTGAGAAGGTTGTTAGCACATATAATAATGCTGTTCACACTTGATTTATTCTGTGTTATTGCTTTCACTTTTCAAATTCAAGTCTTGCCAGCATATTTTCGTGGCTGACCATTTTTTTTTAATTTCTTTTAACTCATTAACAACACTTTTCTAAACCTGAATACGAAAATCCTCTTGTTTAGTTTTTAAACCACAAAAGAGACAAAACCATATATCAGTATGTCAACTAACAAACATTTTTACCTGATGTCATGAAAGATCTTTAGGTTGAACATGTGACACCAGCATACATATGAAAAAGTGTTTCAATCGTAACGCATGTTACATACAACAGAGATGAGAAAATCAATATATCTTAAATATAGTCACTCTGGGTATTCGACAAAAATCGAAATTAATTTATCAAAAACTTCTTGTTTATTATCTCTTTATTGACATTTTCCTTCATCTGTTAGTACAGCCTCATTCACTCCCCCTATAGTTAAACAATCACAGCGAAGCATACACCTTAGCTTAAAATCTTTTCTTATTACTTCAAGGTCAAGATAAATTACATAGCTTGGATTCATACATGTGTATTCGTAAAATGTTTCTTTTTCTAGGGCAATTTGCAACTCACACCTGCGTGATAGGAGATCCAGGTGAACAATTGGGTGCTAGTGAATATGGCGGTCATGTGCATATTGGTGGTCCATATATAAACAGTGGTGCAGTTAAAGCCTATATATCCTATGCTGAATTTTATTTCATGGGTCAAGCCTACCGTTTGGGTCGTTATCCTATACATTTCCATTTGAATGGTTTAATGAATGGGTAAATCAAAGTTACTCTTGATATTTACTTTTTACTATCAGTCTTCACATAAGTTAAATTTTCAGAATAATGATAATAATTTGCTTTATTTCAGAAACAGTATTAGTGGTACAGTGTGGAATTTTCAGCACATATCTACAATATTGCATCTAATTTCATCGCACATTTAAAAGTAGTATTTCGAAAAATAAATATAAAAAACCAACAACAACAAAAGCAAAAAACACGAAAATAACCCAAAAAAATGCAAAAGAATACCAAGTAGAAAGGAAAATAAACAACAATAATAAATAATATTTCAGTATTGGGTAGTGGAAGCTATGATATGTGTATACGTGGTGAACAGTAACAGCTATAATTATACAAGAAGTTATGAAATGTTATTAAGAATGTTTATAGCCAAGATGATCAGTTAATTTGATTTGAACTACACTAAACAATCATAAAATAAACATTTCAGGGTTTTTTATTGTCAACTCTAATGGGGTGTTTGTAATGGTAGTGTGAGTAGTCATGCATAGTACATAAATTTTAGGATGGTGATAACGGCGTTCACAACGAAGATTGTCAGTTAATATTGCTGAACAAAAAACAACCACAAAACTAATATTACATGATGGTTAATGACAGAGCAATTCTGTAATACCCATAGTGATAGTATAGTCGGGACCAGTAGATACGCAAAAGAAGGGATAGAATAAAGAATAAAAATGTAAGCAAGTGATAATAATTTTAAGTAGCTAAGTATGTTTAAGAAGGTTGTTCACTATAGAGTACAAATAAGAGAGTGTAAGGGGGAAATAACAAGGGCCAAAATTATGTTATTAACAACAAAGCAAGTCATAGGTTTCACGCTTAACATTGTCTGTGTCACTTAGAACACGGGCTAAGTATGGTATCGTTGAGTTCCTATACTTGGTTGTACGAGCATATATTATTTTGTACTGATTTCTGGTTCTACCTGATGAGATACAAGGAGAGAGTTGGTAAAAGAGTTGGTGTTGAGGGTCGGAGAGTATGGTTTTAAACCATTTTTCGCATGTATTTAGATGTCTTTCTACTTCATGTAGTGACGAGGTGACTGAGTTTTACACCACTGGTCTCACTAACTAACTTCAACATCCTTCTCAGGATGGTATAGTCCTTTTTCAGTAACCCAGGAAAGGCTTATAGGGAACAGTAAAGTAGAATACGTAAGATACGAGAGTTGACAAATTTCGAAAGTAGAGGTTGGGTGATTCCAGATAGTTTAAGTTTCTTAATGTAGTAGGTTAGACGGAACACTTTCTTAGCAATCGTTAGGATATGAAATGACCAAGTAAGGTCGAAAGATAAAACTAGTCCGAGGAATTTTGCATCAGACTTAGTTTCAAATACAAATAAATAATTATAAAAAGCATGATGACTTTCAGTGTGTACGAATGTTCACTTTTGTATTGCACTTATAAGTGAGCATCTTTTGCTTAATACCATTTTCATCAAATAATGAATACTATTTTTTTCACTCATATTTTGATTTTCTTCTGAGTGTGAATGGACAACAGATGTATACCAAGATATTTATTGAATTATTACTGGGTATACATATACATATACTCTGATAATCTGAATATCATTATGATGCATTTTCCTCAAGACCATCGCACCTTCATTTTTAAATTATTTCACATAGATACGACTGACAGTTTCAATTAAGAGTTAAACATATTTCACAAGACACTTAGACTTACTACGTCGTAAGTGATCTTCAGCATCATTTGTGACCAAATAGTCACTTGGTCAAATTAGTGAATGATAAGTAATTCAGCCTATGTGGTTATTCAACATAACACTGCGTCTATAATAACAATTTCGTCTAACTTCATGTTTCTTATTTGCAGAATGTAAATTAGTGTACATAAATGTGAACAACAGCAGGAGATATTATGTTTTTAGTTAGTTGTTCAGAATTAAGAAACTTCACATTATTTTGAATTCAACTAAATCTTATGCAGTTTTATAGGCGCTAACCAATTTTTATACTAGTGATAGAAATGATCACAAAATTCAGTTATCATAACAGCTACAGATTTTGTAATAATGAATGAGAATTACTGCTAAATGAAGTATGAATTCGAGAAATGACAAACTTGCTTGGAGGGTCTTAATGAGTTGAAAAATGAAGTTATTAACACTTTTTCTCTTATCTTCATTTGAGATTCTTTAATGGTACATTCACAAAAATTAGTTGACGACTAGATGCATATCAATATCAGAGATTTGTGACACAAAATACTAGTGAAATAAAATTATATTTCATTCGTAATATCCCGATTCAAACATGTTGCCTTATTTGTATTCTCTGAGCTGTACGGTTTAGTTGTAAATCTTTCATTGTTTTCTAAAGAAAACATCTACAGCTTTTAGAATTCTCCACAAGTTTGTCAGCCATCCCCCTTTGCAACCTTGAAGGCTTCGCAACCGAACCACCCACCTCAGAGAACACAACTAGGCCAAGATCATCCACTTGAACTACAAATATTCTTTATCATATGTAAATTTAAATTTTCCTTAAATCAAATCCATAAGAAGGTCTATCAATAAACTTTTGAAAGTTTTATTAAGAGAAATTAAAGGTGATAATTGAAGTGACTAAAAATCTAATTTTGATGAGAATAAAACAGATCCCACAGGGATTATATGTATCTCATCACATTTATTGTATATTGATTTAGTTGTCGATTTTGGTTAACTCTTTTGTTGTCTCACTGTCATTTCATCTTGTTTGTACATCATCTCCATGAAATCTTAGTAATATGTTTGAAAACCTGACCAGATAAATACTAGTGACCAAGATCAGTAGATAGATAGAACTGTCATCTTGTAATATTTCACAAAGAGACCCTATAAAACCTGAATAGACTTTCCTCTGGTTCAAGATTCAGTTTGTCAGAAATACTTCAGAACCCATTTAGTCCAGAGAGTTGCGTTGTTCAAATTATCTGATTCAAGACAAAGTGATTCAGCCGTCTGTACAGAAAATGATCTGATATGGTTCATTTTCTTGAGAGCTGAAAGTATCCAAACAAAACTAGTCTATCTGATACTACAAACGGTTCAAGCACTACTTACCTGCATGAATATTTCCAGATTAGTGTCTTCCATGGTGACTAGTGGGTATCATTCCGATTTTTATATTTTAGTTTGTGAAATAAACATTTCGCAAGTAATGTAACATCGACTGTCTGAGAGCTGTTACTTTGAAGAAATGAAAAAAAAATAATTTTAACGCATTTTTCACACTAGTAATATTGCTGTCTAACTGACATCATCGAAAAACTAATCCTTTTAAACAAGGCATTAAGAAGACAAACTTCGCGAGATGATATCATTTCGTAGTTTCTTTACAACTAACGTGGTTAACAATGATAAAATAAATAATAATAAAATAAATGATAAAATAATCCTTTTAATGGTATTTTATTCTAGGTCTTATGTACGTGGTTGTTCGGTTCACAAAAGTTTCAATCGTGCAATAAACATTCATAATACGCATGAAGTGCTCGTGGAAAATAATGTGGTTTACGATGTAATGGGTGGTGCATTTTTCTTGGAAGATGGTATTGAATACGGGAACGTGATCCAGTATAACTTGTTAATTCATGTAAAGCGTACAAGTAGCCTACTGAACGATGATGTAGTACCGGCAGCCTTCTGGATTACCCAGCCGAATAATACAGTACAGCATAATGTTGCTGCGAGTGGAACACACTTTGGATTTTGGTAATACTGTGCTCTTTAATATATAATTACTATTATTAACTTCCTGCTCAATTAATGCCATATTTAAAATACAGTACAAGAGACAGCTAATTGCGTTATTATTCAACGATGTCGTTTTCAGTTAGAAATCATAATCAAACTGTAAATAATCCTAGTATTGAAAAAATCACAAGAATAACAAATCAGACATTTCTTCTTCTTACATCACAGTGAATTTAATCAATACAAGGGAGCATCAGAGAGTATACTCTTCTGTACTAGGAACTTTCCAGTGGTACTCAAGAAATGATTAGCACGAGTTTCGGTGTAAATCTTCTGCAACTTCAAAACCATAAGTGCTAAATCGCCTCAAAACACGATGAAAATAAAATAAAATTCGTTCTTGTTATCCTTGCTCATATCACTGCAAAATTAACTTTTAATCTTAGGTATAGAAGTTTAGTCAAAGAGAGCTGACTTTGATGCTACGACTTCGGAAAAACATAGATCTTACACCAGTTGGCTGATTAATTTATGATATGAAGTTTTTATAAATCCTCATAGCATATTTATGACATGCCATAGGTTTGCTAAAGCTAAAGACATCATCAGGTCATGTCAAGAAATACTATAGAGTATTTCGGCTAGTCAGTTACTTTTAGTTGAATATTCTAGTGTTTTTGCTCTTAGTAAGATTATTTAGTTTTTATCACAGAGTTTAGTTTTTTTATTTATTGAATTTTTATATCCTTAGGTATCGTATGTTAGAAAATCCAAATGGACCCTCCAGTACTACTACAGTTTGCCCACGTAAAATTCCATTGGGGAAGTTTGAAAATAATACAGTACATAGTCAAGGTTGGTTTGCTTTGTGGATTCATGAAAGCTTCTTCCCAACAACAACTGGTGGGTAAGTGTGCCGAAGGATTTTCAGCTTTCAGAACTGAATAATGCTCAGTAGCGTTTATATTTATTTAACGAATCATTTTAGCACTAAACAACAAAAGTTCACAACCAAGTGGTCTAGTGGATAACACTTTTTGCGTCAGTGGCACAGTGGTTAGGACTCTTGCCGACCATGCACATGGTCCGAGGTTCGATCCCCTGCCAACGCACACCTGATATCTATGGTCGGCCTGCAGAATTTAGGCTACCGATATCCATGCTGAAAATTCCATACTTGTACCAAAAATACAGTGTGGAATCAAGCTGTAATCAAAAAAAAACACTGATCAACATATTTATTGGCTAGTTTAGTCACATTTTGTAAATGTTTCTGTAAAAGGAAAATGTTGAATATTTGAAATATGTGACATTATTCAAGTTTTAGTATGTTGTGAATCATACTATTTAAAGCAGATTATTGCTTATCAAAAAAATATAAACCTGAGAATGAATTTAGGACTGCATCTTATTTGTCATTTGCACATTATACAGTTACAGTTCTATAGAGGAGATCCAGAGAACTGTTGTCATATTTGAAACATTTATCACTGAAGCGTATTATCTTGTTGAAATAGACTTCAACTCCAGTCGAAGCTAATTCTAAAAGTTGATTCTTAACTAAAATATAAACTCTGCAAGATTAGTGATGACTTACGTGAGACTTAATTCTTATCTGTCATATAAGCCTTTCTTGAGTTGCTGTCCTAAGCAAGAGAGAGAAATATTCTTAATATATGTGTTAGTGAGTTATACGCCTGTTTCTCATTTAACATAAGGCCAACATTAATTCTGTAATTCCAGAGAATATTCAAAAAAAATACTAATTCTCATCAGATTATTAGAATCGGTTTCATAATTCCAGATTCAATGGAAGGATTCTGACTAAATAAGAGGACTGAAGTAGACTTATAGTGAAATACACTTTCTTTTTCTGCGGTAGAGTGCTCGCTGACCATGTGGTCTGCGATTCACTTCTCACACTCCTCTACCTCGTTAAACCAGTAATAAGACTGGTAAAGAAGGAAAGTTGGGCATGAGGCTAGCAACCCCATTCCATAAAAATAAACACCACTACTACAGAAACTTTAAGTTGGCTCTAGCTTGTAGCCTTATGTTCCTCTGGAAACTGAATATGTGCACATCTTGGTTAATAATTCGTGAAGTTTATGTCAGAAATAATGATTTCAATTTTTTGTAAGGATTTATTATGCAAACCAAACTATTTCTTTCAGATGTACATCAACAAAATGGGATAAAGCTGTATTTCGAAAACTTACAGCTTGGAATAATAATAAAGGACCCGAATGTGTTAACTGCGGTGGAGTACAGTTCGAGGATATGTTACTGGTAAACAATGACGAAGCAGCAATTGAAGGAAAACGTTTAATGTTTGGAAATCTATATGATCAGAACACCGGTCCTTTTTACAGAGTGAGTTAATGTCGAGAAATAGTTATGACACTTAAATCTTGTAACATGTTAAAACACTACGGTAAACCAAAGTTTTCATTCACAAACTAGTTAGTGGTCGACCAGCCACCTGTAGTTCCCTTTCGATTAAGTAATAGAGTCTTTGCACTCAATTACTACATGCTCGCACTGATCACGATTTCTCATTAAAAATCAAGAATGTCCACCTCGTAGTCAGTCACTAAGGAACATTACATTGGTTTTAAAGTTTTGATCAATTGAATTCAAATGAAATGTATTACGAAACCTAAAAAGCAGCACAGAAGTTATTTTGGGGCATGATTTGTCAACAGTAAAATGCGTAGTTGACATTAAATTCTTATGAATATGTTTATATCTGTGACTAAGCTGGAAAACCTTTTCTTGGCACTGTGAATAATAGGCTTCTGATAGTTTATTGCAATGCAAAACTAAACAGCCATAGTTTACTTGATGTAAATTCAACAAACTAGGCGTGCGATCTGCGTTTGTCAGTCACCTAGATTAATTTTAAGAAGGAAAGTAGAGGAATACTGTATGTGTGGACACATATGCATAATTCAGAGCCATTTTTTATGAGCCTCTGACTAGTCATGCTTATCACAGTGACATTTACTTTCATAAAACACATGACTTTGGCTTTATGACAGGGTTAATTTCTATTGGGAATAATAGGATTCTAACACATTGTAAATACTGGAGTTATGATTTGTTGAAAACTTGTATTAGGGATTTGCTTTTCTTTTAATTTGGATTGATCGGATTTCTGTTTACACATATTCTGCTTTGTATGTTGCTCTAATCAGATAATGCACCTTTTTGTAGAACAGTACAATTGTCGCCTTCGAGCCTGAACTTACTGATGGGCTTCCAGATTGTCATACAAGAGCAGTCATTTTACCGTGGTCACCTGGTTTAACAGTTGAAAATATGGTGATGCGAAATTTCAATGGTCAAAATTGTACAGCGATTCACGGAACTGTGATTACATGTTTATGCAATAAACTCTGTGGAGGCTATGAATATCTATTTAGGTAAGTACATTTCTGCTAGACTCGAAGTGTTTGATTGACTGATAGACAGATAAGACTGTCATTGGTATTGTTTTTAGAAACAAAGTCCGAAAGTGTGTTAAAGTAGTCGATTATTCAGATCACAGGAATAATTTTGTTTATCTTCAAGAATCATTCGCTTTGCAATTTTCATTGTTGGGGGTTACGAATATTTCCTGCTGCATTATGCTTCATTTACAAGACTATGCATAATTTTTTCTATCGTCTTATATTTCATTTAGCATGAGAGTGTCTAAATCAATGAAATTGAGAGTGTGCAAAGGGAAAGCTGTAAAGGGAAAGCAATCGTATTATCATGTATCAATGGAAGTAAGGCCACCCATAAGTTATATTTGATTGCTGCTGTGATGCTCTGTTAAAAAAGCTTTAATCATACTACTTCATGAGTATGCCCTCGCATGGTTAGACAGAGAAGAAACTAGGTGCATAGAGCATAAATCCTTCTGCTGCTTTTGAAAGATTGAATGCACAACTTTGGTCCGGATATAATAATAATAATAAAGCTTTGTTTCAGACAATATCTGAACACATACTACAGAAATTCTCAGCTTGTCTAGTTCCAAAATATTTCGTCTTCATACATGATCTACATGTAAAGTAGTAGTCTCAAGTACATCATGTAACGTAGTTTTGTTGCATATAAGAGGGCCAATTCTGTACAGTTTTTCTCATTTCCTTCATGAATTGTACAGCGTTTTGTTGAAAGATAATAGAAAATGAATAGGAGTGCAAGCATTTGGATGGATGGAAATTCTTGTAGTCTAGTGATTTAAGCGAGGACAGGAGTGAGGCAAGGCTGTCTACTATCGCCAATGATCTTCCTGATTGCAATAGATTGGATAATGCGACAGACAACAGGAAATGAGGAAACAGGCATAAAATCGACCCTCACGAAAAACTTGGAGGGTCTGGACTTCACCCTTGGTGATATATGTCTGATTTCCTACAAACTGGAAGATATGCAAGTCAAAAGCAACAAGTTGGCAGAAGAAGCATCGAGAGAAGATTGGACTTCAGGTGAACATAGAGAAAACAGAGGTGATGAAGATTCCTGGCCAACACCAACACCAACAACAACAACAGACAACAATCAGCCAGCATAAATGGGAGGGACCTGAAAGAAACAACCTCCTTCACCTACCCACCTACCTGGGAAGCATCGTTTCAACTACACGTGGACGCAACTGAAGAGGATATCAAAGCCAGGAACATCGGAAAAGCAAGACATGCTTTCATTATTCTCAAGTCTGTGTGGAGGTCAGCAGCACTCACCATCAAAAATAAGATCCGGATTTTCAACTCCAATGTGAAGTCAGTGCTACTATACGATTGGATCAGAGACTTGGCCAGCGCATCATAAAGAGCATCTCAAACAAACTTCAGACCTTCATTAACAGTTGTCTTCGCTCAATACCACTCAAGATCAGATGGCCGGCCAGAAAAGATTAGAAATAGTGAGGGATCTCTGGCAATAAGCGAGCCAATCCAGCAGGAACCGATTATGAAACAAATAGTCAGGAAGAAGTGGAGATGGATTGGCTGGCCATAATCTGAGGTAACCATCAAGTGACATCACTAGACAAGCCATTGCTCGAGTGGAACCTGAAAGGAAAGCGGGCGGCGAGTTGGTCGTCAGTGATATGGCGGGGTGACTTGGAGGAGGTCATGTGAAGAAGAGATGAAAGCGTGTGGGCAAACTTGGAGCGGAGTGAAAAAGTTGGCAGAAAACGGAACGCAATGGAGATGGGCAGCTGAAGCCCTATGTTCCTCTAGGAATTAAAGGATATAATAATAATATGATAATAGTGATTTAGGCAGGTCACCAATGTGGTATGATGTAAATGTCACTTAGTGTTTGATTCACTGTTGTCCCCAACTGCAAGTTATGGAAACACTAATGTCTAATTTCAATTATTGTATCGAAAGTCACCTAAAGTGGAATTACTATGAGTCCACATTTTTAGATATTTGTCCCCACCCAGTTATATATAGATTTATCTAAACTGGTTTGGAAATCGTAACCTGAAATGCTTCTATAAAAATCTAATCATAAGTAGAAAATATTGCTCTTCTGGTACATGAATAAATATTCAAATGATTTCAAATTATGTTGCATTGTTTTCATCCACTCATCATCATATATAAATAGCCTAACATGTTGTCAAAAGACACGGTAAGCTAAAAATCACAATGAGAATAAGCTTGTTTTATCTTTCTGTATATCAGAGTATCCCGTTATTTTGCCAAATTAAGGAAATTTACATTTTTAATTCTTCAAATACCTTGTGAACTTAAACTACTAATAAAATAAAATTATTTCAACTACAGGGATATAAAGTGGGAGAATACAAGCAATCGAGCTGAGTTTCGATGGCATGGAGACTTCAGTCTTCGTGATTTAGATGGGTCATTAACAGACGGCCTTCCAGATGTTCCAAAACTCCCTGGTTCTTTAATCATAGGGAAGGCTAATCATCTGCCAGCCGATAAATGTGGTCCCAGTGCTCCAGGAGCTGGAGACCTTGGGACTGCCTTTGGCCAAGGTGTGATACCTGGTGTTCGTTGTCTTCCCGATGTTACAGCTTTAAGGTTTGCTGTTGACCAAGTTATTCCTGCAAGAGTGATGGGCAATAATATGACTGTGACTCTACTCAATGGAGGGACAGAACAAGTACCTTTCAAAACTGAAGCTCTTACAGATAAGCAAGGATGGATGACTACACTCGTAAATAACAGAACGTATGTTGTGAATTGGAACGCAGTATCAACATTCAGCAACTTAAGTTATATTGGCTATTTGGAGAATTTCAGGGTAAATCTAAACATCTATTGTTTACATATAATTCACAGTTTTGTGAAGTGCTATAATGACTTTCAGATAAAGTTTAAAATTCAGTCGTTAATAAATTCTACAAAAATAATTACGGTGAATATTCAAGTGTTGGTTTGTAGGGATTTGATTGGCTACAGTTACCTGCTGTTCTAGTGTGACCTGTAGGGTGCAGCAGGTCGAGTGTGAGGACAAATACTCACCGAAGACATTGGCTAGTGATCTCGCTGTGTCGTGAATTGACATAATTTAGAATTCATGGGCCAATGGATTGGGTTCCAGTGGCTTAATGGTCGACAAGCTCACCTTGTAATTCAGAAGGTTCTGGTTTCAAACCCCGGTGGCAGCGTACTGATGAAGAGTCCCGAACTAGGACGAGACAGCTGTCCAGTACTCCCAGGTTTTCCAGTGGTTAGCTAACCAATGTCAGTTCATGATGAAATCCTGTAAGGTGAATATTGCTAGAAAACCTTGAGCAGCTAAAGAGTACTGGCAGCGGCGCTTCCTCGTGGTATGAAACTCTTCAGATGCATGCAAACAATGTTCATTGAAGAATTTAGTTGATACTGTAAATCAAATAACGCGCCAACATGAAATACCTTACATTTTACAACTTAGTGTTAATCACTCATAACTAAATAACATGCAATCAAAATCAGTAAGTTTGCTAGGTGCCTTAGGAGAATACACAAACTATTAAAATAGTTTAAGACGACAGCAAACTTAAATTTATGAAAATTATTTTCACTTGAGATCGAGTTTTAATTTTTAAAAAGAAATTAACGATTCACTAGATTCTGTCACGCGACCGTACTCTTACTCTGACCCTGGATATTCAAAACTAAATTTATTCTCATCTAAAAGAAGTCAGATACTCTATTGTTTATTTAAAAGTACACTTTGAAAAATGGATATAGAAACAATGGCGTTGTCTTTTTAGCTATATACTCATGTTGGTCATATGATTCACAAAACGGTTAGTAGTTTGAGTGATGACGTCCTAATTTTAGTTCACTTCTATTCCCCATTTTTTTGTATATCTTCGCAATATGTCCTAAATTTCTGGCTTAAAAACAGTTGTGAATTAAAACGACTAATATGCATTAATTTTGAAATGAATTATACCATCTTCCTTTAAGTGGTATCCAAAGTTCAACTCTATGTCTTACAGCATAAGGCATGTTGCTAGGCTATCTTAATGTGAAGAAAAGACAAGTAGTTCAGCGAAGAGGCTCTTTTTTGGCAAATTCATCTTCTTTAGCTGTACAATCTCATTTGTACACAATTTTTTCATTAAAGTAGGCAGTAACATAAGTATCGAGTTGTCTAAGTCATAGTTGTTAATATTAGTCAATACATAGAAGGAGTGAAATAACTGTATTAGAGCTACGTAATATGAAAAAATAATATAAAGAAAGAGTTGTAATCAGGATGCACGTAGAAACGAGGGAAAATATTGAATTATATAAAAGTTCTACAGAAATACAAGAGTCATAATGAGTTAGGAAAACAGACAAATAAAAATCATGTCAGTAGATGTCAACAATGTTGTTACCATGGTAGTAGAAGTGGTTGAATAACTTTCTTTTGTATGCATAGCTGCGGTTTTTCTAATCGAATAGCTATGACCTTAGTAATGAAAAGAAGATGAAAGCGTATTACCCTGGGCAAGTTGTTCTTCACTTGGTAGATTACTTTTGAAGGAGGCGTTTAATATGCTTGCATGATTGCGTTTAAAATCCATCTGTGTATCTGAATGGCTTAGAAACATGTTAAAAAAAAATACGTCAATAAGACCATTCTTACCAAATTTATTAGACATCTGTTTGTATTATAACAACTATACCAAGAGATATCCTCTCAAAAACTAGCTGTTAAACCAAATAAATACTTTCTTTGCTCATCACACCAGCTAAATTTGAAATGTCAAGTCTTGAATGAATCTGATTAAACGTCTAGATTTGTAACAAGATTCGACAGAGTAGATTTTATTGCCTAACTTTTGACCTACTTGTCATGCGAATTAGTACGCGTTTGACTGCTCGAACGTTTCTCTTAGACATCGACGAACCAATGCCAAAAGCATCTATTTCTGTTTCACATATACTCTTCTTGACAGTTATGCTTCATGAGGATGTAGTTCATAAGTCATCTCACGAAAACGCTGTATCCTAAATTACCTGCTATACAACTGTAGTTCTTTTGTGCTTGTATTCATACAATATTTCCCATTGCTGGCGTAATCACTGACATATTAAGTCTAATTAACGTTTGTTTTCCAAATACTTTGTTCGAATTTAGTTTTTAAAATATTCATTGAATAAGTTTTGGTTTTTTCCATAATTCCTTATTAATTTAATTCCCTGAAGCAATCGGATTATGTTATCGTTCGTCATATGGGAATGACTGTTAAACCAGACAGAGTCCAAGTTATCTCTGGTCAGCAAGCCAAGCCACCGTTGGCTGAGCCTTTGGATCCATCTAAACATGTAACTGGTGATGTGTTCTACAATGAAACAGGAAACTATATTGAATATATAGGTAACTTGATAAAATTTTACAAGCAACGGATTTTAATTTCAAAGTTTGTTAGAATTGTTTAAGCTGTGAAGATTTTTGCATTATACACTCGATTCATCTAATTAGTATGAATTAAACTTGAAGTTACGAAATTAAATGTTAGCGCGTAATGGCTGTCTGTCTGTCTGGATTCAACATAGAACTTGGCACCGAAGTGCAGCAGTTCGAGTTGCCACGTTCCAAATAGCACACAGAGGTAGACAAGAAGATGAGTGAAGAGAATCAATAGATTTTGACAAGTATAAGAGTGAAACAGAATGGGTAATGGTAGAAAGGAATATGGAAGATTAGAGACTGAATACATCTGCGCCATTGACAATGATTTTGAGCCATGTCACCTATTGTTTCCAGCCATTGATTCCTAGAGTCCCGAGGGTCCCAACCCGGGAGTCTGCATCTCCCTACCTGACTCAGTTTAACTGTCAAGGATTTCATGGATTGATGAGGCCATGTTTTTGTTTGGCCACCACTGGCTCTTTTCCAACCTCCACCTATCTATATCAGCTAGTAATGCCCGTCGGAGGAGGAGGAGGCGATGGTTAGGCATGCGCACCACCTGACCTAACCATCTCAATCTTTGTAACTGTATAGCCTCGTCGATTGAATTTCCCTCTTGGCCCAACACTACGCCTAACGTCAGCATTAACTACCTTATTAAACCACCTAACGTGAGACAGGGATCGCAGACATCTATGATCGAAAGCAGTCAACCTTTCCATGTCTTCAACGCGTATTGGCCATGTTTCAGAGCCATAGACAAGGACGGAGCGAACTGCTGAGCAGTACACACGTCCCTTGATTGATAACCGGATGTCACGCCTACGCCAGAGATGGTGTAAGTCAGCGCGTAATGGCACTTAATAACATCTAAACCAAAAGGGTAATTCATAATTCTTAAATTATCGAATCAGGTAAAATGAATATGGTATATTTAATATTGAAATTATAAAACAAATAGGGTGTATCCATGCATAATACGATAGTAGCTTTAAGGTTTCAAACGAGATGGAGGTTTTCAATTCGAGATGGAGGTAGTTGAATAACATAAAGTCAAACTTCAATACTGTGATATGTAATTATATTATATCAAGCTACTTAATTGGTATAACAGTCAGCTGCACTTGGCAATGAACAAAACTTGTACATTACAATGACACAATAACAGCGTGGATTGTATTATCAGTCTACGTTAATACGAAGTCCAGAATTCAGTCAGAAAGTCTCCCAAGTTTTGAAAATCAGTAAGGGAATGAATCTGTATTATTTTTCGAGAGAATTCAGTCAAGCTATCAGTAGAAATACAGTAAGTCATTATCACACAGATGGGAATCACCTTTGTGATTAAAGTAGATATACACTTGTAATTCTGACTGGAGGGTGATTGTCAAAAACGCTTGAACATGGATTGATAGGATCATAAACTGATCTACTGTATAAACAACCCAACATTCTTAATGCTACAAAAGGAAAAGATTATGCAAACTTCTGTAGGAAATGCGGTTCGGTAAATGTCATTTTTAAAGACTTTTGAATCCGGATGACTAAGTTGTCAGAAGAGATACTCACACAGTGGAACTCAATGATCTAACAATCCACAAAGTCTGTTGTCCCGTGAAACACATACTCAAGTATTCAATTTCTATCACTTTATTTTTGACGTTGGTCTCAAACTGTTTTGTCTCGTTTTACGGTTCTAAAATCCATATTTACATTTATTTCAGTTGTATCATTTTTTGAAATCCTAGCTTGTCTGTATGACTCTGGGGACTGAATAATTTCAGATAGATAGAAACCTTTTTTTAGTCGGCACAAACTCTTGTAACGACCGCTGTCATTATTCCCCCTGAAGCCACCTTCTGTCACTCGACAATGGACTTCAATATATCATATGACCAATAAATAACATGACTTCTAGTTTAACAAAAGAACTTTTATCATAGTTTACTGGATGTTACATTTCCCTTGTGTTATGGTGGCCGAAAACATCACCCACAATAGGTTAAGCAGATAGGATTGGTTGTACATTCACTTGCGGTTAAACATCAAGACTATCTTGACTCAGTGCTACACACCGTTCCACAAGAAATTTTACACGAAAACTGACTGCACCCACAAGGCACCATGAAGTCTCTATCAGCCTAAAATAAAGTCTCAATAACACACGATACCAACATGTTGATACCTACTGGTCCATTTCAGTGAAAAACGAAGTTTGTTGCAAAAAACCTATACAATAAACCAGTGGACCACGAGAAGTGATGTTCAGTAAGCATCAGTGACAATGGCACCTCAGTCTTACAGCAGTCACAGGATATCCTAGCTCATCCGAACCAAGAAGATGGCACACTGATCAACAGCCTGATAACACTTTTAGCAAAGAATTCTGACCGGCCTACACAGAAAGTGTCTTTTATTCCGAAGCATACTGTCTCACGGTTTGTTGATGGCGATCCATATAACGAGGTAAACGTTCGAAATAAACTCCAAGAACTCAAGTACCATCGTTTAACCAGCCCAGTCAACTTACACCCAACTATTTTTACAGATCTTGATGAGACTAGTCTAGTGACTGACTAGATTTCTAGGAAGGCAAGAAAGATTGGAATGTCCAGTTAATGCCAAATGTCTTCCTTTAACAAACACCTACGTGATGTGTTAATCTTTGGGATGAAGGGGTGCTACCAACGGAATCAAAAGTTCTGGCCATCGATGAGGTCTTAAACTTACGAAACCAATGTTGAGAGCAAATTCTTGAAAAGTATTTCGGGTTCCGTGTATTCTGTGAATGCATTGATTACATGTTTAACCTTCACCTCTGGCTCATTAGAGCACCGTCACACATATTTCATGCCATCATTTGTGTTTTTTTTATTATTAAGGTTGTTCCTATTTAGCTTTGCAATATTGTACTCCATGAAATTAGCTGTCTCTGAAAGTTTCATTCCCAAACATTTCAAGTAAGGGTATAAAACCAACCCATGTGTCTCCGCTGATTTCAAACAGTAACAGGTCATAATCCTAAATTTCATCAGCCTAGAGATGGCACTTATGCCCCAGTTCCTTTACTTTTACCGGTATTCAGCTCCTAGTCAGACGTTTTAAATATATATGGTATCTACTTTTCCTGAATTCTAGTTCATTTATAACCATATATAATTCGGTAAACTAACTTTAAACCGGATACCAGTAGTAGAGGGTCTTTTATTAATGATAGTGTCTTGGAAATATAGTGTCACTTTTCCTGACGTATTGTGTTCTGGAAGGATTTTTTGGAGTATTTGAATAATCGAGAATATAACACCGTTATCACCACTGCTGTTGTATGTGTAAAATTTCAAAAAATAATTTATTATTCTTTTCACTTGTTTCAGTGAAAGCGCCAGCTAATCCGACATCATTCAATAGTCATCGACTATGGGTATCATTTTATAAATGTTTCTTTACTGACTGTGTAATTCCCACTACTACCTCAACTACAGTTCAAACATCACGTCCAGCAGATGCTTTATTCTGGTCAAAAAGTACCACTTGGAACACTGTGTTGGGACCTCAACCAACAAACGGAAGTTCGGTAATATAAATTTCTTGGTTTTACTTTAAGTATTACTTTCTATAAACTGTATTATAAAAATGAATAAGTGTAGGGATAGCTTCAACACTTATCAGATAGCCAGTAACTTACAATAGAAATCATTGAATAAATCAATGCTGCTAAGCTGTAAATGCGAAAAACTGTGTCCATATTGCATCCCGTCATTTCGAATATGATTATTATTATTATTATTATAAGACGAGTAATGGTACTTGAGACTCAGTGGATAGTTTAAAATTTCAGCCTTACAAATGAATAGAGTTAAATCTGTACATTATTGTGAGAATATGTGGGGTGATCAGTTAACTCAACTGGGAAGCTCACAGATTAAATGAAGCAGATCTTCAAGACTTCACAATTTACAGCATATTTTTTCTGTGGATCGAATCGGTATACGCCGCATTTATTCTCTCTGAATCTGATTTGTATGTACAGTTGCAGCTTAGAATTGCTGAGAAATATTCAGAACAAGGAAGACTATTCTTCACAATAACAAATGGCTTATATGTAGACAGCCGGAATTATTCAGAAATATAGATGATCGCACTTTAAAGAAGATGTATGCGCAGAAAATCAGCTCTTAATACAACTGAACTCTGTAATAGCTGGTTAAATCCTAGGTAGTTATGTGGTTGAAACGAGGTAATAAATATCGAACTTGAAGTTCCACTTGTTCGCTTGATTTAATTTTAAGGCAGAATTTTACTTTACGAAAAGTAACGTAGCTTAATCATTTTGTAGATGGACGGAGAGATACAGTTAAGTTCTCCACTACTCGTCTTTTTAAAAATATCTCCAGAGATATCTGGTTGAATATACCTAATAAAAAAGGTGAAATCGGTTATTTTATAATAGAGATTTTCAGCTGTCGAACTTTTATAGGAATTAATATTTCATATTCCATAAAATATGCACTATCTTGATGTAAACTTACCAAATTATTCCCTTGTTGATGAAACATTTCTCTTGGAAGTTAGTCTAATTGGACATCCATATACCTGAATGTCACTTAATAATTATCTTTTAACCGAAAAAACGCTCTGCATTTTGCACGGAATGTGTTAAACAGAAATTCTAGTATTAGTCTCATCCCCGTAATTTCTTTAAGGTGGGATATAACAAATGAAAATGCCATCAATCCAATGCAAAATAAGGGGTTAATAATAACTGATTTGTTACGGGTTACCCTTAACTACTACCTAATTCTTTAATCAATATTTTTACTTCTTTTGCCTCGATATTCAGAGATTTGTGGGACTTCATTCTGATGAAAACACTTCATGACTTAGCGTAGTTTTTTTTTACAATCAGTTCGCTATACAGAAAAAAGTAAATATGTTAACCATTTAGCTGGCTTGTCAAATGATCTTAGTTTCAAAATTAACTAATCTGTTTTTATGATTTCAGCATCTTAGGCTTCGCAGATCATTACATACATTGGCCTAGAAGGACTATCACTGATTCCCAGGACGATTAAAATTCAGTCTCTCTTAACACATAGAAAATAAAAATGACGTGAAGATAAGTCGCAAGTGTTGTCGATATTTCGGAGGTATCTAAAAGTAATCGTAACACTGAAGTCACTGATGCATACAGTACTCCAATCCAGTTAATATAACGAATATTCATGCACTAGCCTTAAGAAATGAAAAGAGACAAGTAAAGTCATAGTAAATCAAGTGAACTGTAGTCAAGATTTGACAGAATATTTCTAAAATATAATTGGGCGCCGAGTGAGAAGTAGACATTTGTAAAAAATTATATTTGTAAAATCTCAGCGATATTGAAATGAGTAATTCCAACGTTTCGTTCGGAAATCTGCTCCGAACTTCTTCAGGGAAATTAATCGAAATTAACATAACAGAGGTTTATATGTAAAAGGAACATCTCTTGTTTTTAAAAAAACTTTGTCGAATCATGAGTCATAAAACAAGTATTAACAAGTATAATAAACAAAATTGTACGAGTTGTGATCAAAATTTGACCTCAGACTTACAAATATTGATCTACCTTTGTTAAACACTTTAAACACAGTGTGTGTGTGAGCGGATAAACAGTTGTAAAACAATGTCTTAACGTCTACATGAGTAGATATAGACAGTCGGGAACTATGTAATTGGCACAATCATCGTGTTTTCACTATCCGTTGTCTGCAACAGAATGCGTATCCTAAATCCGTAGCTGTCCAGTCACCTGACAACTCCACTAGGTCGAATAAAGCAGCTCAATTTTCAGAAAGAAGACAAAGTAATAAGTTTGACAGGGTGTTTCAACTAAACTCTAATCCTAAACACCATAATTTTGAAAATACGTCTAATCATAAAATTCTAGATACTAACAGTTTGAACCGACATGAAGGTGTGATGTTAGCTGACGCATAGGAAATCCTGATTAATTAATAAATAAGAATGGATATGTATCACTAACTAATAATACTTGGTCAAAGTTTCCCGACTGTCTATATCTACTTATGGAGACGTTAAGACATTGTTTTACAACTGTTTATCCGCTCACACACACACTGTGTTTAAAGTGTTTAACAAAGGTAGATCAATATTTGTAAGTCTGAGGTCAAATTTTGATCACAACTCATACAATTTTGTTTATTATACTTGTTAATACTTGTTTTATGACTCATGATTCGACAAAGTTTTTTTTAAAAACAAGAGATGTTCCTTTTACATATAAACCTCTGTTATGTTAATTTCGATTAATTTCCCTGAAGAAGTTCGGAGCAGATTTCCGAACGAAACGTTGGAATTACTCATTTCAATATCGCTGAGATTTTACAAATATAATTTTTTACAAACGTTTAAGGTCATAGTATTCTTAATATTATTTTCTAGTTTACCTTGAACGAAACATCTAATATTTTCGCCTAATCCCAAACTTTCTATCTATTGGATTTAAAAAAATTACTCTCTTTTATAAATTTGGATAGCATTATTAGAAGACGGAGATTATCTGAAAAATGTGATGTATTTGTGGTATACATTTCGAACAGTCTGATCGCACATTTACTTGTCAAGTCGATATATATGAAAAAGTTAAATTAAACAAAGTGACAAAAAAGGATTTAAGAGTCATTAACACTACATTGCGTAATCCGATCAAATAAGGATTACCAAGTTAGGTTAAGAGTTTATGAACAGCCATAGCCTCGGCGTATTTCAATAAGCGCCCTTGTCCGTTTTTATAGATGACCTTAAAGGCTGAGTTAACATCAATCTTATGGTTAATCTCGATTAGTTGTTTAGCTACAGACGAAGTTGGTAGTCTGACACCTGCATCTACTGGTTTTTCTAGCCATTTTGGGATATAGTCTCGCACCCTCACATGCAAAGCGCGATTACTCCTCCCTATGTAGGTGTGAACACACACACACACGAAAATTGGTAAATAGTGTGGGATGTGAAATAATCACTTGTGTACTTTTGAGGTTTGCAGCGAAGCATATTTTCGGCTTTTTCAATAATTACAAGCTGGGCTGCATGATAGGTTCTACGGATGACCGAATTCAACCTTTGTCTCGAAATCCTACTGTTTATTTCCCCGTTATATAGTAATTTGACGCAGACATTTTTCTTAGGGACTGTGTAGATTGTAAGTTTAACGACTAATCAACTTCTATACCTGTTTAAAAACTTCAGAGGGTATCCTTTTTTAACAAGAGTGTCCATCAATATTCCACTTTCTTTCTCTATAACATAAGCCGTGCAAATACGCTGAATCCTCTTAAATAGACATTTCACTTTAGTGGACAGAAACTGTGAAAATTTAGGTACTACCCTGTCCAAGTGGGCTGTCTGTAGATTGATCTTCTTATTGAACCATCATCTTGGACAGGGCAGTACCTTAGTTTTCGCAGTTTCTGTCTATTACAGTATAAGAGAGGCTTGGTGAAATGTCTATTTAATACATCACATTTTTCATATAATCTCCATCTTCTAATAATGCTACCCAAATATCTTGGATTATTTCATGATTAGATTATATCTTCGGGAAACTTCTTTTTGCTGTTTAAACGTAACTTCACTATGTTTCATGTCATGTAACTTATTTCATGAAAACCTCTTACTATATTGATGCAAATTTCTGTTTGATGTACAGCTCACTATAGCTACGCTTAAAGCATTTCATTCTCTTTTACTCTGTCTAAAATAAAAGCTTACCATCCCGAAAGGAACATGGTTAGTCCTTGATACTTCAATGAATATAAAACTGGAAAAACTTTTAATATATGGTACACTTGAAGTGGATTCAGGGACGAGTCAAGACCAACGAGTTTACAAATTAGCATTTAAACAGATGCTGATCATTGGAGGTCAGTTCTTAGCTGGACCCACCGCTGAAATGCCACTAACAAATGCAACACTTGAATTAACTTTACTTGGCTCTGTTTCCGATGATTCTGTTAGTGTGGATGGACCAGTGATTGGACCAAAGTCAATAGGTTAGTTAATAGTTTCATCTTTAATTACGTTTATATTTTTACTGACGTTTGTAAAATTGACTCAGACTCCTACTGTTTTTTTCGTCAGCGAATTTCAGATTCATGCGAAATTCATGAATAACGTATTACAGACGAATAAGATTCGCAAAACTGAGAGCATTCTTTTCCAAAACAAATTAAAGACTGAGAATAAGATTTTGTCAAGCCAGAATTGAAAAAAGTTTAAGAATTTACTTCATCTAACTCTTAGGTCAACTTTCAATAACTGTTCAATCAGTTTTAACTTGAGCATGAACTATTCCTATGTTTATTTGTCTTGCCGAAACTGTCTACTCTCTTCATGAACCCCTCATTCACTGTCATACTGTGTACCTATCGTCACATTCTACGATGAGATTTGAATTCGTATTTGCAAGTTGTTTGTATAGACAGTGGCACCACAGATTATGAATTTATTAAAACTTGCTTCCGTCACTTTCTCTGTTTGTTTCATTACATCAAAAGTCAGCGTATCGTACTAAAAATAAGAGTTTGCAATAAAGCTTGACGAGTTGCTAATTTATCATATTATAAAAAGCTGAAATGCTTCTTCATTGTTAAAAGGTACATTCCTTTCAGTAAGTGATGCATATGTGAAGGTGCATAATACACTCAAAACGTTTAAACAAAGGTTTGAGAAGTCTTACTTGAAATAATTCACTGTAAATGAGATATGAAAAAAGATTTTGAACAAAGCAAGAACTACATTTTTAGCAGAATAAGTTGGTAGCATCTTTTATTTCATTGCCTTCTCGTCAGCTGCTTACAGGGTAAAGAGATTGTTAAATATATCTACAAAAACGATTTTGACATAATTGCACAGAGTTCATTTTAAACAGAAATCAATCGATTAATATATAATTTTTGTAGATATATTTAATAATGTCTTCACCCTGTAAGCAGCTGACGAGGAGGCTAAGAAATAAAAGATGGTACCATTTTATTCTGCTAAAACTGTAGTTCTTGCTTTGTTCAAATTCATTAAGGGGAATAAATGCAGGAAAAAAAAGATTTATAATAAAAGAAAACAAATGCGCCGAAGTTAAAATGAATTTTGTGAACTTTTCATAATAATCTTTGAATAATATACGAATTCAATAGAAACACAATTTATATTTATACACATGTCACTACTTTGGAATGAAAAGTAGTGCATTAAGAAAGTTGTAGAAGATTAGCAGTGAAGAAATATATCTGGCTTAGTTCATTTCTTGAACCTTACAGAACTGACTGAAAGTTACCATGCACTAACATTTTACATGGGAAACTTTATGCACAGTTAAAAAGTGAGTTCTTTATTGTGCTCAAGTGTGAAAACATTTTCCTATTCAGTGTTATTTATCAACTTGAAGTAAAATTGCTGATAAATAATGTGACCCCCGCGTCGGTTGTTCAGTGGTAGAATGTTCGACAACCACACACATGACGCGCACTTCTATCCCCAGTCAACTCACTCCTAAAACCTCATTAAGCCAGTAGTAAGACAGATAAACGGGGATGATTGACATGAGATTAACAACCCCACCCTGTGAAAATAAAAGCACAGCTGCCGAAGACCTAGGCTGCACGTAAAGGAATAAAAAGCTGCAAATCTATAGATTGCAGCGAGTTCACTGAAAACAAATGTTTTGTTTTTATAACTTACGTAAATTAATCACCTCTAGCGAATATACAGCAGCTTAACATGATATATCTAGCTCATGCATGTACTTTATGTATCCGGAAAGGTATCTTCAGATCTTCGCAAGTCTACTTTTTTAATAGTATTGCTTTACTATTCACGTTTATCAAGTAAATAATAGTTACTCTGTATAGTTATTTACTGTTCGACAATTTTGGTCAAACAGATTCATCAACACTCTTCATTTAGTCTCGACATAGTAACTGATCCAGTTGCCATAACTTAGTTTTGTGCTGGCCGAAATCTTACGGCGAAGCACGTAATGTGCTAGAGAACTTTCGTTTGCCCAGTTATGAAGGCAGTGTATTGTACAATTGAATAACCCAACAAAAAAGAAACCTTTTATTTGGTTTATAACTGTCCTGCTAACCGGTTATTTTTATTATATTTTCTAAGAATAACTTTATTCACTTCAGTTTAATGTTTTGGTCATATTGGCTGTTACGGTTAACTAACACTGACGTGCAACGATGATGGAAATGTTTGGCTCTTAGAAAATTGTATCAAGAGAAGTGTAATATTTATAGTACTGAGTAGCAAAATGATAGATCCGTAATTCTACTAATGCGTTGTATACACTGTCATAATTTCATTAAGAATAATACCCGCACTTTTATGTACTTTCCTCATTAAGGTGTATATGGTGTTATGAGCATGCATGCATTGCCCAAGAAAATAATGTGGACTAATCTTCGATATACGGCTACAGCTGGAGAAAATCAAATTCGTCTTAATGAACCAGTAACGGACTGGTCACCTGGCAATCGAATTGTTATCGCCACAACTAGTATGGATTTTAAACAGTCAGAATTACATGAAATCGCCTCCATTTCTCCAGATCTAATGACGATCACGCTTGTAAACAAGCTGTTATTTACTCATGTCGGTATGTTTCTTTGATATTCTTCAACGATAATGATATTAAATATGTGTGTAACATAATTACTTGATATTGAATTACTAACTGAGGTTTTCACACACTATTTGGCGTAACAGAGTTCAAGAATCGTTAACTAGGGATCATGCATTATCTTTATTAGACGAACAACAAAATCAGACCATTGTAATTTTTCTGGAAGTTGAAAAAAAAACTGCATATGCTTGTTGACGTAACAGAATTTGAAAATCCCCATTTACACATTTAAAAACTCAATATTTAGAATAGGAAACTGGTGTTACCCTGAAATTCCTGTTACTGAATTTGAACTTCACACAGAGTGGAAAAGTATTAGGACACGACATGTTTTAACGTTCATTGATGTATCAGATATAAGTCAGCTAGTGTGAGACCAAGTTTCTGCCAACTAACTTCTAAAATGTAGTACGGAATAAGTTACATGGGTTTTGTAAACACCTGATCAAATACACATTATCATCACTTCAAACTTGAAAGGTATATATTTATAGGAGAAAGCAGTAGCCAGGTGAAAGTAAGAATGAATGAAAATGGACTGTGAACAAAATGTACCCCTAGAAATGAAGTAGAATTAAAACGTCTGTCAAAAATACCGGCTATAGCAATGATTACTATAAAAAGTGGACAGATAACTGATTTTGACGATGCCAATATACCACAAAGAAGTTGGAAATCTCAACCCATGTATACTATAACCACATCAAATGCAATAAATAGAAGGGGAAAAATGACTTACTACCCATCAATGTATTACACCGTCTGAATAATTGTCATCATTATCATTCATAAATAAACTTATTTCAATAGAGCAAGAACGAAAAATGTACCAGGATAACTTGAGCTCATTTTTTATATTTCGTGGAGTCTTATCAACTGTTTACAACCTGAACATTACCAAAATTATAAATTAAATTAAACGTCTGAACATACTTCTTTCAATAATAATGGGAAGTCGTGAGCAGTGGGATACAGCAGGTTGGGCGTGAGAACAAATACTCACCAAATACATTGCTTGGTGGTCGCACTATGTCGTGAATTAGCAGAAGTTTCAATTCATTGGCCAGTGGATCGGGTCCCAGTGGCTTAATGGTCGACAAACTCGCCTTGTAACCAGAAGTTCTTGCGTCCGAATCCCCCCCCCCCCCCGATGGCTGCATACTGTGAAGAGTCCTAAAATAGGACGAAAAGACTAACTAGTACTTCCAGGTTTTCCAATAATTCTCTTACCGATGTCAGCTCATCATGAAATCCTGTAATCAGTCGATCAAATCCGTACAAACCAATACTTGATAACGAGTAATTGATTGGAACTGAGAATAACATTGGTCAAGAATAATAAAAGTTGTTGAATAATTAACAGTGAAGAGGGTTGACTATTTATGCATGACTATGCTTGGAAACAAAAGGACAGAGTTCAACAGGTGTTTTCTGGGTAGACATATTTAGGGCAACTTGGAACAAACAAAAATGAAGGCCGCAATCGATCAGAAATACTTATCTACCAGGTATGTCAATGACACGTTCGCCATTTGTGATTGTTTCACTGACGCATCTCAAATATTAAACGTCCTGAATAGTGCTCATACTAATATAAGGCTTACAATGAACCGTGAAGATGAGGACAAGTTTCATTTTTGGACCTTGGCATTGAACATGATAAAGACGGTAAAACCATGAGGTACATCTATAGAAAGGAGATCTGGAGAGCGATTTACCTGAATTTCAAAAGCTTTTGCCCTAAAAATTACGAAAAGGGATTCGTGAGAACACCGTGTGATCGTGTAAGGAAGCTTTGTTCAGAAGAAATAGTCGAGGAAGAACTAGCCACATTTGAAAAATGCCTACGTGATAATGGTTACTCACAGAAGTTTGTCGAATCATGTACTGACCAAATTGCAACTCTACGCATCATCATCGAACAAAGCATGGAATGGCAATCAAACCTCTATCTCAACTTTATAGACTTTGAGAAGGCCTTCGATAGCGTTGATCGCGAAGTAATTTGGAAATTACTCGAGTACTATGGCGTATTCGAAATATTCATCAACCTTATTCAACAGCTGTACGACAACGGCACCTGCCAAGTGATCCGCAACGGAAGACTCAGAGAGGCGTTTGGAGTAAACACAGGAGTCAGACAAGGGTGCTTACTATCACCAATGATATTCCTAGTTGTGGTGGACTGACTGGATTATGCGTCAGACTGTGGGAAACGAGAAGACAGGAATATCCTGGACCGACGTGAAGAACTTAGAAGACCTGGATTTCGCGCGTGGATGATTTATGTTTGATGTCACACAAAATCGAAGACCCAGAGGCAAGCGAAAACCGACAAACTGGTCGAAGAAGCAGCAAAGACAGGACTCCAGGTAAACATAGACAAGTCGGAGGTTATGAAAATAACCAACCAACAACAGCAACAACATCCAACGTCAATCACCATCAACGGGAGGGATTTGAAAGAGGTTACTTCATTCACTTAGCTAGGGAGCATTGTCTCAACTACAGGAGGAGCGGACGAGGATGTCAAATCGAGAATCGGGAAGGCGAGAAACACATTCATCAGCCTGAAATCAATCTGGAAATCTTCGTCACTCAGCCAGAATCAACAACAAAATTCGGATTTTCAATACAAACGTAAAGTCAGTCAGCTCTTCTGTACGGATCAGAAACTTGGCGAGCGGGTGACAAAGAATATTTCCAAAAGGCTGCAGACCTTTATTAACAACTGTCTTCGCTCAATACTGAAGATCAGATGGCCGGACCGGAAAGAATCACCAACAAGGAATTATGGGAACAAACAAAGCAAGAACCAATCGCCAACCAACAAATGTGCAGGAGAAAGTGGAGATGGATCGGACACTCACTGAGGAGACCGCTGGGTGACATCGCGCGTCAAGCCCTCGAGTGGAACCTGGAAGGGAAGCGGCGTGTGGGACGTCAGTGCAAGGATGACATGGAGGAGATCGTGTGAAGAGGAGTTGAAAGAATATGGATTAACATGGATGCAGGCGAAAAGTATAGCAGAAGACAGAAGAAAATGGAGACGTGCAGTTGAAGCCCTATGTTCCACTAGGAACCCAAGGGAGCAATAATAATAATACATAATAATACAGAAGTTTGTCGACAAACATGAAAAATGTAGTCTTGACGAGGTGAAGTGCAGCACATTAGAGAAAAACCCCATCTTTCTACAGCTTGCCTTCAAAGGTGACGATACAGTTGGTAGAATAAGATACAGACTGAACGCTGCCCTGAATAGAACATACCCGGCTGCCACGATTTTATGTCTTTATCAAACGATCTGTTGTCTAAGATAGTCAAAAGTGGACGAGCTCCCACCTCATGTTACCTCTAAGTGCGTCTACGAATTTCCATGTACGCACCATGGCGCATACATTGGAAGAAAAGACAGAAGAGTCCTGAGATTAAAAGGGTCATAAGCATTAAAGTGTGCCATCTACTAGACACTGGCCATGTTGTGGCAATCTGATGGCGTTCAAAATAATCAGCAAACAAAAATAACCTAGCCTACTTCAGTTTGCTGAGGCAATTGCCATCAAACGACTAAAACTAAATCTGTGCATGCAGAAAGAGACAGTGGTTAATCCTTAACTGTCTTGGTGATAACAAAACGCACAAATTTCACTATCACATCTTCTGTTCTGTTTAGAAAACTTAATTTTTCGTCTAAACATGACTCATTCTACCCCTTTTTTGTATACTTTATAAAAACTTGTTTTTGTGTGGATACGTAACCCATGGCTTTTTATACTCTTTCTAGTTAAACTTCATTTCTACCGACAAAACACCTGTTGAACTCTTTCCTTTTGTTTCTAAGCTTAGTCATGCAATTCTTCTACAAATAGTCAGTCTTCTTCACTCTTAATTATTCAACAACTTCTATTATTCTTGACCAATGTTATTCTTAGTTCCAATCAATCACGCACTATCATCGTAAAAGAGTATGTTCAGATGTTTAATTTAATTTATAATTTTGGTAGTGTTCCGGTAGTAACCAGTTGATAAGATTCTACAAAATATAAAAAAGTGAGCTCAGGTTATAGATAAGATTTTATTCTGATAAATCGCACAGTGTTTACAGTTATATCAGTTATATCAGTTATATCAGTTATATCAGTTCATATAACTGTAAACACTGTGCGATTTATCAGAATAAAATCTTATCTATAATGGAATTATACTCTACCACAGTGCCCGAGCTCAGGTTATCCTGGTACATTTTTCGTTCTTGCTTTATTTGAATTAGTTAATGGGAAGAATTGTACGAAATTAACATGTCGTCCGTACAGTGAAAAACACACATGTTTCAGACAGATACACACATGCAGCGATTTAACAACATCAATACAACAATACGATGACTAATCTCAGTCATTATGTAGAGATATTTAGTGACAAGCGACCTTTACACATGTTCACTTAAATTTGTACTATTTGACTACATATTTTGATGTTCAATCAAATCCGAGTAATTCTACTGTAGAAGCTGTGGTTTGCACCGCAAAACGCTTTTTGGACTACACTTCCGCTTATGGTTCCATTTTTAAGGCACTCTCACTGGGTAAGTTGACTTCAGCCCGTACTAATCCTTGGGTCACAAGGTGGTTGTCCTCTTATTTTCCAGACAAGAAACAACACACTCCTTTCAGTGAGATGCGCTCCACTTCTTTGCTCATGAAAGCTGGTGTGCCTCAGTATGCTGAACTTCTTCTATTTCTTCTTTCATTTGGCATGGATAACCGCATTATTATGAGGCCAGTTTCATTAAACTTGCTGACTATCTGACAATCTCTATCCTGGTTGTTTCAGTATTTGATTGTTTTGGTATGAATCGTTTCCTGTTTGAGTTTAACCAATGGTCTCAAAATGAACGCTTCTAAATATCAGACTATGAGTTTTAGTTTCAGGCGTTAACAAGACTTGCGTGAACTGATTCAGTTCCATGATTCTTGTAACACTAATAGAACTTTGGTAGGAAATATTGCCTATCTTGGGATCAGTTTCTCCTCAAATCTCTGTTGGGAATCTCATATCTTGTTGATTTCTTAGACAGTCTTCAGCTTGACTTACTGCAAAAGGACACCGAAACTTTCTGATATCACTAAACCTCTTCTGAACCAATTTCATGTATTTTCTCTATTGTTTTTTATTGTACCCTTTATTCTCATCTGGACTTCTCGAAAAAGATAGTGCTGTATTAAGTTGAACTCTGAAGGTCGCAAGTACGATTAGTGGTGTGTTGTCCATGACGCAACTAATTGACATTGTTGTTGACAAACATTTAGATTCTTGCAAGGAACTGGCTAAAGTCACCTTGTCCGGTGCTGAACATACCATTCATTCGTAGCTTTCTTCGTGCATATCCTCAGGTAAAACCAGCATAAATTCCATAAGGACTTATGCTCTTATGGTGAAATATAAAGATTCAACTATATCATATTTAGGACGGGTGTTCTGTGAACAGATAAATGTCAGAAAAGAACTAATAAACCTAATTTACAATATGTAAATAAATAGTAAATTATAACCGGCACCATTATTACATGTTTTATTATTATGGTAAATTTCAGTTTTCGACGTCTTATTATTTTTGTTGTCTTATGTACTTATTCATTTGTGAAAGGAGATGTACTGTTGAGGTGTGTACTACACCTGAAAATTCCAGCCTGCATGGAAACTTATTGCTTGGAATAAAGTAATTATTAGTAGAAACGTTTTATTTCGATGTCCTAAACATGCAGGGATTACTTTAAATAATTTTATAATGCTACATTCACTGTAATCTGGATATCTATTCACCTAAGTCTAAATATAATTACGACTTTTTACGACAATTTTCGAAATTTTTATTGGCGTCAGAAGTCAGCCAGTGACACAGCGTTCCACAAGTTTGATTATTTTCGACCTTTTTTCCAATTACATTTTAGCGTATAACCAGACTTACGGTAGTCACCTATTCACAACTGGTGCTGAGGTTGGCCTTCTTACTTCGAACATTATCGTGCAAGGCGATAATCAAAGTGCAGTTAGTAGATTTGGAGGAAGGATTCTGGCATCACAAACCCTATATGCGGATGGTGTTTCATTTGGACAAATTAAACTATCAGGTATGCTTGGAATATAAGACCTTGATAATAACAATAATTTAAAGTAGCCAGCTGGCCATTTTTTCTCCCGTTACGGAATTTTTTCACAGGAGAATAGTTCTGATGTCACTTTTAATATACTCTGTCTTGAATATCTTTCCATTCCTTGCGATCTGAGGGGCGATATAGTGCTTCAGGCCCCGAAGTTTTAATAGCAGTGGTATTGTTTTGAGAGGTGAGGTTGCTAGTCATATTCTCAAACTTTCCTCTTTTCTGGGTACACTACAGCCTAGCAGAGGTTCTGAAGTGTACCAGCTAGACATACAAGCCGAACCTCCTACGTGGCTGGCGAACATACTACCAATGGACAGCCAACTAGTTAAAAAAACTATTTCAGATCAGGTGTTAAGTAATAACTAAGTTGAGAAAAACAGTAAACATACAAGACAAGTCATATTTTTGACCATTAACGCATTCCTGAGAGTAGATTGAAGTAGAGCAGGTGCATTCAAGTCTTTTAAATTGCAAAAATACTGTTAACTGGTTCCTCATCAGCAATTCTTTACTAATATTTAGTTTTGCATTAAAGCTATAGTAGTTGTGCGAAGAAGTTAGTCATTAGGAATTATCAGTTTTGAGATATCGGAGGGTTGAAAATATTTCTGGATAACAGGATTAATGAATTTGTATGGCCTATCAAAGCGTTATCGCATAATCAACTATTTGTAAAATAGTGATAAGTAAGAGGAATAGATGAGTGAACCACTTAATAATACCAAAATAGAAAGAAGTGAATTAGCTGAAATAGTAATCAGAATAGAGTAACATTATTAAATAATAGTTACAAGGATAGAGGGTAATCCTTTGTAGGACTCCATACATATTATTTGAACTACTGCAACAAAGAAAGATGTATGAATTTCTTTTGAACACACAGATTCGGCTTGTTCAGAGGAATTCTAATTGCCTCTGATGTATGCGGAAGTTGCACTCGTACAGTATATGAAAATCTGAGTCGGATACGATAAGCAACTTTAAGCGGTGTGTTAGTATCGATAGATTTTCCTCTGTTAACGAGATGAGGTAGCATTCAGCTACTTAGCGCTTTATTCTGTCGTTTGCCTAAACGATAGGGATGGCTTTCTGAAATATTGCTAGATATCCACATTACTATTCGCCTTCACATTTTTTGAACCTTATTTTATTACTAGCTATATAGCTTCTTATTTTATGGATTGTACTTGCTTTTATAACTTCAGTGTTATGCGTAAATTATGAAGACTTCAGCAGATATTCAGATATCCCGGTTTTCATGACTCATGCCGCAACTTTTGAAATTTTAGTTTTGTGTAAATAATTAGTATGGTCGTATATTTCTATGATCTTCCAGGTGTATATTTTTATCGTATGGGTCAAAAGGATTTCAGTACGCCAACAGATGCTCGTTTTCCGGTCTCCTTCATCAGTGCTGGTGATATGACAAATATTTCATACATAAAGTCGTGTATTTTTGAAGAGTCTTTGTCTTCAGCAGTTGGAGCGTTTGGAACAACTGGAGTACTATTAGAAAACAATATATTTTATAAAACTCTAGGCAGTGGTAAGTGAAGTACCTACATATTCCCTGTGTTTTTGATTTTAAAAAGACGGTTGCAGTGAGGAGAATTTTCTTTTCGACGAAGTCATCAACTAGGCTGTATATTCATGAGAAAGTTCCGGAATTATTTCCCGTCAAAGGTCAACTTAATGATATTAGTGAGTGTAATAAACAGAAGATAGATAATGACACTATTCTAGAAATATTTCAGGTCAGAGGCCAAATTAAAAATTACCATGTGCAATAATCAGGAAGATCGGGTTGAAAAGACAAAATAGGATTATAATTACTGGAAGACTCGTCAGTTTGTATAATTGCGGGTTAAGGACGTAATATTAATAAAATGGGTAGGAGGTTTGGACATATAGAAATAAAAACGGTAACCAAATCTAATAATGCAGATAAAAAGGTAAATATAAAAAATAAACGGGAAGAGTGAACAAAAAAGGTAACAGGATGATTATTACTGGTGGGACTGACTTTTCATGATGGCCACGGTAGGGACAATGTTTAGACGTATTTCTATTGGACACACAGAATAGGATTGAGTTCTGTATCCCCATTGCCTCAGTTATTCGTAGATGTCTTGATTTCACTGCACTTAGTAGGTTGGATCGGATCTCGTATATGGCTTTGAAGGATTTTTCAAATGGGGCTGGATGTCCAGAACTCTCCAGATGTTCTGTTATCGGATTGTATACCCTTTGTATTCTCCCTTTACTTACCATTCTGGATAGTGTTCTCGTCCGCGTTTTACAAATGGACGCATAGTACTGCCAATGTACTCGGCTCCACGCGAGCAAGTGAACTTGTATACATATATATATATAAGCTTGTCTTTCACGCGCTGGGTGAGTAGTTTCTTGCAGGAGAATGTTATTCGTAGGCTGGCCGCGAATTCGAAAGCTGTCTGCGAAGAATTTCTGCTTAAGTATCACTTTTAAATTTGAAGTTCAATATCAGCATCTTTTGGGGGGCGACTTGGAACTTTTTGGGTATTTTCTTTGGTTTTAGATTCTTGTCTATAGATCTGGGCGGGAATCCATTTTCTATTATGGTCCCTCAGAGACTTTGCAACTTTTCGTCAATTTACTCCTCAGTGCAAATCTTCCGGATCCTCAAGGAAAGAGAGTATATCAGGTTTCTCTTTCTAATTAGAAGGACACAACTTTGAAAGTTGATAAACTGTCTTTTCCACGTGGGTTGTTTGTAAGTGGATCTTCTCAGCAACTTACAAACATTCTTTCGTAGTTGAACGTCGAGGAAATAAAACATTGCGTTAGACTCAACTTCCAGAGTGAAGTCGATGTTTGGGTGGGTGTTATTGAAAATTTGAAGTAGTTTTTTAAATCACAATTCTCATAATTATTAATGAAAGTATCATCTATGTATCACTTGTAGAGATGGAGGTCGTCTACAGTTGATGATAAGAAGTTGTTTTCTAAGCTAGCCGTGAAGCAGTTGGCCAGGAGGAGTCCTAGAGGAGAATCCACAGCTACTCCATCTACCTGCCTGTATGTTTCGTTGTTGAAACTAAAGTAGACGTTGAATGTGTATCTAAGTAACAGTTCTTTTAGGTAATAGATCGGTATACCGACATCGATGCAATTGGATCGAATGTAATCACAAAGCAAACATACGGTTTCTGTTAATGAAACGTTGGTGAAGAGAGAGACGATATCCAAGGAGACCATTTTTTTGTTTGCCACGTTGACATTTTTAACTGAATCAGCAAAGTCGAATGTGTCACGGACGTTGTGTCTTGACAGCTTTTCTTTCACCGGCCCGAGAATCTCCACCAGCCATTGTGCGACTGAGAGATATGGGAAACTATAATATTTAGTATTGGGCGGAGTGGGATGTATTGACTGTGTACTTTAGGTAAGCCGTACATGCGCAGCGTTGTAGAATCAGATGGGCGCAGTTGTTTGTATAGTCTTAAACTGATGATGGATTAGTCTTCATTTTCTTCAATGTCTTTGTTAGCTGGAGCTCCGTCTGTTCAGTGGGATATTTATGTGGGGACTGTTTTTGAAACTTTCCATCATCAGATAGTCTCCCCGATAGTTTGCTTAGGTAGTCTTATTTTGTTTATCAGGACGATCCCGAAACCTTTATTTAACCGTGTCATGATCAAGTTTTCATTATCCTTCAGTTCTTTTAGCTTCTTTCGATGTTATTTGGATAGTACATTAAGAAAGCTGGATTTTTTGTTGATTAGTCGAGACAGCAGTTTAAAACGGTTGATTTGCAAAGGTTTGCATTGTCGTATTAGGTTGGGATCAGAACTTTCGTCTGGTTGATTAAATTCTCGAATAGGACTTTCGTGTTCAGTTCATTCACTTTTGACGTTTGACGTTTTGATTTTATAAAACATCGGCCTGAAGAATATTCAAGCCTACTATTACGTGCGCCGAAGGTCAGTGTTTGGTCAGAAGGTATGCTAAGATTCACAGAGTTTGGTGACAACATTTGTGCTGATGAAGCGTTAAATAACTTTTATCCCAGTCTGTGAAAACAGTTATTTGTAGATGACATCAGTGATGAAAGAGTAAGACGATTTTCGAAGAAGGCATCAAATATTTGGAAAGAAATTCATTAAAGACTGATTTTAAAAGGATTTACTTGAAACGTAAGTATGGTATCATGTACCTAGCAGTTTTCAATACCTTGCTACCTAATTTTATTACATGATTAAGCATTGCTTTCGAAAAAATGTTGCTTTATATAATAATTTCCCGCAGAATCGTGAAATATATATATATATATAGCAGGATGGGACTAAGTAGTTTTCTTTGTCGCAATTAATTATTGCATTTATTTACCAAAATCTTTTAACCTAATTCAGAGTAAACGAGTGATTCCCACTGAATTTTCATGCATTCAACATATTGTTTTTTAGCTATCTGGGTGAAAGACAAAGGTCACAAACTAATACACAACTTACTAATTGAATCTCTATGGTCAGGAGAAACGGATACTAAAAACCAAAATCTCGACATTTTGTTTGAAGCTGCACTAGACATAAAAGAAGCCAGCGACCTAACATTGCAAGGAAATGCAATAGCAGGAGCTGAACGTGTTTGCATATATACTCAAGGATATTCTTGTTATTCAGGCAATAATTCTAATTGGTAAGTATATATACATATATATATGTATATATAAGTTTTACAACTATATTTTTGTGTTCAAATGTTTCACAAAAATATGTCTACTTTGTATCTTAGGAAGAAGAACACTCTACATTCTTGTCTGATCGGATTTATGCAGCTGAAAACTCAGTATAACTGCTCAGTGATTTCCAACTCACAGATATACTCAGTTAGTCAGTTCTCAATGTTTTGGAGGACGGATTCGTCTATTCAAGCCAAGAATATACATTTAGTCGATAATGCTGGAGGTATGTTCTATTCTTAGTAAAACACAACCACTTGTTAGTTGGGTACCCACCAAGGTACACTGTTTGTGTCTGAAAATGTGTCATCATGGTTATTTTTGCTCTGATAACACAATTTTAAATAAAGTGACTTATGTTACTTTATATCTTTAAAATTATTTTTGCTAGAGATTCACATGTTGTCTCTTTTTATGATTTCAGAATAAAATAGTCACGGGAACGTAAATGCTGTCCAATTTAAAACACTTTTAAGAGTGTGTATTGAGTACAGAGGAGCATCAGAACTAACTGATTATCTTGTACTTTGTCAGTCACGATAAAGTCAAGCGTTTAAGCTCATTTTTTGTCACTGAACTGATATTTTACATTACTACTGTTTTAAACGAAGGAAAAAATTCTAAGCATTAATAATAACTTCAGCACTTAACCCTACCTCTGTTGGACGCGTAACAGGACCAGTGATGCAATTCTGGAAATAAGTGGCATTTCTAAGTTTGAAATAAATATTAGATGTATGATTTATAAGAAGAATTCTGCGTATATATTTACATATATATTAAGTAAGATCCCGATAATAAATCTCTTGTTTCTGTCGGTATTTTCTCGTCAAAAGGTATGTATCCATTTATTGGTGAACCAAGTGGACGAACTCATATGATTAGCTCCAAGGACTTTAGATTTGATAATTCTTTACTAGTTGGTCGCAGTGGGATTCAGTCGTGTAGCGACAAGCCTAATGACATGGCTCTTCAACTAGCATCAAAACTGAAAGGACCAACTTCACCTGAAGGTGGCTACTTGGGTATGACAAGTCCCCAGTTTATGAGCTCAATAGGCATGCCTGAGGAAGGTAAATTAACAAGCTGGAGTGGGGACTTTTCAAATGGTGGAGCTGCTTTCATAACCAGTAAGTTCCTTTTTCAAGTCACAAGAATAACTGAAAATGCGTTAAACAATCAGGTTAAATATTCCTACCACCGAGCAGTTTGATGACACATTGGTTTTGGACTTCAGCCCACAAAATGAAGTTCGGACACTAAACTGATTACCATCTGGCCACTGAAGCCAAAGTATTTTCATTCTTTAGGTGAAAGATGTCAGGCTGGCAACCTTCATTCATAAGTTCTAACATTATCGAAATACATTATTTTAAAATTAATTTGGGCATCCGTTGTTCGCATGTGTATTGACTTCTTGGTTTTTTGAGTAGGAACATTAATTTCATCTTCTATAGAAAGTGTTCAAAGTTGTAAAAATGATATTTTGAATGTGATGTTAAGTGAGACTTAAATACTTGCTAAGGAAAAATTCGAAGCACATTTATGTGAACTGTCAGTATGAAGCCTGTTGACTACCTCAGTCTGGTTCGTAAATCAGAAAATATTGACTCCTTAAGTTCAGTCTGTTCAGAATCATTTTATAATAATGTTGACAACAGGCTAAAAATTAGACACACAAACAAGTGGAAATTTTGTTAGAAAAAATGTCTGTAGCTTGTCCCTTTGCAAGTCATGTACAATGTCATTATTATGGAATTTATTTGTTTTTCTGTACATGTCAGCAATAAGAGTACTGAAAATATCAGTCTCGTTCTAAATGCAGATCATTTGTTTTCCACACAACTCATAAATAGACTGCGAAACGGCAGTGAATGCAGTAGGTCCCTCCGATACTAATTTGTAAAAACACATATCTGGGAGACATAGTTATGATTGTGCAGAAAACTTTCTCTCTCATGCAATATATACTTCTGAGCACTTCTTAAATGACCAGTTCAGATAACAGATAATAAGAGACAAAATACGGTAGTGGTTTCTTTTTCTCCAATACACCATTGAGTATGAACTGTTATGAAGTCTAGGTTTCAAACGTGCCATGTTTTAAAACGACATAGTTGTCTGACGTTCTTTGTTTACAAAATAGAAACTGGCATCCCTGGTCTTATAGCTTTCATCATTTAGGTTAATCAGTAACTTTACTTGCTTAATGAAAGACACCCTAAAATGTATCTGCTCAGATCTGGAGGATTTATGAAAATGTACTAGTTAGCATATCTTAATGAGTAAACTTTACTTTGCGTTCCAGATTTAACCATAGCGAATTATGGTACTTTATGTAGTGGAAAACGAGATTACGTTTGGCGGACAGATATGAATAATGAAGATGGAATATTTCCAACATATTTTGTTGGTACGAATGCGATATCTGTGGACTCTGATAGCATTACTTATTACGACAGACCAAAAGTTGGGTAAGTTGAGGGACTTTTTTCATCTAGCACTTTGAATTTCAGTCATGAATATTTCTACAAAACTATAATTGTTCCATCTGAATGTAAATTTTACTAAAATTCGCCATGTGAATATCATGCATGTCTTATTTTTATCTATTATTTTCTTTTATGTTCCAAGTAGAGCATAAGGCTTCAGGCTAAGCCTTAGAAGTTTTAGTAGCAATGATTTTATTTTAAGTGGGTGGGGTTGTTAGTCTCACTTCAAAGCATACGTCCTTAACTGCCTTATTACCGTCTCAGTGAGGTTTGGGGGTGAGTTGACCGGGGAGCGAATCACGGACAATGTGCGTGGTTGGCGAGCATTTCACCACCGTACCACTGACGCACAGGCATGTCTCAGTGAATCATTACTAAACCTATAAATGTGGTAATTTACCGCTTCAAAAAATTAAGCGGCATATTCACCGGAAACTATTAGTTGACTATTCCAGCCTCATTTGAATACTCAGACTGAATTGAATTTTACAAGTACTGAAAATATTTTGCCTTATCATGCATCTCTTCTATATCTCTTTTCATTTTTAACTCAGAAATGTGCGTTTTGACAAATGTAATGATATGGAATGTGATGGCCTTAAAAAGATTCTTGTAATTGACAAAGATGGTGGATTGTTTGGTCAGCCTACTGTTGTGGTACCACAATCAGAATGGCAGTATAATTTGGATTCAAGCTATGGTGTTAGTGATAAACGTATACCAAAAAGAATGTTAATGAAAGCCGATGGGACATCCATTGACCCTGCAAAAGAATGGCCAAACAAAGGTGAATTACCAAATTCATTTTTCAGAAAACCTGACGATTTTTATTTGTTTGAGTAAACTGTATGCCTAAAAAGTGCTGTCACAGATGCTGTTACCACGGTAGAGTGATTTTTATTCCCCTAGTGCAGACAAACTTTTTCCGGTATTAATATTAAGTGAATCCCTAAATAAAATATAATTACTGTGAATTTAGAACTCATGCTGGTTGAAATTCATCAAGAATGCTTGCTGATCATCATTTTCAGAAAGCTCGCATTACTCCAGTATTGTGATCCCACTTCACTATACTAACTAAGTTATTTGTAATCTTACTGAAAAAATGCTGTCTTTTACCTGGACTTCAGAACTTGCCAAGACACCTCAGGTTGCTAGATGAGAAACATATAGCACAAGTTCTCCATATATTAAGAAGACAGTTGCAGCTAAGAAAGTTTTCTTTTTGACGAAGTCATCATCTAGGCTGTACATTCGTGTATTTATATCAGATGGATGGGAAAGTTCCAGAATAATTTCCGGTCAAGGGTCAAATTAATAAAAATTACAATTACGAATTAAAATGTCATAATAAACAGGGGATGGATAAAACAAACAAAGTAGCATTATAATAACTAAGAAGATTGACATTGTGCAATTAGGGGTTAGAAATGTTGAAATAATAAAAATAGACAGGATGTTCGGATAAAAAAAACTAATGTGATGAATAATTGTTTATGCAATCAGGGATTAAATATGTAGAAATAGTAAAATTACAAAATAAACACGAAGTTCTGATATGGAAATATGGTAGTATAAACAGGGATTAAGAAAAACTTAAAAAATAACATGAATAAACAGGAAGTTTAGATAAGAAAGGCGATGGGATAGTCATTACTAAAAACATTACCTGTTTATGATGGCCATGGCAGGGACAGGGTTTTGGCGTATTTCTTTTGGATACAAAGCGTGGGTTTGAGCTTTTGGATAGCTAGTGCCTCGGCTATGCCCAGATGTTTTAATTCCACTCCCTTTGATAGGTTTGATTGAATCTTGTATATTACTTTGAAGGATTTTTCGAAAGGCGCTGAATGTCCTGAATTGACCAGATGTTCTGTCACGCTTTTGGTCTCCTTTTGCTAGCCAGGCTGGATTGTGTTCACGAGTGCGTTTTTCAAGTCGGCGCACATATATATATATACCTGAGATGTAACTTTAGAGCCAAGATATAGAAAAGTAATTTAAAGCACTTTGTTGGGTCTTTGAGATGCAGCATACATTGATAACGAGGGTTTTCAACACCCTAGTGAAATCTTCTCGTCTCTTAACTTGTACTGATGTGTGAGTTTTGTAGATAAAAAGCCTGAACAAGACGTATTCAAACTGAATATTCATTTTAAATGCCACGAAAAACAGTACAAACAAACTAGAATTTAAGCATTGGCTCTCATATAAGGAAAACAAACACAGATTCGAACATTTTCGAGGTTATAAAGGAGTTATGGAACTGTTTCTGTGATCTCTATGCCTCTGTCTCTATAACGGTTGGGGTACTCGTCAGGCTATGAGTGGCCCAAGAACAAATAAAATCTAGCCAGATTTGTAGAGCTAAAGTTTGAATACACTTATCTCTCATAAATTCAGTGCAGATTATGTGCATAAACGTTTAGATTTTGCTCTATTTTTATAGACCATGATGTAAAATATAAGTGAAAGGTTTTTTCAACTTATAACTACTTTCCTTGGATATTATTGTCAGGTATTATTCGTGACAGCTCATGTGTTTACATGGCTACAATGCAAGCATACAAGTGTAGTAGGTCATTGGATCACAGAATTTTATTAATTGAGTCTATGGATCCAGACGCTCTTGAGCGCAGACTTTCACCGATTGCATTTGCAACACAGGGATTATCTGTGAGTCATTCATCATTTTTTGTTTTTGATTCATTTTTAGTAATCTCATCCACTACAGACCACTGTTGACTTTTTGCTTTCTTGTAATTGGCTTAAAAAACATGGCTTGTCGATGTGTTTTTTAAATAATTTAGTGAAGAGAACACTCGTTCACACCCAAAAGGATTTAAATGAACTAAGCATTAAAAAACGTAAAACGGATGGAAGTCAGTTAAATAACCTTTTTTAAAGTTCGTAGAGTTGCAGGAACGCAGAAACACTACCACATATGATAGCTTACCTGTATAATGCTTCATAAATCACCTTAATTGCCTTAAATATTTATTTAATTGGATTATCACAGAAACATTCTCAGTTATACATACTGGATGATGACGGAGAATCCATCTTGTTTTACTGTCTTTTTTAAAAAAAAACACTTACAAATAGCTGAATTTTGTTTTTTCGCTAAATACTTCAAGTGAATGTGCTTGTGTTCGCCTTTCGGACAGTGACTAAAGAATACATTGATTACCCGCTTCTCTATGACGTTTATAAATTAAATCTCTAGTGCTATTGGGATATAATGGGTCTTTAAACATATATCTGTTCACCAATTTATATATCGATTAACTGTGTTCCTTTTGTCTTACCTCTTTGAAATAGTTACATCACCGCATATTGTACCACGTAATAAGCATAGCTTAATTAAGGAAAGGGTATAGTAAATTAACATCCTGCTTTGCTTGTACTTTATATTCCAAGTATTACTTCTAAACACAGCGTTTTTACCTTTCAATAACAGCAACTGGTATCCTGGTGCAGAAGAGCCCTGCTCCAAACAACTGAGTAGAAACTAACAAGTTTTCATGGTTATTTAAACGTCCCTAAAATATGAGTGATAACTCCAAGAGAATTTTATGCTCCTGAAGTGTATATGTCAATCAGTGGAAAGATTTGAAACTGGGTTTTCGTTGGTAATTTCATTTATATCTATTTCACTTTCAAAATGACACTGCGATTTCTTTCCTTTTACTCAAAGTTCTTTTGGGTCAGTTTTCAGTGATATTTTAGTTCTTCTATCCTACTTATTGTTGATTTCTTCGCCATAATTTGGTGTGAAATGCACCAACTTGTATTCATAGCTCAAGTCTCGAGTTACTGCTAGTTGTATTGGCAGTGATACTCCTTTTATTTCATTATTTCAGCTCTTACTGTCATTAGTGTATTTTCTTAGAAACTTTATCTACACAGCCTTCAGCAGCCGTATCCTTCTAGATAACGCTTCTAATTTACAACAGTTCACGAAGTTAGGAAGTATTAATGTTGATAATATGGATGTCAAATGATTTTTATTTCATATAGACTAAGAGAATAAAAACTATAAATTAATTTGCATCAGCTCTAATGATTGATTTAATTTTGTTTTGTTAAATTAGCCTAACTACATTGATCTGATAAATGGTCCAAGTGATCATGGAGCGTGTTCAAGTTATGCCTGTTTGAAACGGATGAGTACATTTATGGCAGTCGTTGCACGTCAAAAGAATTTTGTAATGTATATGACAAGTACCATGCCCCAGGAATTACGTTTACGACTTCCACAAGCGGAACCAGATTATGCTGTTAGGATTGGAATTGATTACTTCACTGCAGGAAGACTTGATGTCTATAAGAATGGAGAATACGTGAAGGCGAAAAACTCAATAACAAATAGTTTGGTATGTGTAACTATAAATGCATAGATAATCTTGGTTTAAATTTAAAGAATACAGACGGACTACTTTTTATTATCAACTGTAACAGTATAGAATACTTATTTATGGAAGATCTTTTAATCTCTGATCTCTAATGCCATACAGAACAGCACTTATAGATGAAATTTCAGGATAGGTTTTGTAACGCTAAATAACTCGAATTGGTTGACTGCAATATATTTAGTATATGATATTCTCATTTATTCTGTTCATTCATATACAATATACTCCGCATAAAAATAAGGTTTGCAGTATATCACTCATACAGGTTTTGTATATGCCTTCCACTCATTACTTATTTACTGTTTGTGAATTTTACCTGTTAATTTATGAATATATGCACAAAGATACTAGATATTGGTTAGAAACTGAGCATTTACGTCAACGAGATATAGATTAGAGTTTAATGAAAATAAGTTTGCTGAAGCTACTTCAAAATTTTTTATATTTGGTTCCTTCAGTCCGACAAAGAACATAGAGATGTTCTGTGATAAATGAAGCTGTACTCATTCTTACAAATGATTCGTGATAATAACCAAAGTCACTGTCACTGTAAGTAGAAGAGAACACTGGTTATTTTTTGAACCTTTATACCCTGTAATTACGACTAATTTTATAAGGAAGATAATTAAAATAAACACGTTAAGAGGGAAACCTTAATTGGCTTTAGATTTCTGAGAACGAAGAGAGAAATTTATTTTTTTTTAAATCGATTTCAGCCACAGGCTTTTCAAATATATATATATATCCTAATCTTGAGACTATGCTGTACCCACATTTTTCTCAAATCATGTATTGTGATTATTTATTTTTAGGGTCAGTCTGTATTACAAGCACCCAAAACAGTGGATGAATTTATGCCAAATGTAACGACAGACTCAGCTGGTACTAATTACTATGATGACTCATCGCAAATGTTGTATGTTATTCTAAAAGGTGAATCGATTATCACCATTAAACTCTCACAGTTAGTGAAAGTGTCATTCGGTTTGCCTGCGATGACTATTGACCAGTTCTTTGGATCAGAAGTTGTTTCAAATTTGGCCAAATATTTAGGAGTAAGTATCAGTTTTTCTATCACAATTTTACAAATTGATGATAAGTAAGTCTAGAATAATAATAACAATAATACTGCATTACTTTGGTTTTCTAGTCTAAATATGAAGGTTAATCTCCAAATGAATATGAGAAGTTATCGAATATAATATTTTAACACATATAAGGAAGGTATTATGGGTCAAATGAAACCGTTAAAAGTTTTTGGAAGCTTAGATTTCATTTAAAATTATTAATACACGTGGATAACGGTCGTCGGTGGCACAGTGGTTAAGACTCTCGCCGACCATGCACATGGTTCGGATTTCGATCCGCTGCCGACGCACACCTGATATCTATGGTCGGCCTGCAAAATTTGGGCTACCGATATCACATGCTGAAAATTTCATACTTGTATCAAAATACGGTGTGGAATGAAGCTATAATCAAAAATTTAAAAAAATAACTTCACTTAGCATTCAAGGATAACATTTCAGCTTTGGTCAATTGTTGATTTATTAAAAAATTGTGAAAATGAAAATAGTTTCACAGAAACGTTAGAAAAGTAATCACAAAACACTTGTCAAGGGACTGAACCCTCATTTCTTATTGTTACGAAGACGCTCCGAACCGATAAATACTACGACTGACTCTCGACTTGTACTCCAAAACATCAGTGGTTGTAAGAAGGAAGTTGTATCATTTGGCAATTAAAATAGACGGGTAGTACATAACTTTTATTCGTTTCCTTTCGTCTTCTTCGAACCTGCAAACGATTGAACCATTCGCGCCATCGAGATGCCCACCAATGGCGACCAAGGCCAATGAACCAACGTTCAATGTTCACTTCCATTGACAACACTTATTTGCAAAATCGTATGTTAGAAAGAAGTACACAACCTGATTAGTTGTTCTGAATTCAGAAGTTTGGTTTTCTCAATTGTACGAGTCCACTCACACTTATGTTAAATACATTGTGTTGATAAGATTCGAAGTCACGTCACTCTGATTGCCATTTATTAACTAGCAATATGCAATTCATGTTGTTTTCTATGAACTGCATCTAGTCTATAGACTACTACCTCTTATATGCAATTCACAAAGAATAGATTATTATTTTCTATTGTATTTTCTGTATGAATTGTTATCGTTGTTAAAGTTCATGTAACTGTATCGTTTGTGTAATTCATTATTTAAGTACTAATTATATCCTGCAAAGCTGTTACATGACATCCGATATATTAGACATGAATAACTGGATGGTTGAAACGCCACAAAGACACGAGATTTTCTCTTTTGTCATGAAATTAACATGCTTTTCATAACGCTCATCGATTGCGGTTCACTTGACAACGACGCCAGAAGTTAAAGAAGATTTACTGTCTAGTCCAAAGTACATGAAAACTGGTGGATCATGTTTTAACTGTACATTTACACCACTTAATACAATCCAGTGGTTGCCCTTAATACTTCAGTTATATTCAAATAATTGGTTGTGATAAAATTATGCATTTATTTTATTTACTGATTTCTGATACGTGTTGCTTTTGGAAACTAAGTATAAATGAATTTAAGTCATTCAGGCGAAGTAAGAATATGTTTCATAATCTGTTGCAGGTAATCTCATTTATGTAGATGACTTAGTTTAAACTGTTTAGTCAGAGATTACATTGTAGCAGATTTGTGACGCAACTCTGATCCCTAATTAGTATTATAACATTTCTTTTGCCTCCTTAGATACCTGCAGAAAATATACGTGTAGTCAAGGTGGTTTCTGAGTCTTCTACTAATACAGCAAGTCGTCGACGTCGATCTGTTCCTGGTGTTTTTGTTGAATTAGAGATCTCGTCACCACCAAGTCAAAATTTATCTCAGTCTGCAACACCAAATGTTACATCGTCTGGAATAACATCCATGGAGAAAGTATCAGCAGATGTCATTTCAATTGTACAAACAGGATTATTTGAAAAAAGTAATATAAAGTATTAAATTCATACAGGCCTATGTTAGCTAATTATTTGTGTCTGAACTTCTAGTTGCTATTCAGAGTAAAATTTAGACTTTTTGCTTCATAACCTGTTGTCTAGTCTATACAAAGAGAAAAAACGAGTTAAAATCCACTTAGAGAAAGATGATGAGAAGTAGTGAAAAAAATGAAGATTTTTGGTTATAAATTTATTCAAAAGCACTATTATTATATTGGTATTATTTGTTGGTATCATTTCAAGCGGTAGATAGAGCCTCAGCAGCATGTTCCATTTGTACTGCGGCCTCCATTATCACTTTCGCCTGACTTCACAACTACCTATAAGCTTTCATTTTCTATCAACATGACCTCCTTCATATCACCCTCGGATGCTCAACTCGCTGCTTTTTATGCGATTTTTATTCAAGAACCTGACATATGATATCAGTCTACAGTCTCTTCAGTGTGTATCCCATGTGTCTTCTTTCTCTTCCGCATATTTGTTGCCCAATAAGTTGTTGCCTGTCAGAGTTCCTTGCTGTTTATCCATTCCAGCTGGCCTTCTGACTTAGAGCATTGAGTTTAGACAGCTGTTGGCGACAGTTTTCTAGAGGACCTGTTACAAATTATTTTGGTGACTTGCATTAGGTCTCTGGACCATAAGGAAGCACTGACCTGACACTGGTTTTGAAAATTAATATCTCGTTCATTGTGCTTCTCTTAGATTTCGCCCACTGATGATGATTGGTGCTTGTTGTGGTTGTTGGTCGAATATCTTCATCATATCTGCCATTTTTATGTCCACAGGAAATTCTGTCTTATTTTCTTCCTTTGCAAACTTGGTGGATTTAGCTTGTATATCTCTGAGTTTGTGAGGCATGAGACGTAAATCGTCTGAGAAACCAGATCTTCTAGAGTCTGGTTTTGGTACATCATAATGCCGGTTTCCTCAATCCCCACGAACTACTGCAAGATCCAGTCCACTACATTGGTGAGACTGAAGCCAAGGTATAGAAATCAAAGCGGAATAAAAGCACGAAGAAGTTTTGAACACTAGACACCTGAATGCGATATGTTAAAAATTTGTAACCTACTCAACATTATAGTGGATTTAGATTGATTTAATTAACTAAATATCTGCTACTGCTATATACTTTTTCTACACTCTTTCTCTCAGTGTTTATCTCTCTGAGAAGACAAATGTGTTTGTGAATGGGGCTGTTTAATGACTCACATGGTTGTTCTGGTTGCTCCACTGTCTCGTTTTCCCAAAGGACTTTAGTGTATTCAACCGCTTCTTCCTTTTTTCTTTTTCTTGCATTTTGAGTAAAAAAAAAACATTGCTCTTCAAGAATTCGGAGTCTCGGATCGCGTTGCTATTGTTTTACAGGGTATGGTTGCTAACTTCCCGCCCAACCTTTTCTTACTCCAGACTTGTGGCTAGTAAACTTGGTTGAGTTCAGGAATGCAGCGGGAATCGAACCCAGACTGTTGGCGTTGAAGCAGTGTACCACTGATGTTGCAGTTAAAAAAAAATAGGTCGCATAACATTTAAAATGACTTCATTGTAGGCTTTGTTTAGTTAGTCTGATGTTTGAATTATAATAATATAATTCGAGTAATCGTATTCACAACACTGATATTCGGTACCTATCGAGCTAAATAGATAAGCCAAAGCAGTGAGACGTCATCTAGACATTATCTACCAACATGTATATCTAGAGGACAATACAGACCAGTCACGAGTTCATCTTTTAATCACACTGTTCTTTTTGATTGTATTCTGTAAAGTGAAAATCCTGAGATTCAAGTACGGAAATGCGTTATTTATTTAGTCCATTTTACAGTCATAACATGGAACATACGAAATATTTTACATTTTGTGAAGTAACCTTGTTTGTAACTTTTCCACTGTTTTACTGCTTCTGTATTTTTAAAAATTAAGAAGAGTTTTAATCGCATTCTCTGGTGACCAATATTCCTGTTATCAAAAGTTTGCTTTTAATTATTCATTTATACGTGTTATTTATCACTTAATGCATGCATATCGTTTAGATTATCTGAAAAAAGTTAGCAGTTTCACATGAAATATGATCAAGATTTGAATAGTTTCAAAATAACTGGGCACTGGGTGATGAGTAGGCGTATGTAAAAATTATATTGGTAAAATTTCAGCGAAGTTGAAATGCGTAATTCCAACGTTTCGTTCAACAAACTGGTCCAAACGTCATCAGGGAAACTAATCGAAATTAACATATATAAAAGGGATATCTTTTGTTTTTAAAAACTTTGTCTAGTCATATGAGTCATGAAATAGGTATCAAAATAAAATAAACAGAATTGCATGAACTTTGATCAGAATTCGACCTTAGATTTACAAATATTAGTCTACTTTTGTTAAACACTGTGTACTTTTTCATCCTAATTCTAGTGATTACGTCCGACTAAAGCTCAGTTATGCTAAACTTTGTCTTATTAATTTATAGACAAGAGTTTAATCGTCTTAAGTTATGCAGCATGTAAAAGATCATAAAGTCCTGGACATTTTTTTTCCCATTTAGACTTAGCACACCCTCAAGCCCTCAAGTGATGAAACAAAAAATTGTCATTTTTCAAAGTGAACACACCACCATTCAATCCTTGCGTTGGGATCAGGTTTACAATAATTCTCTAAGTGAAATACATTCGTGATGAAATCCACTTCAATTTAAATCCCCACAAATTAAATAACTAGAGATTTAATTGCGTCTGGTGCCTGCCTAATATCTTCATTTTAGCCAAACAAATGTATTTTTCCGTAGACTGAAGTTCATTTATTCATTTGTCTACTACATATGGTTTCAAGTATTCCAGAATTTGACCGAATCTACACCAAACAAGCTTATAACTTTGTATTGGATATCACCCAATAGGACAGCGATCAGTTTACTTCAATAAACAGAGTTCTATTCAATAGAACATTGGCCTTATTTCTCAATTAAACTTCATAAATTTACTGTTTCTTTCTATTTTTAGTTATTAACGCTACGGTAGTTAGTGTCTCAGTCCAGCAGCCTACACCGTTACCAAGTAGTCCGCTATGGTCTGCTCTAGTTTCAAATTCATCAAGTGTCTCACCATCCCCTACAGTTATTCAAATCCCAACAAGTGTAAGTACGAAACTTTTCGTCCCAGCAGGCTATGATTCAGTTACAGAAGGCATTCCATTCAGTTTAGAAATCAGCACCCTGGACTCCTCGGTAAGCTTTTACTAAATAATGCTCGTACTTTTTTTGACTGAAGGCTCTATAGAAATTCAGCATAACTTTTAAATCATTAAGTAAACTTAAAATCTTGAAAAGTTGGGAATAAAATTAACAGATTGTAGTATTATTTACACAGTTCAGTGAATCTAATAACTTACAGTTATTGACTATATAACAGTCAGTTAGAAGAACAGTTTTTACCCGTCACAGTGATTGTAATAATACAGCTTAAAAGGCATAATGCTTATCGTTGGAGAGTAACTTTTCATCATGTTATTTTTTCTGGACGAAAATCTTGTTGGTCATTGTTTTCAACGTAGGAAGGCAACCCAATAAGTATTATTTAAAACGAAAAATCAATTCCAATCTTTCCAATGTAGAATGGAAAGTTCTAATAAATTAAAATATTAGTCAGAATAAGTTTAGAAGCCTTGAGTAGGCCGATATCTCCTTGATAGATAAATCGAGACAGAAGAGCTAAATCACGATAAGCGACTCTTTCTCGTAATCTTCAGTACAAATTTTATGGTTTATGATGTGCTGTGCAAACGCGTGTCACTAACAAGAAAATATAAGTGTAATCTCCGTATTCAGCAATCATCTTGAATAGTGGAGTGACGGATTAATTTCCAAAAAGGAGAAATGAAAATAAGAAAGCATAAAATGAAAATGAAAGAAGCAGAATACAAACACGTCTTGCAAACCGAAGTTTTAGTGTAATGTTATTTATTCGTTATCACTGTATGCTGTTCTGCTAAACAAACAATTTCGCTAGCGAATACCACTGTGTTCTGTCGTCAGACTACCACATATTCTTTCGTTATTTCATAACTACAATGCATATGCGAATATTAGAGGCATTTCATGTTTTCTATGCGTCACCTTCGTCTCATCGTGAAAGGAAGGACCCTCAGCTTTTATGAAGAAGCCAGGGTATCCAAAACGCTTTTTTCCTTCAGTGAGACTGTCAAATTCATTTTCATTCAATCTGTCTGAAAATGATTTATACATAATATTGTCTTTAATGAATACTTAGCTGGTAATACAAATAACATTTATGTATTCTAGATGAAGCTAGATCTCCTTGGGGCTATTTAACTTTCCTCATCTTTGCTGATTATCACTGCTGCATGAAAAACTGAAAATGTATTACCTCTGAATTATACGAGTTACACGAGCTCATTGAACAATGAATAGACTAAGTTATATTTTCATCTGTATATAAATTCACTGAGACACAAGCTTCTATAGTCCAAACTCTGTTTGTACTAGTCACTGGTTCAAAGTTACGTGGTCACTGCTTTCATTTATTGTCATCTTTGTCTCAGGCATTTACCAGAGGACATGATAACTATTTTATTGATTATTGTAGGAACCAAATAATGATGCATAATATTTCTTTTTAGGGAAAAATTGTTCGACCACTGGGCACAAACGCAAGTGTTTGGTCATATGAATTATATCAACCGGAATCAGTTTCACCTATTAAAGTATCAAAAACAAACTTTGACAATCCAGAATTAGGAACAGCTCTGGTTACAAATCTTATATTTTCAAGGGATGGTTTGGCTAACCTGTTTGTTTCGGTAAGGAGAACAAACCATATGTTTAGAGCTAGTGATATGTATTTTATATATATATATATATATATGATATCTGGCTATTTTTACATTAATGTTTAAGCTTCAAAACAGTTGTATTTCCATCAGAACATTGTGATCTAGAAATCATCCTAATAGACAATTATTTCACTTTTATGAGTCAGTGTGAAGTTGAACAAAGCATATTTTTAAGTCCTCATGATTTGTTGACGTTCCACAGTGATTTTGCTCTGAGTTGAAAACTAGAACTAAATTCATAACTGTTTGGTCCTTTATGATTGTTTCTTCTAAAGAGAAATGTAGTGAAAATTATCGAACACCACAAAGAAGTTGACATACACACTACTTTCACGTTCATTGATTCGGGATTCAAATAGATTTTGGCCCTCGTCTTCATTATATTTGCAACTGAGCATAACGACACATCCAGTCTGGAGAAACAACCGTGATGCGTTTTGTCTTCAAGTGTACCGAGAAATGTCATTTCCTCAGTCATAACGTTGTTATTTTTGTTAGACAACTTTCTTAGAAATTAATTCATGATATAATTATGTACTGCTTAATTAGTCGAATGGTTGATACACAACATACTTTACCATAGTTTAGGCAGTTAAACTTTTAGACATTACAAAGAAATTTATTGTTTTACCAGCGAATTATCAGTGAAAGCTGGTATACAGTGTTGGTCTGTAGTCTAGAACCAGTTAATTTTAGCTGAGAAAAACAAAACATGGTGTTTGTAGCTCTTCCAACAACTGACTTCATGGAATGGTAATAAAGGAACTTATCGGCACTACATGTTAAATGTTAGATGAAGCTAAAGGCATAGCGATAGGATTATAACGATGGTCTTAGCACGTTTAACAACTGTAATAACTTAATCGCCCACTGACTACCGTAGATGACTTTCACTCTCTATAATCTTCACATGGTCCTATCTCTTTAAATTTCCTCTAAGGGATTTTGTACGGAGGTGATGACTAACAGCTGCTGGATGGAAAGATTATGTCAAATTCTAAAAAACTGTTAAACTATTCATTTGCTATTTGCAACTTGGCCTGTGTAGTTTAGCGTCAAATCGTAATGGGCGGCATCATTTTTAAAATTGGTTTCTGAATATGTTGGTTGTGTTTACTCAAAGAAGGACGATAACAACTCAGATAAAAGTATAAAACTTTGGCACTGTGGTGGAGAATAACTCCATTATGAATAAGAATCTATTTTGATAAATCACACAGTATTATACAGTAATATTAACTGATGAGCAAATTATTGCTTAAAATCATATCAAGTCACATAACTTTTTTACTTCATTTATATACATGAGTATATAGATGTTGACAGAATTACGGCCATCTCTGAATCCGTATCATTTAAGTACTGAGGCATAAAAATGAAGCATAAACGACTGCAGAAATTGTTTTGTCAGTGACGGCAGTCACCACCGACCTTTTTGTTTGCTGACAATGTGAATGATTAGAAATCACATTACTGTGCACATCGTCGCACCTGATTGCCGAAACTTATTGTTTTGTTTAACTTAAACGTATGTACTTTGTCTGAGTGATTGTGTCAAATGACCGTCTGACCTTAGTATCATTACCTATCCTGTCAGCGTGTTAGTTCTGCGCTCAAGAGCTGCAATGCGTTTCTCTGGTGGTTGACTGATATACATATATATATATTTGCTGTGGAGACATTCTTTCATACATTTAGTCAGCAATTTGATCTAACTTATCTATGTTTTTCTCGTCTCCTGTTTATGCCCTGCAGTAACCATTGAAGCCAAGGGTAGTAGTGGTAGAAAAAGCTTCTGTACATCTTTTTATCCTCTAACAGTTTTGCGACGTCTTTTGTGCTGCAAAAACTCTACTTGCTAGATGTCCGAAGTTGATTTTTAGAAACGTTTGCTTTGGGACATCATATGGGACTATTGGGTCGTGATATCATAAGGATTACCGTACTTTATTGACAAAATTACCTGGTAAGATGTAGATTGCGCCTTTAGATCTAGTATTTTATGACGTGATGCGGTTAGAAAAAAGGAGTTTCCCCGATGAACAGACCATAATGATAGGTTGTTGGATTTTAAAGAGGGTACAGGACGTCACTTTCACTGTGTATCGAAATGTTCCAGAAAGTGTAGTTCGTAGTCGGACTCACCATTTGAAGTATATCCTATCAGACTCCAGTGGCATACATTTACATCCAATCCTTTCTTTATGCTTCTTACTTTATAAAACGGCGGGATTTATCAGTACACACAACACAAAACCAAAAGGTGTGCCTGCTGTTTTAGTGAAGTATATTAGAACACTTAAATTCAGAAAGTAACAACCACGAAAGGCTACGTGTAATCATCTGATCCATAGTAAGACAAACAAAACAAATATTTAATTACAGAATAAAACTTATTTACAATAATGAATAATGAATCGAATCATTACAGCTGTATTTTCTGATTTAATCAGTGTGATACTGTATGGAAGGTAAAAGAGCGGCTAATATGAATTCAAGTTAACGCTCATAATTCTATTCGTAAAAATCATCTATATCCTACCTTTTGATTAGTTATTCAGTGGCTTTAATCACATTGTACCTTAAAAGAGTTATATAATGCAGAACATTTTAGCTTCGTCTCATTCAATTCGTTGACTCAAGTTATTCTCTCATACATCAGTAACTTTTTAATGTATACCGAATAAAATTAATTCAAACCCGTGTTCTTTTTAATTTATACAGGTGATCTCTCCTAACGATTCGTCTAGATTAAATTCGTCTATAAATTTCCTTGTGAAGAAGAGAAACTTCGGTTTGCTTATTAGTTCTGTTGAACCCAACGCCGATGTCTCAACTATCAAATCATCTGTTAATAATAACATCCCCATTCAAGTAAAACTTCTGGATAAGCAAACAGGTACTCTGGCAAGCAATGTAAACTGGAGAGTAAGTTATTTAGTAATTAGTTCAATAAATCAAATTCATATTGGGTCTAATTAACTTAATTTGAATCTGAAATTATTTTCTTAAACTGTCAGTAGGCTGTAAAATAATATAAAATGATAAAAGAAGATTTGTACTTTCGAATAGTCTTCAGTGGGAGTTATTTGAAAATAAAGGTCAAATGAATTGCTTCGTTACTGGCGTAATGTTAAAAACATTATAAGGTTAACAAAAAACCAAAAAAATTTAGAAATAATTTTCACGTTTGAAGATAATTAAACTGTCGCTAAAAATAAAAAATTCTTTTAATTTCTTTTCTAGTATCTTAGATGGAATTTCACTGGTGATCTTTGTCCAAACAGTAGGAAACCGACAAATGCTATGACAAATTCAGCTTCATCATACTTCTATGATCCAACTAACACAAATGGAAGCTTCAACTGGGCTATTGGTAGATTCCAGTCACCTTGGATATATGTATATTGTATTAGTGCTACTGCTTATCTCAACGATAGTGTGACAAGACAGCCAGGTTATGATATCGGTCTAACTAAACTCAAGATTCATATTCGTCCACAGAACTACACTGAACCACCTAGAAATGTTGTCAAACCATTCACATTTAAGTTTGCTGGTAGTTATTCAACTATGCTGCAACATATTGATGAGTTTACAGCTGCTGTACAGTCTGAGCTGTTCACTCGCTACCCCAATGTAGCATTCGAAAATATGACATTTAGTGAAGGTGAGAAAGTGATTATTAAGCTTCATTTGGTGATCATAAATGTATTTTAAAAGATGTCCAGTCCTCAGTGTCGTTATGAAAACAGATTGCGCATGACTATGTTGGTCATCAAAAATATTCATCTTCTTTATTAATAATTTATTTTATTCCAGAAGGTGTATGATAAAATTTGAAAAGTTACTAGGCCTAAAAAAATAGTTTTCAATAGAAAATAGTACCTTCTATTGTGATTTCTCTGCTTCAAATAACTTTTTATTACGACAGACAGGAGTTTCTTTTCATCGAGAAGCAATTTAATGCAGAAGTAGTAAGAATTAAACAAACTTTTCCCTGACAATTTTGCGAAACTAACCACTTTTCCTCACTCTTTATGAGAAGTGGATTTGCTCTAACAGCACCTAAAATTCGTGCTCTGATATGTTTCGTGGTCAAGGAGTTTTCAACCTTCCTGAGTATCATGCAATACTATGTATTTGACAAGTTATACTGTTATTAATAATATTGAAGATTTAATTAGCTTAGAGAGTTATCCAGTAAGTTACTTCTCGCTATTACTGTTCATTCGAACTGGCAAGGTGAGAAGATGTAACAGAGTGAATCCCTTGACGACCCACTCGACGTATTTCCAGGCTATGAAAACAAAATAGGTCATAGTGACAAATAAGCTTGTTTTACGCTGCTCTTTAGAACAAACGTTATGTCCAACTTTTCAAAACTGGTAATTAATGTATGGATGTACCGTTATGGTCAAGGATTTATCATTCTTGATAAATTGCTATCTACTGTAGTATGTAATGGGACAAATAAACATCACTATGCAAATACGAGTATTCCACTCTCATCAAAGTGAATCGATTCCACAACTTGGAAATTTATGTTTTAGATTATGCCTCAACTCCTTATGTACACTAAATGAATTTATACACAGCTGATAAGAAAATTTCTGACACACTCTTATCTGAAACATTGCATGTTTATAAATTGTGTGCTTCTAGATCGAGCTTCTGGGTGGGGAAAAATAGTAGGCGAGACATAAACAAAGTGTTACTACTGACCTATACAGATTTATATAATCCTACGTTTTTAGTCCAGTATAGAGAATATGATCGCTTTTATTCCAGTGTCAATAAACTTGGAAAACATTATGATTTGACAGTATATATGTTTTAATGGTGACCTGTTTTAAGTATAAGTACGACTAGAGGCATTGTTTAATCTTAATCTGTAGCTATTTAGCGCATGTTTAGTATCCCACTTTGAAGGTGTACAATTAACCTTAACACGAACATGAATAACTAACTGAAATAGACAGTAGCAATCTTACTTACATGGCCAAGTTTCTGACCTTTCAAAAATACTGTATATCACTTCACGCAGTCTGGTATTTGAATGTGATAAAAGTGAAAAAAAGTATTAAGTATGTAACGGAAGGATTTAGTAACTAATATATATCAATAATCTGCGTCGGTGGCACAGCGGTTAAGATGCTTGCCAGTCATGCACATGGTCCGGGGTTCGATCTCCGGCCGACGCACTCCTTTACCTCGCTAAACCAGAAATAATGCTGGTAAAGAGGAAAGGTTGGAAATGAGGCTAGCAACCCCATCCTGTAAAAATAATCACCACTGCTACAGAAACTTCAAGCCACTAACTTGAGACCCTATGTTCCACTGGGAACGTGAAGGAAATGATATATATATATATATATATATATATATATACCAATAATAGATTTGAAAAGACTATATTATTGAAGTAGTCCGTGAGTATATGGAACGGATTAGGCTTTAATTATTTCATATCAGGAAGTTTTAACTTTTAAATGGAGGGATTGCAGTTTAGCATTATCTTATCAAAACGTATAGTTGAGTGTTGGTGAAATTCCACCAACAAGAAAAATACTTTTTCGTCAATAATAGCAAACCGATGAGAAGTAATCTAGTGTTGACGCCTAGTCCTTATATATATATATATATGATGGTAAACTCACGTTTGATTTATGACATCTGGCTTTTTACCCTATAGTAGGCAGCACCTCATTCCAATAAGCCGTAGCCAATCAAGAATGTGTATGTGTTTTGCAATGCATCACCATCAAACTAGTGAAAATTGAAGTTAATTAAACTGATTTATGGAGTAAAGACAATTCGACGCAAACAATTGGGATCGTGACAATCTACACAACAATGGACTAAATTCCAGTACAATATGGTCAATCTCATGTATTCATGCTACAAGCATAAGGCGTTGTTTACCGTTGCACAGTTGTTCTACTTAATAGTGAAAAAAAGGATTTCAGTTTTAATTTAAAGCAATATTTAGCCATTCAAAATCTATTCGAGAATATCAAAACAAATATATACATTTATTCATTATGCTTATGACAACAGTTATTACTTCCACTACTACCACTGTTAATACGATTACTACTTTTGAGTATAGTCCATAAAATTGCATATTCAAATCAAAATAAATACCGTTAGTATTACAATAATAACTTCTACATTTAATTGTTTATTTTCTCAAAACATTTAGGCAGTATAGTGGTAAATGTAGTCGCTGTTGGCGAATCGACAGCTACCATTGACAGTGTACTGAACAGCTTAATTACCTCTTTAAATAACGGGAGCATCAGTTTTTCAATAGCAGGTGTCAATTACACAGCGCCCACTACCGGAAAGAATGACGGATGTGTAAGTATTACAACACTATCCTGTAAAATTGTAATCAGAATTTTTTTTTCTGCTTTTCTCTGGTTAACTGTTAAATAATTTAGTACACGTTAAATCATCACCATGCGTAAACATCACAGTCTGCTTAGAAACAGTGAGTCCGTAACTTGTTTGATGGAATTTAAATGACTGAACTAGGAGATATATCACAAAAAGTTGTGCCTGAAATACATTCAATGCTCTTTATTTCCTAATTTTTAAATCTGACATTTGTACTCTGTATCAGAATGATACGTTTTTATCCATATTTTAATGTAACAAATGCATTACATCTACATCCGGTGTACTCTGTAAATCACATTTAAGTGAATAGTGAGACTCCGTGTGAAGTACAACTAGGAGGATTATTGAAAACTAGTAGCTACAAGAGAAACGTATGGGAGGCTTTCTGCTTTCGACTGAGAGCAGTTTTATTTCACCCACTTATTCATTTTATCTTCATAAAGAAGTAAATTTTAAGACATAAGTGATGATATTTTATGTAGCATACCATACATATCTACGCCCGTAACTGTTAGTTTTTGTATCCTAGGGACTCAGCCAATTCTCCTTATTGTAATTTACACACTAAGTAACTGAATATGGTCCGTTGTAATTTCACCTGTTTGAATTCAATTTTCGGAGTACTACTAAATGTTCTCTAAACTTCACAAATACCTTTCACTCTGATATTATGCGTATTGGCAAACGTTTCGGTACATTGAGAAACGTGAAGAACTTGTGAGATTTATGTGTCCTCCATCGGAGGTGAAGCAGAACAAGCTGCAGGCAAAGGAGACTTCGCCACCCTCTACCAGACAACCAGGAACCTATCGGGGAAAAGTTCAACACAGATAAAGCCAGTAAAGGATGACAATGGAAAGTCAATCACCAAAGAAGTGGAGCAAAGAAAACACTGGGCTAAACACTTCAAAAGACTTCTAAATCGTCCGCCACCTACAACGCGCACAACAATACCAACAACGGAAGCAGAACTACCAGTGAACATTGACCCCCCCCCAAAGAAATCAGAAGTCCTGAATGCAATGAAGATGCTAAAAGCCGGAAAAGCAGCAGGACCAGATGGAATCCCAGCAAAAGCATTAAAAATGGACCCAGAGACAACAGCGGACTTGATGACGCCACTGCTGGAGAAGGTGTGGAAAGATGGCAAAGTACCCGAGGATTGGAAGAAAGGATACTTATTCAAACTACCAAAGAAAGGAGACTTAAGTCAATGCAAGAACTGGCGCGGAATTATGCTGATGTCCATCCCAAGCAAAATACTAAGCCGCATCATCCTGGAGAGAATCAAACAAGCCCTAGACGAAAAAATCCGACCGGAACAAGCTGGATTCAGGAGAAGCAATTCATGTATTGATCAAATCGCCACACCACGGATCATCATTGAACAAAGCTTAGAATGGCAGTCACCCCTCTACCTCATTCATTTTCTTCAACTTTGAAAAGGCCTTCGACAGCGTCGATCGAGTGGTCATTTGGCAACTACTTCGCTACTACCAAGCGGTCCCATCGACAATTATACATCTCATCCAACACAGTTATACGACAATGCTGCATTCCAAGTAATCCACAATGGGGGAACATACGGAATCCTTCGAAGTGAGGACGAGTGTGGGGCAAGGCTGTCTACTATCGCCAATGATCTTCCTGATTGCGGTAGATTGGATAATGCGACAAACAATGGGCAATGAGGAAACAGGCATAAGATGGACTCACACAAAAACTTGGAGGATCTGGACTTCACCGATCAAATATGTCTGATTTCCCACAAACTGGAAGATACGCAAGTGAAAAGCAAAAAGCTGGCAGACTAAGCATCAGAGATAGGACTTCATGTGAACATAGATAAAACAGAGGTGATGAAGATTTCTGGCCAACAGCAACAACAACAGACAACAATCAGCCAGCACAAATGGGAGGAACCTGAAAGAAACAACCTCCTTTACCCACCGAACTGGGAAGCATCGTCTCAACTACAGGCGAATAGAACTGACGAGGATATCAAAGCCAGAATCGGAAAAGCAAGACAAGCTTTCATTATTCTCAAGTCTGTATGGAGGTCAGCAGCACTCACCATCAAAAATAAGATCCGGATCTTCAACTCCAATGTGAAGTGAGTCAGTGCTACTATACGATTGGATCAGAGACTTGGCCAGCGCGTCATAAAGAGCATCTCAAACAAACTTCAAACCTTCATTAACAGGTAGCTGTCTTCGCTCAATAGTCAAGATCAGATGACCGGTCAGAAAAGATCAGCAATAGTGAGGGATCTCTGGGAGCGAACTAATCAGGAACCGATTGTGAAACAAATAGTCAGGAAGAAATGGAGATGGACTGGCCATACGCTGAGGAAACCATCAAGTGACATCACTAGTCAAGCCATTGCTCGAGTGGAACCCGAAAGGGAAGCGGGTGGCGAGTTGGTCGTCAGTGCAAGGGTGACTTGGAGGATGTCATGTGAGGAGGAGATGAAAGCATGTGGGCAGACTTGGAGCGGAGTGAAAAAATTGGCAGAAAACAGAAGGCAATGGAGATGTGCAGCTGAGGCCCTATGTTCCTCTAGGAATTAAAGGATACAATAATAATAATAATCGGAGGTAGATCAATTACGCATTAGTAAATTAACTAAATGAGCGAACAAAGTAAGCAACCACTAAATAGGTGCATACCAGTTTATCGAACATAAATTATGACACTTAGATAGCAAGCCACCATTTCTTGAGCAAATATATTTACGCTTGTGTTATCTATAGATTCTCACAAAATACGCAAGCTTCATTTAATAATGTAAGCAGCCAAAAATCTTTTACTAATTATAATTAACTGATAAAATATTTTGAAAACAACACTTTACCGGTAATTCTCAGTAGTAATTGCAAACTTTTACCTAACAATATCCTCTCTTTAAATACAAATATTCGTTTCTTACATTACAGAGAACAACTGGCTTCGTCACATCATTTATTATGCTTACAATTCACTTCCTCTTTTACCAAATAATTTTGAAAAATCTACAATTTTGACTGAATTAGTTATTTTCTGTTGTTGATCTCTGATACATACGCAGTAGAATCATACAATATGCTCTCTGAAGTATAATATGAATAACGTTTGCACTGCATCACTGTTATCCTCTGCACCATCCACGTTTGAAAAACTTATTTCTTTAGTTCACTCATAGTTGTTCTATGAACCACTTTTATTTTTTGACCATTAATTTTATATTATGTGTGTAATGTCCATCTGTCCTATTTTGTCATATAGATATTCGTCTCATGTATCCTTGTTTGTAATAAAAGGTTTGCATTAATTTACCTTCCCTGTTGTGTCACAAAAGTATAATCAGTATATTAAAAGAGTAAAATACGTCATCGTTTGGTAGATAAAGTTTTTTTTAGTTGTAATCGGTTTTAATCTGATTAGGCGTCGAACTAGTGTAGGCAGATAACTTAGAAATCACACTTGCTTTTGTACAGTCAGTTCTTTAACCGCTTTTAATATTATTTTTTGTTATTATTATTGCTCCCTTGGGTTCCTAGTGGAACATAGGGCTTCAACTGCACGTCTCCATTTCCTTCTGTCTTCTGCTATACTTTTCGCCTCCATCCATGTTAATCCATATTCTTTCATCTCCTCTTCACACGATCTCCTCCATGTCATCCTTGCACTGACGTCCCACACGCCGGTTCCCTTCCGGGTTCCACTCGAGGGCTTGACGCGCGATGTCACCCAGCGGTCTCCTCAGCGAGTGTCCGATCCATCTCCACTTTCTCCTGCATATTTGTTGGGCGATTGGTTCTTGCATTGTTTGTTCCCATAATTCCTTGTCGGTGATTCTTTCCGGCCATCTGATCTTCAGTATTGAGCGAAGACAGTTGTTAATAAAGGTCTGCAGCCTTTTGGAAATATTCTTTGTCACCCGCCAAGTTTCTGATCCGTATAGAAGAACTGACTGACTTGAAGTTTATATTGAAAATCCGAAAACCGCTTTTAATATAGATGGTTTATTTCCAGAAGTCAAATTGTTTTTTCACAAAGACCAAATGACGACTAAGAAAGTATTCAGAAAACAAAAGGATTGGGTGAAGAAATATTTATTTTTCAATTAGATCCGTGAATATGGCTCAACTCTAACACACATACAACAGTTTTAACATGTAAAATAAATCTACCAATCTAATGGTGATAAGTTTGTTAATAAATAATTAGGCAATATCAGCCTGACAAGGGAGTGACAATTAACCAGGAAAATTAGTGCAACAATCAAAGCGTAGAAATAATTGCAAAAATTAAACAAGTGGGTTATGTAATTCTGCATAATTCTGGGATAAATAGGAGGAGTGCTTAGGAAATAAACGAGTGTTTAAATTGATCATGTAATAAACAATTAAAGATGAAGCGGCCAAAATAATAAAAAAATATTTAGGAGAATGATAACTTGTGAATGGCTAAAGGGGAGGAGGAAACTGTCAGTTTTTTACATGTATGCAATGACGGCTGAAGTAAAGAAGCTGGTCCCACGAATTTCTTCTAAACACACATATTTAGCTTCTTCAGTCGGTTTCTGATGGCGTCAACTGTATGTAGAAGATGAACTCATGAAACAAACTTAATATTGGTTGAAATGCGATAAACTATTTTAAATGCTTTATTATTATCATCATCAAATTTCTGCTTACTATCTACAAGGTATGAGAAAACAGAGTTACTGTCTGTCTGTTTTCGACATAGAACTTTGCACATATGTGCGGCAGTTCAAGTCGCCACACTCCATGTAGCACACAAAGCAAGAGAAGAAAAAAGAAGAAATGCACAATAGGGAAAGTAAACAGAGGTGTGAGACAAAGGAATAGTAATAAAGAAGAACAACAGTTTCATTGGAAATCATAAGTCACAAGGAGGGGATGCATCTGCGCCACTGAGAACGATTTTGAGCCATGTCACCAATTGTCGCCAGCTATTAGTTTTTACCGTCCCGACGAACCCAACCGGGAAGTCTACACCTTCCTACATGACTTAAACTAACTGATGTGGATTGACTGATGCCATTTTTCGGTTTGACCGCCGGTAGCTCTTTTCCAATCTGATCCATCCTATATCAGCTAACATTGCCCATCGGTCGAGGAAGGCGATGACTAGGCATACGTAACATATGTCCTAACCATCTTAGTCGATGTAATTTCACAGCCTCGTCTATTGATTCCCCTCCTTACCTAGCACTCAACCGAAGCCTAACCTCAATATTGCTCACCGTATTATACCACTTCACACGGGAGATAGAGCACAGGCACCTATGATCAAAGACAGCTAGCCGACCTTTTCATGTCTTCCACTTTGAGTGGCCAGGTCTCACAGCCATAAAGGAGGACGGAGCGGACTGATGAGCAGTACACCCGCCCTTTGGTCGATAGCCGGACATCACGTCTACGCCACGGACGGCGTAAACTGGAATATGCGAAACTAGCCCTCTGTATTCGTGCTGAGATTTCGTCAGAGATCAACCCGTTGGCAGTGGTTGATGGTACTTCCCAAATAAGTGAAGTGGTCAACGTGCTCTACCACTTCACTCCCTGTTTCTAAACTAGGAGTCAGTGTGGTCCAGTCCTGTAACATCATCTAGCATTTGGCGGGAGCGAATCGCATGCCGAACATTCGTAGATTGCAGCTCAAGGTGTTTAGAGGACTCTGTACTTTGTCAGCGTCGTCGCCTGGAAGGACTATATCATCTGCATATTCCAAATCAACGAGATTATTTCCTGGTAGCAGGTCAATCTCTGAGTCTCTGAAGTGAGTTAGGGTTAAGTCCATCAGTATATCTATGATGAAATTGAATAGAAATGGTGATAATGGGCATCTTTGACGGACACCACTAGTCGTCACCACTTCAGATGACAACTTGCCATAAACCCTCACCTGGCTGCTTGAATTCGAGTAGAGTGCCTTAATCAGTGCAATGTATTTTCTCGTCATTCCCTTTACAGTCAAGCATCTCCAGAGTACCTCTCGGTCGACAGAATGGAATGCCGCCTTCAGGTCAAGAAATATGAGGATTGTTGGACGCCGGTAAGAATGCCTATGTTCTAGAATCTGTCGAAGGGTGAAGATATGATCAATACACCCTCTTCCTGGTCTAAAGCCTGCCTGGCTCTCTCGTGTTTGTGTCTCCCGAGCACCACTTAGTCTGCGCATGATTATTGAGCCTAGAACTTTAGATACCATATTGGTCAAGCTGATCCCCCTGTGACTATCACAAGAAGATTTGTCTCCCTTCTTGTATGTCGGGACAATCCATGACTTAAACCAGCCCGACAGGGCTGTCCCTGACTCCCAGACTCTGCCTAGTACCTTAGTTAATACGGACAATAAAATGTCTCCACCATTCTTAAACACATCTGGAATCATTCCTTCGGGTCCCGCAACCTTGCCTCGTTTCAAACTAGCGGCAGCTTTAATAACCTCAGTCAGGCTCGGAAGACCTGTGTCCATATCCCATTCATGTAGATGTTGGATGTTTGGCAGGTTGAGCGTGGTTGTGGGCCAATTAAACTGCTCCTAATAGTGTTCTTCCCAACGTTCCAGTCGTCTATCCTGAGAGCTAATTATGATGCAATTTTTCTCAGAGATTGTTTCACTTATAATTTGCCTATTACCATCTGTTTCCCTGATAAGCCTAAATAGTTGTCTGGTGTTGTCAATCGCCGCCGCCTTTTCCATCTCTTTCGCTTTTGTCACCCACCACTGTTCACGGTCGTTGCGAAGACTTCTTGTTCGAAGCAGAGTTATGAACATAATTTGTTTGTTGCTTGCTTAACTATGCAGGATGATGTTCGGTAATCTGACGATAAGCATGCCTAATTATACGTTCAGTGTAACTGACTCCACAGGAACAATTAAAGTGATAAATACACATAAAGGAGAAGTGGGTATCTGACGAACGTTTGACAGGCTAGAGACGGTATTTTCACTTGCACACGTTGTGTATAAAGAAGAGTACCAGTGCACTCGATACTTACAGTTTTGTTTGTTTATGACTGATCTATGTTTGGATCAAAATTAAAGAAATTATTCTGCTAAGTAACACATTCCAAAAGATGACTGAACTTCAATAAATCACGCTTATTCGCGTTACAATTCGAATTATTTCTGAGAAAAGAAATAACTATCTTAGTGATTGCTTTTTAGTATTCCAGATTATTGATTTACCTCAAAGGATACATATACTTGCATTTCTATGATACAGAATAGACTAAGCTGGACACTGTCTCCATGAATCTCACTAAACGTTCATTATAATTATAATATAACTTGACAAACTAAAGAGCGCTACTGAAATCGGGGATCAACTGTCAGAATTTGTTTAAGATGGTAATTATATACAATTATGCATGACTTAAGGAGGCTTTATTTAACCCTCCATATATATTACGTGCTACTGGTACTCAGCTGTAACTTAAAACTTATTTCCAACCATTTTAAGGATATATAAATTATTTATGTGTAAGTAAGTCTTGTCGGCTATTGTAGTTTCCCAATTTAATCATATCAAAAGACATTCTACTTTCAAATAATTTCCTAAACACTTTATACACCTATGAGCGTGAGCTTAACTATATATATATATAAACTTAATCCCTCAATGTTTTCTTATAATACCAACGAAGAAAAATTAGAAATACTTTGCACTTAACTGCCATCTTCACATTTAGTTTCACTGTATGAAAGACTTGTAAGCTTGAAATAAACGCCACACAACCAAATGCTTTATCAGGTGCACATAATTGGTTTACTTACGCTATCTTCTTTTATTTTGTCAGTCCCACGCTTAAGGTTCCCTATTAAATCAGAAAAAGTGTGCGCAGAAACAATACAAACTGCAACACCATTACTTTATATAGACCCTTTTAACGCAGTTGTAAATGCTAAAATTGCAATTTTTCCAACAAGAGGAACTATCCTAGTGATAAAGAGACCTTGAAAACGCTTAACAGCTCTTTCAGTAAATATTCCGGAGGTGAGTGATAGCGATAGCAATTTGTTTATAGTAAATACTTTATTCGCATCTGAGGGAAATCAGTCAGAACGTCAAAGTCAAGATGCTAATGCAAATAAGAATTAGCCAGATTACATTTCCAGTTAACGCTAATACACAGCTTAATATTTTCCGTAAAAATGGTTTCTATTACAGGAGTACAAATAAAAAGGTTGGGGAAGATATTTTTATTTGGGAGTAGTTTTTAACAAGTTAATTCTATGGAAAACGTGAAAGTTACGCCGAATGCAACATGGCATTGTAGTTCCATCGACGTCTATAAAATTTACGGGTTTTCTTCGCAACTATATTTATATATTTTAGAGCAAAGAAACCCAGTATAGGAGAAAATAACCCACAGCGATGGAATAATTTCGACAAAACGAATTTATAGTTTATCTGAATTTCGCTCTCCATGCTACATGCTGTAAGTATACATATTGGCATCAGACTAATACAGGTCTGTCTTACCTTTCCGACCTGGCTTTGGCATCCTCATCCGTGCAGCTTGCTTCTGAAACGATACTTCTTAGATAAGTGAAAGAAGTGGCCTCCTTCAAATTTCTCCCGTTGATAGTGATCGGTGCTTGTTTTTGTTGGTGGTTAGGTAATCCTATCACCTGTCTCCTCTATGTTCACTCCCTAAAATCATACATGAAGGTAGAGAAAAAAAAGTGTGGTGGTGAATGAGTGAAAGAGTAGCCATATGAAAAATAATGAAGTTTTAGTGAATTTGTAAGCTAGAAAGATTTTGAGCTGTGTCACCCACAGCCTCCAACCACCGTTTCGCAATATGTCAAGGACCGCAGCTAGGCCATCTCTACCTACTGATATGGTTAAAAATAATGAATAAAGACACCATGAGCAGTGTTTTGGCGGGACCACACTTAACTCTTTTCTAAGCTAATCCTATTTCAGGCGATATTCCTCGTTGAGCACAACAGTATTCCGGCATGCATAAAATATTTCATAGCCACCTATGGTCAATAGCATTTCATTTTTGTCCCACCGGGCATGCTTGACAGCCGACCAGAATGGAATTGGCTAGAATCCCTCTTTATTCATTGTAGAGACAGATGCCTAGATAACTGCAGTCTTCAGTGTAATAATTTACAAAACAGTTACTTCTACCATCAAGCTTCAGGCATTTACATCACAGTGGAAAAAAATATTTCGTCAAACAATTGCAGTGTCAAACCGATTCGAAGACAGATATGTCGCCAAAAAAATCTTCAGATATTCCCCTCATTAATATATCAAACAGAAATAAAAGCAAACAGTACTGTGTTCATTTAGATCTTCTTCAGGGTTCATTTTAGTTCCCAGAGATTTATATATAAAAATTTTAACAAATAAGGGTAAATCTGTAGATCAAATAAAAATAATGTGTTGAATGTTTTGAATGTCAGTAATAATGATGATCATAATAGGAACAGAATAATGATAATGAGGTTTGTGCAAGTGGTGATAAGAATAAGGACAGTAGTAATATGTGCATATGTACCCAATTCAACAAATAAGTTATATCAAATCTTGAAAGTTACGTAATACTAAAGATGAAGTAGGCAGATAACCAGAGTTTAAACAAATGTCACTACGACACAAAGGAAGTGGAAAATTAGAGAGGGTTTTAATCAGACTTTACCTAGGCCAAAGGGGAGACACAAGTAGAACAAACTTCTTTTGTTCACAAAAACTGGGATTTTTTTCTCGAATTCCCATAACTTCAGCTATGTGTAAAAGACAGATTCGAATTCCGTTCAAAAGGTTCAGTAAAATGCGACAGATAATTTTGAAAGCATTTATTCTGTCCATTTGGTGACCACTGTCAATCAAATGAGCCAAAATAGAACTTCTTACAGATTTTATGTGGCCTTTTCCAAACCACGAAGGAAGATGCTCAGTAGTACGTTTGTTGAGCTGTCTAGTTATTCTCCCTATATAGCTTTTTCCACAGGAGCAACTAAATTTGTAGAAACACATAGAAGTGCCACAGCTAGACAGCTTGTCTTTCGCCTGAGCAATCATAAATGCTCATCTGGAAGATGACAAACAAAAGGGTAGCGGCAGTATAAGTCCGTTTTATTGCTTTCCACAATCTTCGGTTCAGGAATTCACTAGCCAAGTCCTTATTATATTGCAATTTTAGGGACAGTTGTTTCTATTTAATTGTTGCCAGTTCCTTTTTATTATACCAGGTGTTCATGTGCCTCCTTAAAAATCCACTAGGTTAACCCATTGGGAGCAGTGTATTCTGGATGTATCCTAATTCATTTTCTAAAGAGTCATCTGTACAGATTCTTATTGCTCTATTCGTAAGGCGTCTAACCAAACTGATTTTGTATCGAGTTGGTACAAAACTGAAAGCTGGCTGTTTAAGAACAGGTTCACTTCAGTGAACAAGCTGAAAGTGATCATAAGTAAACAATGTTTGTTTTCACATAACTACAACAGATGGGACACGGAAAGTCTAACTTCTGGTAGATGAAGTCCTCCAAGTAAACAAGACTCAGAATTAAAGCTGCATGAGGCTGTGTCGAGACACAAGAGTGACGTGCTGTTTCTGCTATCCACAGACACGCTGTGTGGGACAGTGCCAAGGCGACAAAGTGGGCAGATATACCAGAACCATGGGCATGGTTTATTGTGCATGAACTCATAGAATGATTTTGGCAGCCCTTTGTCATGACGGCAGTGTACCCATCGTTTGCAAAAACTGCATTCAAATGCTGGATCAGTTTTAGAAACGGTAACACTACAAGTCTGACATTCGTCTCCCTTTTTTGATGACGCTTTCGATATCTTGCTTTTTTGTTTCGCCGTGTGTCACGCACTGGCTTTCAATGGGTACCGGTGTTGTATCATGTCAACCTGGTATTGACTGCAGTTTCAGTGCTCTACTGCAGCAATGCAGGTGTAGTATCATAACAGGCGAGATGTGAACAAGTCTTTAGAATTGGTATGCATGATGGAGTTGATGTCACTGGGTTATTACCTCCTCTGGCTGAAGCCCTTGTGACGAAAGAATATAGTGTTTTAGTCCTTTTTCTAAGGCTACTTTCAACAGCCATATTAACAATCCCTTAGTGATTGTTATATATAACTTATGCTATAAACGAATAAGAGAGAAACTGTATCTACCCACAAGAACAAGTCTTGTTTATCTGAACGAGTGAGGAAGATGCCGCTACAACAGTAGCACCTGAAGCTTTGGAAGTAGTTCGAGACAGCTGGACTTACCACATATAGATTTGTTACGTGATGGTTGAATTTAGTTCACTGATTAGGGAGATCAGGTTACCAAAGGAGATAATACGCAAAATATTTATTTCAGCCGAAGATAAAAAGAGTCAGGACATACGCGATAACCCACGTGGTATCCAATGGGCGCGCCTTGAAAGAGAAGACGACCAATAATGATTAAGGTCATCAGGAGAAACAGCTGTTTGTGGAGAATTCTAACAAATTTATTTCACATTGTAGGTAGTGGTTATAGTGTTGTCGGAAAAGATGACGAAAGCTTCGAGGTCAAATTACCGGGGACACACAGTACAACTGCAAGCGTATCCACTTCAGCCAAAGATCTACGTTGTTTCAAAAACGTTCATTAATCTGTTATGATATTACACGTCAGCCAGTGGAAACACTATATCGTAGGCCGTAAAAAATTATGTGGTATGCGGACAGATTTTACGTTTCAGACAAATTGGGTAGAAGACTCGGACAGTATCGACATTTGGAAACCGACAAACATAGGTTGCATTTGAAAAAATAACAACCTCTTGTCCTGGGTAGCACCTAAATGACGAAAGATCCTTACCTCATGAAGTAGACCTTTAGAAGGGACAAAAAATGAGGTCTGGTAGATGCTGATGATTCCCTATTGGAAATTTCTCTCGTAATTGGACGCCTTCTTCTCCTCGACGTTTATTCTAGAGCAAATTCTTCTTTCATTTCAATGGTTTTCATTTCCGATTTCTCTACCTCCCTTTGTTTTTAACATGCAACAATGCGTGACCCAAATCTTTATTAGCCTCGGGATAAACAAGCCGTGCCGGTAGGTAGTTCCCTAAAATTATTAGCCACAACACACATGACAGAACTTCGGATGCTAACCCTCACTGTTTAAGTTGACTTCTCTCTCTGAAAGCTCACAGCCAGGCATCTAGGCCATGCCATCCTGTTACGTTCGTTTATTCGTGCACGATCACCAGGCGGCTCAGCAGCCAACCTCACACTACTATTTGGTCCCGAAACACACTTCGTAATATGGACGAACAAGATTGGCGTTTTGCTTTGCGTTTGGCCTACGTGGAACAAATAATATAAAAGTTGTGGATATTAAATCTTTCGTTAGTATATACCGTAATATCCATTAACGTCAGCACCCTGAGCCTCTGAAAGGTAGTCAGAAGGTCACTCACCGGCAGCGCACTCATCGGAAGAGTTTTACTAGTGGTCCCACCATAGATTGTTCACCTCTCGCTTGTGTTGTCTTATGGTCATCCTCAAAGTGATAAATAATACCATGAGGTCATTCGTCTGCAGCCACTACATAATTTGAGTCGACTGTTGAAGCCTAAGGAAAGTAGTCAGGTATTGACAGTGTAAGTTACGATGTTGTATTATGTGCATTTGTTCATGAAACATCTCTAGTCCTCTAACCACGTCTTTTCCCTTAACGACTTCGATCATGAAATATATTTCGCGCATAAGCCGCAGTTTTTCTTTTCGTAAGTGCCTTTCGGCTAAATAATTATCATGTGCACCGTAACATCACCAAAGTTTGCCGTTCGCCATATCTCAATCGCATACTGTTTATTCCTCCAAAAGCTTGACAGTGAAGCCCTGATTTACGCGGACTATTTGGTCTTCCTTTTTCTTATTTCAACATTTTATAACGCTCATATTGACCCTTAGCGCTCTGTCTCGTTTCTGTGGATGACTATCAGTTTACAGAATACTATCTAGACCTTTTAGAGATTGATTAAGTAGGCTACTTGAGATACAATGCGTTAAATTATGAATACATAATTTATTAAATCCCAGTTTGAAAATATAAAGGAATGTTTTTAGAGGAAACTGAAAGAAGGTACGTAGCTAAAGCCGAAACAGAACATTTTTGGAGGCTTGAGGCAGATATCTTAATTCTGGGAAATCATCACAACTCTGTTGAAAGTGGAGGAAATCTAAGAGTCTTCTGAGGTGTCTATATCAAGACTGAAGTCATCCACTTAAGATCTGACGAATGCCATCTAGAGCGACAAACACGTCGTAAACGTTTTAAGAATCTGTTAGCTGTTTAAAAATGTTTGAACAGACAAGAGAGTGCGGGTTGCATTTCGCTGTGGTTGCGTATTGCTGTAATTCTCAACCATCCTGACTACCTAGCTATAGCCTGTCAACATTACTGACGTTTAAAATGCCTCGGTCACTAAGTTGCGGTGCTATAAGGTAAGGAGACAGCCCTGCGTACTGCCAAAATGCCTGTCTTACAGGATAATTGGCCACAAACTGATTTCAAAATCATCAACTGAAAGTAGTGCAGCAACAGAATGAGTGACTGAGAAATTGATTCCCACATATATTTTAATGAAGTATGTGTCCTGGCACTTTTTTCTTTGAAAAGCGAATGGTTGTCGTGGCTCACTGTGGTGTACTATGAAGTAATTGATTTGTTCTCTTGAGAAAGATCGTAGCGCTTAGTTTCAAGCAGCCATGACACAAGTACATGAAGGTAGTTATGTGAGCAACGCACCTTGTGCTGGAATATAACTGATAATGATGAGTTAAAAAGCCACCCGTTTCATTTTCATGGACAAATGATAGAAGCCAATTGAAGTATTACTAGCTTCGATATGTTTCGTTGTTCACTCAAAGTCCTACAAACTTCGTTGTCTACTACTTTTTTCACTTGTCGCCGAAATATCCATAAGCTGTAGTAGAGGATCCTCTAGCGTTTTCGTGGGTGAATGACCATCATAACTTCCCACTGCTTAAAGGAATAAACAAATGAAGAGGGTGACAGCTAACTGTGCTCCGAAAACAGAATATGCATAGTATATGTAAAAATATTACCTATCAAGATTTTTGCTGTCATCAAATGTCGGGACGTTTGAAACCTACTAAGCATACATCATTAAATCCAGATTGGTCAACTTCCTAACTGGCTTGTTTGTTTTGCATCGTTTCGCTAGAATGCAGTAGAGACACTGACAGACAATGATTCCTGTGTGGTCTGTAGAAGGGACTTCGGTTCTTATCCGAAATCAAAGCTGCTGTCATAACTCCTGTTTTTTCGCATGTAGTTCTGAATTCTTAAAACTACTATCTAGCCAAGACATCAAGTTAGCTAATGGAATTCCGCATGCGCATAAAGCGTTCGTTTACCTGTGTTGTAACCAGTGACCACTTTTACAATAGGATTCCACCTGCCATATTAACGCAGATATCTGCCACATTAGTCGCAGAAGCAAGATCAGCCGTTATATAACTAAACCCTCTAGGGCTATGAATATGATCTTGAAAAGTTGCTTTATTATTGAAGCAGCAGCTTTGCACGCAACACTGTGCATTGAGGGCACTGGACAACGGCACACATCAGCTTTTTCCTGCAGAAATATGCCTCTATCATGATGTTGTGTTCGGACTATATTACGTTGTTTTCGCGCGCTTTTATGACTGATTTGCATGAAAAATACTACGTTTTAACCCAAAACCTTCCAAATTTGGAAGAAAGTAGTCGTTTCCAGCATTTTGACCGAAAATCTAGTTGTCATCAAACGGAGTTGTTACTGTGCCTCAGGAATTTAGAAATTCCTTATACAGTGTTAATCGTGATAAGAAATTTGAAACAATTTCGACAGATGAAACATTTTTCCTGAATGACGAAGCGCGTTGAATATAAGGGTTATGAATGTTTCATAATAACCGCAGGGTTTTACAGCTGTTAAGAAATGGGATTCGACTGATTGGTAAGACAACAGTGTTAAGACAACCTTCTAACTATGAGTTACTTTGCTTTGTAGCACTCACTTAATAGTAATCGTTTTGCAACATATCTTCTACTGTTTTATTTTCCCGGTTACGACCGTTACTTCCTCAGTCGTTCAACTTATTTTTAGACTTTTATGGAGCATAAACAGATGATATACGTGTGAATAATGATATTATGAATGTATTTGTTGGATCGACTTTATTGCATATCCCCTCAATGACGCTTGTTGCTGTTGCTATTGGTTTCAAGTGGCCTTGGTTTTGGGGTAAGATTTAACTGATGTAATATTGCGATTTCGTAGACATAACTCAGGCTCATAGGTGAAAAATTATAATCCTGGAATAAGGACAAGTTGTTTAGAAGGTAAGGAGGACATTATTTTTCAGTTTATTTGTATATATACTATTGTGTATCGAGTTGTGTTGAGTTCTTAGTGCAACTGTATGCAACTGCATTTACATAAAGTAAAACATAACGAATTCTCCCGTTTTTAGAATAAAAAACATGGTTCTTTTCATTAAGTGTAGTGATCAAGAATGGAATTTCTTCCACGTCAGTGTTATTTAATTGAAGTTTTAATCTCTGTAGGCCCTTGAAGGAATAAATTCAGCACGGAGAACTCCTGTGGAAACCGAAAGCACTTTTAGTTTACTAAATCTTACTGACTTCCTGTATAAATTTGATCAGTCAAGTGTTTATGTAAAGTCTTCTGGTGTATTCAGTAAAGTAATAGTTGTAGTACATAACTCCTAGACTTGCTGTAGTCACTGGTATTCCCAGGATACCACTTACACGTTTTATGCAGCCGAAATATCCGATTTTCACTTTATTGAGGAAACACTATGTTGCCTACAAAAGTAGTGCGTTAATTTATGAGTTTCATTAGGCCTACAGAATGTTTTCTATTCACTGAATACTGTTTGCGAATTATCCGATAAAACACATTTCCGAGTGGGATGTAATACAAGGCTGAATTCTTAAACTGTCATCCTTATAATAGTTCAATTCAATCACACAAGTATTAATGTGATAGTCTGTAATTGACTTTAAAGACTTATCAGGGAATATTTTCATCACCTTACGGTTTGCTGATGATATTGTCCACCTAGACTATAAGAAGTAACCCCTGATGCTGTAAAATATGAAAAGAATACCGGTGTTTGATTATAGGTTTCTGTGTTCTATATCATGAGTAAAGCAGTATTATATGGCGAGTGCTGTTGAGGTTACGCATAAATGTTTAGGTGGGGAGGGTTAGTTAGCCTTCAAGGTAGGGAAGCTGAATAGGTTGAGATGGCTAGAACACGTGCTGGCATACTAAGCCATCGCCTTCCTCCAGAGACAATGCTAGCCAGCACATGTTAAGTTTTAAAATAAGTTTGGGTCGGTCAAATGAAAAAGTGATGTTG